CACCTACGCCCTCCCTCCTCCAATTCTGCCCTGGCCCCAACCAGTTTCCGCCTGGTGCTGCCGGAGTTCATCACAGGCTGCCCTCCCATCACGCTCCTTCCACTCCTGCCGTCACCACCCTTCACCACCCGCCTCTCATGCCTTGAGGCGCCTAACTAAACTCTTCCTTTGCCCATTTCCCTCCTGCTCTCTCCTGCCTTCACACCCCCCTCCCCCCCCCCCACCAGTTTTGGTGTAGTGCTACTGGAGCTCATCACAGGCCGCCCGCCCATCATGGAGGACCCCTCCTTGCCAGACGCGTCAGAGTCCTCTCATCATCCCCTCCTCTTGTGCTCATCGCCTCCTTCCTCTCCGCTGTCCCCCCCACCAGCTTCGGTGTGGTGCTGCTGGAGCTCATCACAGGCCGCCCGCCCATCATGGAGGACCCTTCGGTGGAGAACGAGTCGTACATGGTCACGCTGTCACGCTGGGTGAGTCTTGTGGTTTCCTTGACTCATTAATACTGAACCATAAGCCTGAAACCTGCACCACTCCCTCCCAAGCCGCCTGCCCATCCTAGAGGACCCTTCGGTGGAGAATGAGTCGCACATGGTCACGCTGTCACGCTGGGTGAGTCTTGTGCTTACCTTGACTCTTGATTCTTGAATTCCGTACTACTTCCACATGCCATCATGGAGGACTCTTCAGTGGAGAACGAGTCGTACATGGTCACACTGTCTCTCGCGCTGGGTGAGTTGTGCAGCTGATACCTGGAAGCATGAACACTGCACACCATGCTGACATTGCTCATGCCATCATAGGAATCCCCTCGGTGCAGAACAAGTCGTACATGGTCACACTGCCACGCTGGGTGAGTTGTGCAGCTGATACCTGGAAGCATGAACACTGCACACCATGCTGACATTGCTCATGCCATCATAGAAATCTCCTCGGTGGAGACCAAGTCATACTTGGTCACGCTGTCACGATGAGTCATATTTGTGTGCTTACCCTGACTTCTCAGCTCTGAACCCACCTCCCCTCCCCTCCCCTCCCCTCCTTCTTCCCCTCCCCTCCCTCCTTCCATTTTCCCGACTCCCTTCTCCCCCCTCCCTCCCTCAGGCGACGCCCAAGATAGCAGCAGGCAAGGTGGAGAGCATACTGGACCCGCGCCTCACAGGCGCCTACCCCCGCCAGGCGCTCAACATGCTGGCAGCCGTCACTGCCATGTGCGTGCGCCGCCTCTCACTGCCTCCCCTCCCTCCCTCCCTCCCTCCCTCCCTCCCTCCCTCCCTCCCTCCCTCCCTCCCTCCCTCCCTCCCTCCCTCCCTCCCTCCCTCCCTCCCTCCCTCCCTCCCTCCCTCCTTTTTCTCCCTACCTCCCTCCCTCCCTCTCTCCCTCTCCTCCCCCCTCCCCCTCATCACCTCAGGCCACGCCCAAGATAGCAGCGGGCAAGGTGGAGAGCATACTGGACCCGCGCCTCACAGGCGCCTACCCCCACCAGGCACTCAACATGCTGGCAGCCGTCACCGCCATGTGCATGCGCCGCCCCTCACTGCCTCCCCTCCCTCCCTCCCTCCCTCTCTCCCTCTCCTCCCCCCTCCCCCTCATCACCTCAGGCGACGCCCAAGATAGCAGCGGGCAAGGTGGAGAGCATACTGGACCCGCGCCTCACAGGCGCCTACCCCCGCCAAGCGCTCAACATGCTGGCAGCCGTCACCGCCATGTGCGTGCGCCGCCTCGGCCGCGATCGCCCCGAGATGGCCGAGGTTGCCACCCGCCTCGCTGAAATCAAGTACTTCTTAAAGCCCTCGTCCGGGATTCTCGAGCCGGTTATGAACTTGTTTCCGGATGACGATTTGGAGGACCGGGAGGATAATCTGATGGATATTGCAGAGGAGGAGGAGGATTACGACCATGTGCCCGAGTATATTCCAGGGACGTCCACCGGGGTGAATCCGTACACGAGCGCGGATATTGCTGCACCCGTGTCCATGGTGTTTAGTGATCGATGAGGGGCAGCGTGGAGTGGAGTGCGGTGGAAGGGGGTAAAGAGCAGATGGATATTGCTGTGCCCGTGCGCGTCCATGGTGTTCAGTGATAGATGAGGGGTGGTGAAGGGGTGGGTTTGAGGAACAGCGTGATTGCTCCGGAGTGTGGCAGCTGCCACGTCTGGCATCTCACGACCATGCTTCTGGCTGGCTTTCTGGCTGGATGGTTCAAGAGTCAACCCAAAATGAGTCGTCTGACATTTGACATCTGGTCGCCTGTGCCATCTAGCATTTGCTGTCAGGTCTGGCACTCCAAGAAAGGAGAAAGGAGAAAGGAGGATGACTGATTGAAGCTGTGGAGTGATGCTACTGCATGCTCTTTTTTTTCCCTGAATCGTATACTCTGCATAGGAGCTGACCTGTGCGCGAGTAGGGATGATAACTACGGTAGATAGTAGTGGGATGATAGGCTGTGGTGCAGCAAATTTGCAAGGCATCTGTGCATTTTTAGCGATAGCTGCACATATTGTTTGGAGCGGCGGATTTGATTTAGCAAGAGCATTAGTCCAGCAAGTCTACAAGCCTTCTTCGGTATCACTCGGAATGTCAGTAGATTTTACAGGTGAAATGGTAACCACGAAATTGGATTTGGTTTGGCTTGATTCTTGAGAAAACGCTGTTCAATGGATATCTGAAATTCATGTTCACAATGCAACAAGATATTCCACAAATACTCTCTCTCTTACCTACATAAAGCAAACGAGATGCTAATACCGTAGGAGAGTTAATGGCATGGTTATTGCTGCGGTAATTGTGTTTTTACTTGGTGTGTGTGTTGTGTAACTTGTAAAATTGCTGCAGTTTCTAAAGACTCCTGCAAAACATGCACTGAGTAGACTGAAGAAATCTGGTAGTATATATAACTCACTACACATCAGTGTGCAAAACTTACAAATCAACTCGGTGACACACCACACATTACGCGTTGCTAAACCCTATGAGATCTGCTTCAGGACTTCCTTCATCTGCTCCCGATCCAAAGTGGCAACAACTTGAACCTCTTGCACCTGCTCGTTGGTGGGCACAAGTCGGTACAAGAAGCAACGAGGCAGTGCAAAAGCAAGTGGAGTGAGAGTACCACACTTGGGCACACCAAAGCAGGCAGCACTATTTGTAACTTTCTAAACATACTGCAAAGCATTCAAACTGACAGAAACTGGCACTGAAAGTCTACCGCGAAGCAGGGCAGAGAGGCAGAAGAAGGAAAGCTCACCAGTCGGCCTGCTCGTGCCAGCAGAGCAAACTGCCCCTCTGCTGCTGGCGCCTATGAGGGGAGCAAGTTGCAAGGGAGGGAGGCAGGCAGGAAGGGAGGGAGGTGAAGGCAGGGAGGTTAGATATGCCAGGGAGGGACAACTCGATACAGCTCACCAGTCCGCCTGCTCGTGCCAGCAGTGCAAACTGCCCCTCCGCTGCTGGCGCCTGCGAGGGGAGCACATGCATGGGGTTGGGCAACGGCGGGGGGGTGAAGGAGGGAGGTGAAGTATGCTGACACGGCTGACACAAATGATACGGCTGGCACAGATGATACGGCTGGCACAGATGATACGGCTGGCACAGATGATACGGCTGGCACAGATGATACGGCTGGCACAGATGATACGGCCTCGCTCCACCCCAGCACCACATCTCTCCATCTTCCCCTTTATGCTCTCCCACCCTCCATCAACTCTCACATTGGAGAGCCAGAGCTCTAGGTCCTGAGACATCACCTGTCGCTCCGCCCCAGCACCACATCTCTCCCACCCTCCGTCATCACTCACATTGGAGAGCCAGAGCAATAGGTCCTGAGACACCACCCTTGGCTCCACTGCCTACCTTTGATCTTCCTGTTTGTCCTGTCCCGACCAACCTTCCGTTCACCTTCCCATTTATTCCCTCCCTCCCTCCTCTCCCTCCCTCAGCACTCACATTGGACATCCAGAACTCGAGGTCCTGAGACACCACCCTTCGCTCCACTGCCTACCTTCATTTTCCCGTTTGTTCTGCCCAACCCTCCGATCACCATTCCATTCATTCCTTCTCTCCCTCGCTCCCTTCACGACTCACATTGGAGAGCCAGAGCTCGAGGTCCTGAGATACCACCCTGCGCTCCACTGCCTGCCTTCCCAACGTCACTGACACAATCCTGCACACAGGGGGGGGAAGTGAGGAGGAGAGCGCAGGGGGTGGGGACAGGAGAGCGCAGGGGGTGGGGACAGGAGAGCGCAGGGGGTGGGGACAGGAGAGCGGAGGAGAGTGGGAGCGTCTGAGTCGGTTCAACAGTCGATTTTGCATTGATGGTGGAGCAAAAGAGAGCTGGAATGACGACAAAGAAGGGCATCCGAGTTGACCGACAGTGAGTCAGCAAGCAGTGAGTCAGCAACTCACCCTGCTTGCTGTCTCAGCTAGTTTCCGATAGCTAGCAGGCCCGGAAGGGGAGGACGAGAGGAAGGAGGAGGGAGGTGCCAAGGAGGGGCATGTACAGGGAGAGAGGTGACATTCAGATTGACCTACCCTGGCTGCTGCCTGAGTTGGTTGCAGAGGGCTAGCAGACCCGGTAGGGGCGGGGGCGAGGAGGCACCGGGGAGAGGGGAGGAGGGAGCAGAGGTCGCCTGGGGAAGGTGGAAAGAGAGGAGGGTAGGGGGGAACAGGGAGGACAAAATGAAGGTGTGGTTCAGGTCAGCTGTGCATGTGCATGTGTGTGTGACGTGCATGTGTGGATGTCTGTATGCATGTGTGTGTGACGTGCATGTGTGGATGTCTGTGAGCATGAGTGTGCTTATCGATGCGTGTGTGTATATGCATGTTTGTGTGCGCTCGCAATCAAGCAGCAAGCGTGGGGAGGATAGAGCAAGTGAAAAGAGAGATCAAGCTGCAGAAGGAACTGACATGAGAACGAAATCGGCTTCATAACGAATATAAGAGGACTTCAAACGAGAATGAAAAGACCAGAAGGAGGAGCAGCAAGTGAGCGTGCAGGCAGAAGAAGGATCAGACCTCAAGGGCGGAGGCAGAAGGGGAGGTGGCATCTGGGGCGGGTTGGAAGGGCAGCAGGCGGTCTAGCGTCTCGAGGAGGGGATCTGCCTGCACCTGCTTCAGCGACAAACCCACTCGCTCCCTCTCCCTGATGTTTGTACGGGCACGTGGATGCATGGATGGAAGGGATGGACACATGCAACGCGTTTTTGGGGCGAGGGCAGCAGGCGATCGAGTGCCTCGAGAGCGGGTCTGCCTGCACCTGCTTCAGCGACAAACCCACTCGCTCCCTCTCCCTGCCATGTGCAAGGACGTAGGGATGCATGGATGCATAGATGAGAAATGAAGGCGATACCTAAGCTAGATGCAAAGCCCAGAAGCACACACCAAGGGTGCGAATGCCAGTCTGCCCTCCTGCCTGCCTGTCCCTGCAACGCTGCATCTCCACTCACTCACTCACCGCTCCACCTGCAGCACCAAGGCGTTCACTTGATTCCCCACCATTCCCACGCACCCCTGCTGCACGCGCTGCAACCCAACCTCTTAGCACTGTGAGCTCTCTACGACTCTCGCAGCTCACCGCTCCACCTGCAGCACCAAGGCGTTGACTGCATCCCCCACGGCAACCACATCAGCAGGCGAGCGCACGGGGTCCCAGGAGAGCTCTGACACATGCACCAGCCCCGTCGCCAGAAATAAACCCTCCTTCTCCCCCTCCTTGCCCCCCTCCGCCTTGTCCCCCTCCTTGTCTCCCTCTTCTTTGTCCCCTTCCGGTTGGAAGAGGTCCACAAAGGCGCCAAAGTCAGTGAGGGAGGAAACGACCCCCGGGTACACGCGCCCCTGCTGCACGCGCGGCAGCCCCCGCGCTGCTGCTGCCCGCTTCTCCGACACCACCAGGCGCGTTCGGGCTTCGTCCAGCTCTAGGACTCTCACCCCCACCATGGTTCCCACAAGGGCTCGAGTCACGTCTGCTACATTGGGGGCCGGTGACGTGGCTGCTTGGGAGAAGGGAGGTGGGGAGGGGAACGAGGGGGTTGAGGGTCCTTCACTATTTTTCTTGCCTCGTCTGTGAGCGAGGAGACAACGCCCCTGCTGCACGCGCGGCTCCTTTTCCGACACCACCAGACGGGTTCGGGCTTCGTCCAGCTCTAGGACTCTCACGCCCACCACGCTGCCTACTAAGCTTCGAGTTACATCTGCTACTGCTGCTGGGAGGGGAGAGAAGGACGGAAAGTTGGCGAAAGGATGTGAGCGAGGGATTTGGGACTAGTCAGCCCCCTTGGCTCATGCTGCTGCCCGCTTCTCCGACACCACCAGGCGCGTTCTCGCCTCGTCCAGCTCCAGCTCCAGCACCCCCACCATGCTTCCCACCAGGGCTCGACTCACGTCCACTACTGTTGCTGGGAGAAGAGGGAGAGAGGGGATGAAAGAGAGGGGAAGGGAAAAGTCAGCCCCCTGGCTGGCTGCTTGCTGCCCGCTTCTCCGACACCACCAGACGCGTGTGTGCCTCGTCTAACTCGAGGATTCTCATTTCACCCCCACCATGCTTCCCACAGGCCCCGGGTCACGTCTGCCTGCTTCTGCTGCTGGTACGGGGAGGGAGAGGTGGGAGGAAGTGAGGGGAGGGAGTTCTGAGGCCCCTAGTCTTGACATCACTCACCCATGCCTCACACATGAGTCCTTCAAACTTGAGTCAAGCTGACCCTTGACATCACTCACCCGTGCCTCTGAGACGCGACGGGTCGAGCTGGGAGAGCGGAAGGAAGGCTTGAAGAGGGCCCAGGCGCACCATAAGCCCCCCCGCATTGGCGGAGACCACCCGCCCGCGCACCACCGCGCCCCTCTCCGCCACCCCCCGCACCCGCGCCCACTCCGCCTTGCGCTGCTGCAGCTAGGGGGAGGGAGGAGAGGACGGGAGAAAGGAGGAGAGCGGCGGAAAACGGGGGTTGGTGTGAGGAGAGGTTGGGGGGAAGTGACGTGGCAGTGCGCGAGTAAGTTAAGATGCAATCACGTTTAAAAAAAATAATAATAATAATAAAACCAAATTTCTTTCTATTTTCTGGCCGTTTGGGTGAGCCCAGGATGAGGGCAGAGTGGACGCAACGCAATGAGTCTGTGGTGCCATCCTCACCCGCCCTCTCACCCGCCCTCTCACCCGCCCTCTCACCCGCCCTCGCAACGCAATGAATCTGTGGTGCCATCCTCACCCGCCCTCTCACCTGCCTCTCCTCTCACTCCTCCCACCTCGCACTTGCCCCACCCCTAACCGGCCCCACCTCTCGCACGCCCCACCTCTCCCCTGCCCCACCTCTCACCTGCCCCACCTCTCAGCTGCCCCACCTCTCACTCCTCCCACCTCGCACTTGCCCCACCCCTAACCGGCCACACCTCTCGCACGCCCCACCTCTCACCTGCCCCACCTCTCCCCTGCCCCACCTCTCACCTGCCCCGATTCTCACCTGCTTCCCTTCGTCCGTCACATTGGTCTCAGCTGCCGCGTTCTCAACCGCACTCGACCGCACTCTGAACGCGCCCACCGACCTCCGCTGCTGCTGCTGCTGTCTCTGGTTGTGCTGCCTTGGGCTTATCCCGAGTCTACATTCACCTGCACGTCACATTCGATACAGCACATCCGCACTAAAGTGAATTCGCAAAAAATCTCAAAAACAAGGAGGAAGCGAGTACGGGGGAATGAGAAAGGAGGGCGGGGGAGGTGTACACGGGGAAATGGTGAGGGGTTTTCAAGCTTACCTGGAGCGACGCGAAGGGGACGCGAACAAAATCGCAAAGCAGCTAACGACGAAGCATCAGCGCGCGCTAGTGCAAACGACGACGCCATGTGCGTGCCGGCGAAACGAGTGAAACGAGCGAAACGAGCGAAATGAGCGAGACGGCGGAATGGCAGAAAGGCAATCCCAAAAGTGACCGGAGACCAGCTAGAGTAGAGATTTATAAATATAAGTCGAGCTTCACAGACGCAAGGGCAAGAATATAGATGAACGTCGCAGGAGCGGGAACGCAAAAGGAGAAATTATGGCTGTCGTCGAGAGTTGCGATGGGCGTGGCGGTCTGCTATGCGGGAATTCGAATGACACGAGTCTGATTGGAAAATAATCAGAAAATGAATATTCAAATGGAACATGGGTATTCCAAGTTGGAAGCCAGTGTGTGGTTTGTTCCTCAGCGACCTCGAGTTTGGTTGGATTGGAATCCCGGATTCTGCCGCCACCCCCCTGCGACGTCGCATGACGACTAACGACAGCTCGCATCGCACCTCATCCATTTGGTGTGTTTTTCGCTAGCTGGCCGCCATGCGACGTTGTGCGACTCAGATTTGAGTGTGGCTGGGATGGCACCACGCGTTCGGGCGTGAGTCGGTGGGTGAAACACTGACGTGTCACGACTCGCGTGCAGCGAAAAAGTCGATGGCTAAGAATATGACTAGAAATGTGGGCCACAACAACACCACGTATCTCAGAGGAAGCTTGTACCGAGGACAAAGAAAGTGCCCTTCAGAGCAGAAACCGAAGGCATGATAAATATGATTCCTTTTGGAATTCCATGTTCACAATCTAGCTTTAAACCTTGGTACACTAGTGTTCACAGCATTAACAATTATGTCTCTAACTTCGGCTCGCTTCACCTTTCCCAGAGCAGTCACAGGCAATGACTGTCCTTCCGGCAACGCCACAACCACTCGAGGGAGCTTGTACCTGCGGAGGAAACGAGAGCCAAAAAGTCTATTAACGGGGACAACATACCTGCTGAAGCTGTAAGCATACTGTATCTTGGGATGAATATCAACTCGACACCCAAGCTTATGACTGAAAAGCAGCAGGTCAATTTCATCTCACATACCTGGAGAGGCCGTGTTGCTGGCACGCAGCTTGCAAGTCACTCAATGACATGCACTCAGCAGTAGCTGCCCTTGCTGCACCTGCACCACCACTGCCACCAGCAGCAACAGCACCACCACCACTGCCACCACCGCCACTCTCACTACTGCTGTCCCCCGACCACACCCATCCCGGTTTCAGCTGCAGCAGAACAGCAACCGTCTCCCCCATTCGATCATCCGGCACGCCTGCCGCTGCTGCTGCCGCCACTCCAGGGTGTGCTCTCACTGCCTCCTCCACCTCTGCACAGAAAACATTCTCCCCGCCCGACTTGATCATTTCTTTTCGCCTGCCCAGCAGCCAAAGCTGCCCGGAAAAGTCGATCCAGCCCATGTCCCCTGTGCGCAGCCAGCCGTCTTGGGAGAGCACTGCAGCGGTTTCGTCCGGCCTGCACCAGTAGCCACTCATCACGTGCGGGCCGCGGGTTAGCACCTCCCCCACTACAGGACAAGGCTTGTGAGCTGAAGGCTGGCTGGGATTAGGTGAGGGTTGATCGAGAGGGGAGTGCGAGTGTTGAGGGGGGAGGGTTGAGTGCGGGCCAGGAGGGGCCAGGGTTGAGTGAGGAGGGGGAGGAGGAAGAGGAGAGTGTGGGTCATCAGGAGGTAGGGGCATGATACAGACTTGTACGTGTGGAGCAGGGAAGCCCACACAGCACGCTGATGCTGATGCTACTGGTGCTGATACTGTTGGTGCTGATGGTGCTGATGGTGCTGATGGTGCTCCTGTCTCTGCCCCTGCTCTCTCTGCCCCAGCCGAGTCTGCCTCTGCAGGGTCCCGTAGCATGGCAAACGTGATAGAGGAGGCTGCTTCGGTCATGCCTGGGATTGGAAAAGGTGGTATGTGGCATGTGATAATGGAGAGAGAAGGCATGCAGAGGTGACTTTTGAGTCGACTCAAAAGTCACAAAGGTGGTATGTGGCATGTGATAATGGAGAGAGAAGGCATGCAGAGGTGACTTTTGAGTCGACTCAAAAGTCACAAAGGTGGTATGTGGCATGTGATAATGGAGAGAGAAGGCATGCAGGGTTTAATTGCTGGTTGCTTGCACGAGACGGGACAGGAGCAGGTGCAGCATACAAGAGGGGATCTACTAGAAAACATGAGAGAGCATCGGAGATGGCAACGAGGAGGTACCATAGGCGAGCATTAGGCGCGCGCAGGGAAAGAGTGCCTCTGTGTGCCGCTGCAGCAATGGGCTCATTTTATGGCTCCTCACCCCACCAGCAGCTGAGTGTGCAGTGCACGAGTGGGGAGCAGATACAGGGGAGCATGAGTTGGGAGAGTATGCAATACAAGGGAGGCGGTAACAGGGAGGTACCATAAGCGAGCATGAGGCGCGCGCATGGGAATAGTGCCTCTGTGTGCCGCTGCAGCGACTGGCTCAATGCGCCTCCCCCCACCAGCAGCGTTCGCACGAGCGGGAAGGACGTGCCTGTGTGGCAGCAGGAGGGGATGAGGGAACGAGGAGAACACATGGAGAAGGTGAGAGTAGGTGTAGGGACGCGAGGAGGGTGGAAGAGAGAAGATCGGAGAAGGTGAGCGAGCACATGCGATCGAGTGGGAGAAGGGGATGCTGGTGGGTGCTGGTGGGTGCTGGGTGCTGGTGGGTGCTGGTGGGTGCTGGGTGCTGGTGGGTGCTGGTGGGTGCTGGGTGCTGGTGGGTGCTGGTGGGTGCTGGGTGCTGGAGCGAAGGTGCTGGAGGAGAGAAGGTGCTCGGTGAGCAAGTAACAAGGACCACGCACTTGGTTCCCCCTTGCTGCTCGCTGCTGCACGGAATGACTAGATCAATGAGCATGGCGGGAACAGGGCCGTGATGCCATGGAACGAGAGGAGGCGAGGGAGGTGGGCGGGGAGGAGCGCCACCACTCACTGGGTTCCCCTTGCTGCGTGCTGCGGCATGCATTCACTAGATTGGTGAGCATGGCAGGAACAGCGATGAAGGCGGTGATGCGATGGAGGGAGAGGAGGCGGGGGAGGTGTGTAGGGAGAGGTGGGATGCATGCATGCCTTAGCCCAGACACGGCCCGATCACTCACTTTGCTCGCCACTGCACGCATTCAGAAGGTCAGTGAGCATGGCAGGGACGGCGATGAGGGCGGTAATGCGATGGCGGGAGAGGAGGCGCGGGAGGTGGGCGGGGAGGAAGCGCGGCACGAGGACGTTGCGAGCACATGCTGTGAGCATGGCGAGGAGCGAGGATATGCCGCCAATGTGACACAGAGGGGCCACGTGCAGGAAGATCTGCAGGTGGGCAGGGGTCATATGGAGGAAGGAGGTTTTGAGACGTCTCAAAACGAATCTTTTATCACGTGTAAGAAGATCTGCAGGTGGGCAGGGGTCATGTGAAGAAAGGAGGTCGAGGAGCAAGTGGGGTGGGAGGAGCATGGCCAGGAGCGAGGAGACGCCTCCTATGTGGCAGAGAGGGGCCACGTGCATGAAGGTCTGAGGAGGGATGGGGACAGAGCAGCTCTGGCCTTGAGAGTCTTTCCGAGTCTGGCAAAAGAAAGAAATAAGAAAGAAGAGATCGAAGCAGAATAGGAAAAAGGAGAATTCATCCATTCCCCCAAAATGTTTATGGCAAGCGCATCGCTATCTAACAGACATCCTCGGGTCTCCCATCATCCCATCCCCGTGTCAACCCCATCCAATCCTCCTAGAATGCAAATTCATGACGGGAGTAGCAGCAAACCTTAAGAAAACGCTTAAGCAATAGGATCAAGACTTGTGAAACTTGCTCCTAGAAATTCAAGAAGATCTCAAAGCCTCCAAACTCGAAAAACCCTTATTCGCAAACTAGTTTCCGCCAGACGGGACAGAACCCCGCTAAGCCTTCATCAGTGCTGCTTACAGGTTCACAAGAAAGAAAAGCCTCGGACAGCAGCTAGCTAAGTACCTGCTACTGCCCTCGAGATCTGCTTATTGTACACCAACTACCCAGATTGCAATTCATAAGCAATCGCCAACTAAGCAAGGGGGTAAACCCAATGTGCTATGTCAGCCTTGGCGAAAAGTCTTCAAGCGAATTGTCGGTTCGGTAATCGCACACGCACCAGTAACCTTTGCAGGTTGCGAGAACAACCGGAATGTCAGCCTTGGCGAAAAGTCTTCAAGCGAAAAGTCTTCAAGCGAAATGGGTAATCGCGCACGCACCAGTAACCTTTGCAGGTTGCTTGCGAGAACACTTCCGAGCAGTTAGAATTCTCCCGACTCACATCGTCATGGCGGTGCCCCGCCCGCACACGCCAGATTCGCGAGGGACTGGGAGATGAGCTCCGTGTGGGAGAGAGCAGCCGCCTTGGGGGTGCCGGCTTCATGTGAGCTACTTCTTTGTCAAGTCCCGAGAGCGACTCACAACGTCATGCCAACCCACTCCATCGTCATTCATGCCATTCTCTTCTCTTCTCTGGTAACCCACTCACATCGTCATGGCGGTACCCCGCACACGCCAGCTTGGCCAGTGACTGCGAGATGAGCGCCGTGTGGGAGAGAGCAGCCGCCTTGGGGGTGCCGGTGGTGCCCGAGGTGAAACAGAGGAGTGCAATGCGGTGAGGGGCGAATTGGAGAGGTATGTGGTGGAGGAAGGAGGGGGCGGGAAGGGGGGAGGGGCCAAGAGAGTGAGAAGGAGAGGAGGGTGAGGAGGAGGCTTGATCGGTGAACAAGGAGGAGTTGGATGTGCGTTGCTCAGCTTCTGTAATTTCCTTTCGGCCGGCTCGAAGGACTTGTTGCATTGAGAGCAGCGCTGGGGGAGGTTATGGGGATGGGGAGGGGAGAGCACACGGGCATGGGGATGTGACATGAGGGACAGGGCGGCTGGAGGGGTAGGAGGAGAGGAGGGCAACGACGAGTTGAAAGCACGCTGAGGGAGAGGAGGAGATGAGGGAGAGGAGGGAGAGGAGGGAGAGGATAAAGGCAAGCAAGCGACCAGCCCTGAGGAAAACTCACCGGGGGACGAAGCAGAGGAGGGAGAGGAGGCAGTGGGGTCAATGGGCCCGTCCAAGATAAGAACCCCCAGTCGCAGGGAGGGGCAGAGCGGCTGGAGGTGGCCCCACCAGGGCAGCATGTGTGCATCCACCACCAGCACCGTCGCCCCCACCTGCTGCACCGCCGCTGCTGCTTCCCCTATGCTCTGTGGTGTGGGGCCGTTGAGGGAAGAGGGGAGGGGAAGATGGAAGCGGAAAGGCAAGATGGATGAGAAAGGCGTGGGTTGAGGCAGCCCCACGGCCCCCCCACCCACCAGGGCAGCATGTGTGCATCCACCACCAGCACCGTCGCCCCCACCTGCTGCACCGCCGCTGCTGCTTCCCCTATGCTCTGTGGTGTGGGGCCGTTGAGGGAAGAGGGGAGGGGAAGATGGAAGCGGAAAGGCAAGATGGATGAGAAAGGCGTGGGTTGAGGCAGCCCCACGGCCCCCCCACCCACCAGGGCAGCATGTGTGCATCCACCACCAGCACCGTCGCCCCCACCTGCTGCACCGCCGCTGCTGCTTCCCCTATGCTCTGTGGTGTGGGGCCGTTGAGGGAAGAGGGGAGGGGAAGATGGAAGCGGAAAGGCAAGATGGATGAGAAAGGCGTGGGTTGAGGCAGCCCCACGGCCCCCCCACCCACCAGGGCAGCATGTGTGCATCCACCACCAGCACCGTCGCCCCCACCTGCTGCACCGCTGCTGCTGCTTCCCCTGTGCTCTGTGGTGTGGGGCCGTTGAGGGAAGAGGGGAGGGGAAGATGGAAGCGGAAAGGCAAGATGGATGAGAAAGGCGTGGGTTGAGGCAGCCCCACGGCCCCCCCACCCACCAGGGCAGCATGTGTGCATCCACCACCAGCACCGTCGCCCCCACCTGCTGCACCGCTGCTGCTGCTTCCCCTGTGCTCTGTGGTGTGGGGCCGTTGAGGGAAGAGGGGAGGGGAAGATGGAAGCGGAAAGGCAAGATGGATGAGAAAGGCGTGGGTTGAGGCAGCCCCACGGCCCCCCCACCCACCAGGGCAGCATGTGTGCATCCACCACCAGCACCGTCGCCCCCACCTGCTGCACCGCCGCTGCTGCTTCCCCTATGCTCTGTGGTGTGGGGCCGTTGCGGAAAGGAGGGAAAGGGGAGATCGAAGAGGGTTGCATAGAGGAATGGTGTGATTTGACTAGGAAATGAGTCGTGAGTATGTGTCAGTGTTGTGTGGTGCGAGCGGGGGGGAGTTGTGCAAGCGGGGGGGAGTTGTGCGAGCGGGGGGGAGTCGTGCAAGCGGGGGGGAGTTGTGCAAGCGGGGGGGAGTTGTGCAAGCGGGGGGGAGTTGTGCAAGCGGGGGGGAGTTGTGCAAGCGGGGGGGAGTTGTGCAAGCGGGGGGGAGTTGTGGGAGCTGAGTGGAGGGAGGGAGTGACACTGAGAGGGAGTGACACTGAGAGGGAGTGACACTGAGAGGGAGTGACACTGAGAGGGAGTGACACTGAAAGGGAGTGACACTGAGAGGGAGTGACACTGAGAGGGAGTGACACGACACTGACCCATCGGTGGTTGAGAGGCGCAAGAATGGCGCCCACAGCTGGCACTGCGAGTAGCCACTGCACGTATGCCGAGCTGCATGGGTGTGATGCGGCAAGGGATGGTGAGAGAGAGGGTTATGGTTCGTTAATGGCACATTCGATAGTAGAGATGTGAGCACAGTCGTGCAGGGAAAGGGTCGTGCGTCCGATAATATCACATTCGGTACTAGTAGTCGTGCGCATGCTATTCGCCCTCAGTTCAGCAGCATTGATCGAGAAAGCTCCCATCATTGATCATTGCAAGGAACGCATCCCACTCGACCGGAAGCTGGCCGTATAATGCAGCAAAGCGTATCCCAATGCAACGAATGCTTCCAGCTAGCCACGTGAATATTTTGCGAATTCTCTCACAAAAGAATGGCGACGGAAAGATACGTCGCCGTTAGGTACGCTATGCCGTGCTATGCGACGGTACCTGTTAAGCGCTGCGATGCACACTCGCTCCCCCAGCGCAACGTCGCAGAGAGTCTCCAGCCCTCTGGCCAGGCATGCGACGTCAGCGACTAATTGCGACCCGGTTAGCGTCGCACCGCTATCGTCATCGACGGTGACGACGCAGTTCGCCCGACGCTGCTCGAGTGATTGGAGGACGTGACACACGTGAGACCATGGCGGAGACAAATGGTCCGCCATTAGCTTCTGGAAGCTAAGGCGAACACGCTTTGTAAAACCGTACGTAGTGATGTGTTCGCAGGAGGAAGGTAACGGGATAGCGAATGTTCCAGTAAGGGATGATGAATTTACACTTACAGTGCAACTGACTTGCGTTGGCAGTACACTGATGTGATGTGTGGGTGAGAATTCTTCTTTACTACCAATGTGTGATTGTTATGCATAACTATGGCTAGCTATGATGTTGGTCATTTGCCCATTCACTGACGTTGTATGTATGTTGAGGGCTGTTTTTAGAGTTAGACACAATCGTTTTGAAAAATGTTTGGCCTTTGGATTTAAGAGCTGGAGGAGCTACACTGTCATTGAATGATCATCACTCTTTGTTGCTGACAACATGACATAGAGAATATATGTGTATGTGTGCAAACGTATAGCAGCATTCGGCTCTTTGCTTCAAATTCTTAGGTAACCGCAAAGAATCCAGCACCTGCACCATAATCTAGCAAGTGAATTTGTGGTTTCTTTGACGGGGATGTATGTCCCCTTCCCGCCATGATGGTTCACAAGCATACGACAATTTTTAAAACCAGGGTCTGACACAGGCCAGCACAAATGTTGACCGCGGCTCGTGCCATGGCATCTACTGTACATGTACGTCATCTTGTGATTGATGGTAACCGTACAGTACCAAAACAGGCAGTCTCATCGCAAAATCGTCCATTTTCATCGCTGAGCAAAGAAGCCTTGGACCTGGATGCCCACAAAACAACATGCCTTCTGGTTATGGCATTATCATTCATGACACTTTTGGTTTTCAATCTGATGTTTCGCACATCTTTACCGCCAACCGCCGGACAGTGCGCGCGCCAGTGCACCACTGTTTCCGACGACGGGCGCGCCAGCGCAACACTGTTTCCGCCTTCCTTCACTTTTCATTGGCCGAGATTCTCCCGCTCCCCACCTGTCAGCGGAACCTGTCCACACACTTCTCAGCGGCGTCCCCCTCGTGCTTGCAGGGGCCGGAACGGGAGCGAACTCCTCTCGTCGCCCACTTCGCTTCCCTTTCGCCGAGACTCTCTCTGTCTGCCACACAACACCCTTTTCAATTACTCTCAAACCTTCTGAACCGATTTGAGTTGTCCTGACTTTCCCTCACTTCCATCGACTTCCATCTCTTCTCGCTCCCCAATCTGTTAGCTGCTCTTCCCATTCCTGAACAGTGTCTTACACGAATCTCGACATTCCCCAGGCAGCGTAATCCCCTTCTGTGACACTAGTTAGTCTGGGTAACTCGGAGTCCATGGCTTCCTCCGTTGCGACTATAACCGATGATGGTGTTCAGAAATTAAAGCCTAGTAGGACTATAGCCGTCTAAAGTTCCGGATTCATATCGCTCTAACTCGTTAAAGAGGGCGTCTCATATTTTCTCCGTTTTACAGTTGGTTGGATTTAACACTTGGTTGGCCTCCGTGACTGGTTGACGAAACACAAAATTTGTGACTAGCTGGGGTCCCGTTTCTGTCAAAACCAATCACTGACGCGAGCTTCCAACCAAGTGTTAAATGCTCGTAAATATGAGACGCGAGCTTCAACTCGACGTCCATCAGCCTTATTCAATACGGCGGTCGGTCGGTCGTTATTATCAGAGTTCTAACATTGGATCCGTTTCATCGGTTTCTGGTCAAGAAACTTCACATTCGCTGTTCATTTTCAGCTCGCGACGTGATTTTTTTACCTACATCGTTCGCTCGGATCCAGCAAGCTTCGTCCTACGAAATCCAGCAGTTACGAAGTAGGAAGTCTGCAAGGGATTATGTGACGTTCCGACGGATGAACCGCTCCCGCAGTCTACGACGTTACAACGGATGCGACCGTCGCAAAGCAGTTTGCTACCGACGCATGAGACGCTCTAATCGACGGACGAAGTTCGACGGACAAAGTCGACGGACGAAGCCGTAAACGGACGAAGTTCGACGAAGCCGTTGACGGATCTGATCATGGATGAGTTCGCGAAGCTGTCAGCAGAGTTCGCAAAGCCGTCAGCAGAGTTCGCGAAGCCTTCAGCAGAGTTCACGAAGCCGTAAGCAGAGTTCGCGAATCCGTCAGCAGAGTTCGCGAAGCCGTCAGCAGAGTGCGCGAAGCCGTCAGCAGAGTTCGCGAAGACGTCAGCATAGTGCGCGAAGCCGTCAGCAGAGTTCGCGAAGCCGTCAGCAGAGTTCGCAAACCGTCAGCAGAGCTCGCGAAGCCGTCAGCAGAGTTCGCGAAGCCGTCTGCAGAGTTCGCGAAGCCGTCTGCGCTCGCGACAATACATTACTACATTATTACATTCGAGCTCGCTCGCGACGATACTACCTCGGAGGTAAACGCCGACGACACGCTCTTGTCATATTCCCTTCATACGCGCTTGTTCATAACACGCTTTCTGTGTGAATCTCTTTTCCAGTCTATCGAGGCACTAATTTTGTCTCTCATTTCGTCTCTCTCCCGTGAAGGGCTGAAGCTGCGCAAGCCATGCGGATTGAGTTGCGCGGATGATGCGGTTGCGGATGATGCGGTTGAGCTGCGCGGATGATGCGGATTGAGCTGCGCGGATGATGCGGATTGAGCTGCGCGGATGATGCGGATTGAGCTGCGCGGATGATGCGGATTGAGCTGCGCGGATGATGCTGATTGAGCTGCGCGGATGATGCGGATTGAGCTGCGCGGATGATGCGGATTGAGCTGCGCGGATGATGCGGATTGAGCTGCGCGGATGATGCGGATTCAGCTTCGCGTATGATGCGGATTGAACTGTCTCTGGCAATCTTCCTGTCGACGAACGGATGCGAGTTGAACAGACGGATGCAAGTTGATCGGACGGATGCCATCCTCTTGTCATCACCACCTGTCGCGGCGTTGGACGAATGGCTGAGGAAGCAGGGTCAACGGGAGTCACTAGTATACTGGGTAAGCTCTTCTCACTCTTGATTGGTCCCTTTTTCTGTCCCTTACTCGAACCCTAATTCCTCCTTTACGCTGTCTAGCCTTGGTTCTGCTTCCGTTGTTCCTGTTTCCCTTTATGCTGTCTAGCCTTAGTTCTGCTTCCGTTGTTCCTGTCTGCTTGATGCTGTTGTTCTCCTCATTCTGTTCTCCGTATTCTCTTTGCCTTGTCCGAGCAGAATGTGGAGGAGAGGAGGAGCAGAGGAGTCAAGAAGGAGAACAAAGGAGAACAAAGGAGCAGCTGAGGTGGACGGGCATGTGGCTGAGGTAGACGGGCGCGGTGGGATGACGCACGGCCGGCAGCCACTGGCGTGTGGCTGCCTCTACCCGCCCTGCTGACCACCCGCTCGAGGAGCCGTGGAGCATCAAAGGCATCACTGGCATCACTGGCATCTCCTGGGCAGCAAAGCAACTGGGAAGTCTCTTTCCCCTCGCCTTCCCTTCTCGTTGTTTCGATGTCATTCCGTGTTTTCAGCACCATCGTTCGTTCTTCACTCCATCGTCCTGCATTTCGCGTTTGTGCACGTCCCTCTAATACGTTCGGCTGCAGCTTAGTAGATGTCCTCCGCGGGTTTTGGGTAGCATAGATTTTGGGTTGGGTAGCATAGATTTTGGGTTTTGGGTAGCATAGCTCCTCCCTCTGCTAGCTGCAGCCGGCGTATCATGGACGTGCATCCATCCCACCACCTCACCTCGTTTCCACGTGTTGTTCTCTGCTTTCAATTTCCGCTCTTCGTTTCCGCTTTCAATTCCGCATTTCGTTTCCTTGTGTTTGTATTGCTTTCTTTTCCATTTCGCAGTTCTGTTTACTGACTTCGTGCATCTGTCTGTGTGTTCTTTCCCCCTGTTCATGGGTTCTTCACTGCAGAGGACGGCAGCAGTGGCTCGGGAGGACGGCAGCAGTGGCTTGGGAGGACGGCAGCAGTGGCTCGGGAGGACAGCAGCAGTGGCTTGGACGGCAGCAGTGGCTCGGGAGGACGGCAGCAGTGACTCGGGCGGCAGCAGTGGCTCGGAGGACGGGAGCAGTGGAGGGAGTGGCGAGCGGTGGGATGACGCACGGCCTGGGCTGGCCCTGCTGACCACTGCTCTCGCCCAACCTGTCAGGATCAGCAGCGGGACTGACCACTGCCGTCTTCGAGTGGCGGTGTGGCACAGGGGATAGTGGCGGCAAGGATAGGCGCGGTGCTGCTGGCGACTCGTGTGCATGCGGCTCCGACCCCTGCTAAATATGGCTAAGAAACCTCCTTACACTTGTTTTTCTCACTCACTTGCTCACTAGCACTTTCACTGCTCGCCTCCACTGCTCGCCTCCACTGCTCGCTCTCGCTTTCGCTTTCGCTCGCCTAAACTCCTATCTTGTTCTTGATGCTGCTGTTCTTGATGCTCTTGTTCTTGATGCTCTTGTTCTTGATGCTCTTGTTCTTGATGCTCTTGTTCTTGATGCTGCTTTTCTTGATGCTCTTGTTTTTATGCTCTTGTTCTTGATGCTCTTGTTCTTGATGCTGCTGTTCTTGATGCTCTTGTTCTTGATGCTCTTGTTCTTCATGCTGTTGTTCTTCATGCTGCTGTTCTTGATGCTGCTGTTCTTGATGCTGCTGTTCTTGATGCTCCTGTTCCTGATGCTCTTGTTCTTGATGCTGCTGTTCTGGATACTCTTGTTCTTGATGCTCTTGTTCTTGATGCTCTTGTTCTTGATGCTCTTGTTCTTGATGCTCTTGTTCTTGATGCTCTTGTTCTTCATGCTGTTGTTCTTCATGCTGCTGTTCTTGATGCTCTTGTTCTTGATGCTCTTGTTCTTGATGCTGTTGTTCTTGATGTTCTTGTTCTTGACGCTGCTGTTCTTGATGCTGCTGTTCTTGATGCTGCTGTTCTTGATGCTCTTGTTTTTTATGCTCTTGTTCTTGATGCTCTTGTTCTTGATGCTCTTGACTCTAATGCTCTTGTTCTTGATGCTGCTGTTCTTGATACTCTTGTTCTTGATGCTCTTGTTCTTGATGCTCTTGTTCTTGATGCTCTTGTTCTTGATGCTCTTGTTCTTGATGCTCTTGTTCTTGATGCTCTTGTTCTTGATGCTGCTGTTCTTGATGCTGCTGTTCTTGATGCTCTTGTTCTTGATGCTGCTGTTCGTGATGCTCTTGTTCTTGATGCTGTTGTTCTTGATGCTCTTGTTGTTGATGCTGCTGTTCTTGATGCTCTTGTTCTTGATGCTGCTGTTTTCTATGCTCTTGTTCTTGATGCTCTTGTTCTTGATGCTGCTGTTCTTGATGCTTTTGTTCTTGATGCTGCTGTTCTTGATGCTCTTGTTCTTGATGCTATTTCTATCTTGTTCTCTGGCACTTGCTTGCTTTCTATCTTGTTCTCTGCCGCTTGCTTGCTTTCTATCTTGTTCTCTGCCGCTTGCTTGCTTTCTATCTTGTTCTCTGCCGCTTGCTTGCAGGTTGATATGCTCAACATGCGTGGGGAGACGAAGACCCCCCCACCTTCCTCCCCTCCCTGTGCAGGTTGATATGCTCAACATGCGTGGGGAGTCGAAGACCCCCCCACCTTCCTCCCCTCCCTGTGCAGGTTGATATGCTCAACATGCGTGGGGAGTCGAAGACCCCCCCACCTTCCTCCCCTCCCTGTGCAGGTTGATATGCTCAACATGCGTGGGGAGTCGAAGACCCCCCCACCTTCCTCCCCTCCCTGTGCAGGTTGATATGCTCAACATGCGTGGGGAGTCGAAGACCCCCCCACCTTCCTCCCCTCCCTGTGCAGGTTGATATGCTCAACATGCGTGGGGAGTCGAAGACCCCCCCACCTTCCTCCCCTCCCTGTGCAGGTTGATATGCTCAACATGCGTGGGGAGTCGAAGACCCCCCCACCTTCCTCCCCTTCCTGTGCAGGTTGATATGCTCAACATGCGTGGGGAGTCGAAGACCCCCCCACCTTCCTCCCCTCCCTGTGCAGGTTGATATGCTCAACATGCGTGGGGAGTCGAAGACCCCCCCACCTTCCTCCCCTCCCTGTGCAGGTTGATATGCTCAACATGCGTGGGGAGTCGAAGACCCCCCCACCTTCCTCCCCTCCCTGTGCAGGTTGATATGCTCAACGTGCGTGGGGAGTCGAAGACCCCCAACTGTGGCATCAGGTGGTGTGCGGCAGGGGCTGCCGAGGGCGTTAGGGCTGGCCTCCTAACGCCTGAAGCGCCCCTGTGTGTGGGTGCTCTGATGATGGATGGGGGGACGCTCCCTGAAGTCGGATGAGCCTCACCCCGCCTCCACCTGGGCCAGGCAGGCTCTGCCTGGTTTGAGCGAGGCTTGGGAGACGTCTCATGTCCTCCTCGTGCCATGCGAGGTTGCGGAGTGGAGGTGGACTGCACGGCACGCCAGCAATGGTCGTGGTGGTGGGTGTTGTAAGTGTAACTGCTTTCCGCGCTTTCCTTGCGTGTTTTTCTTCGCTGTTTCCTTGTTTGTTGCTTGTTTCTTCGCTGTTTCGTGTTTGTTGCTTGTTTTTCTGCTATGGTTCGTTGTTTGTTGCTTGTTTTTCTTCTATGTTTTGTTGTTTGTTTCCTTGTTTGTTGCTGTGCTTGCTAGCTGTGTGCTACTAACCCCCCGTGCTCCCCGTGCAGGTCCCACACGAAGGGCCCCCACCTCAACGTGGTGTGTGGGTGTAACACTAGGGGTTAATCCCCCTGGTGGCCAAGAGGGGCCCAGAAGACCCAAGAGAAGACCATGGCACGCTTTAGTATAGCATTTATGATTGTAGATTTATATAATTGCCCGTACAATGATACAGTAGATCTGCTTAGGTATGGCTCAAACAAATATGTCTCAGCATAGACACTTGAATTGAAACTAGGTAGTTTGACATGCACAAGAGTAGCATAGGGCGCAGCAGAGCTGATGAACAGAATTATTTATGTATGGTATGCACAAAGACATTCAGCCTATCATTTCATGCAAATATAGCAATAACATGCAACAGAGGCAAAAATCCCAGTCATGGGACATTGCTACTTGTGATGCTACTTCTGGCAATGCTGTGTGATGTTAAGGCATCACCAACAGAGACTCATGTGTCCCTACCTACACAGTAACAGCGTGCTGAAGAGGGAAGCATTGCTTTCTGTTGTATGCTGTGCCTCTGCTCTTCTCAGGCTGAGTGAATCAGCATCCAACATGACTGTAATGTAAGCAATCATCTAGACTCTTTCCCCCTTAACACAAAGGGAGCAATGAGCGTCCTCAGATAAACCAAAGCAGATAACCACAGCAAAGCCTTTTTTGACCCAGGTGCTAATCCAACCAGCATAGATGCTCCACACAACGGGCGTTTGATTCATATTTCAGCCCAGTAATATCATAGGCATGTACATTGAACCTGTAAGGAACACGAGATAGAAGAAATCGTAACCAGTGCGCCTCTCCGTTACCAGCAAATTCCTTGTCTTGAGAGCCAGGCGAGTGAGAGGAAGTCGAAGACCCACCCACCTTCCTGAAGTTGGATGAGCCTCACCCCGCCTCCACCTGGGCTCTGCCTGGTTTGAGCAGATTCCTCGTCTTGAGAGCCAGGCCGGAGCGAGAAGCAGCGAGAGTTGATGCCAGTGGCATAGACCCCGAGAGTTGGCATAGACTGAGACAGCAATGCTGATGAGCGCCACTATGAATGCCTGATTGGCATAAACGGGAGAATGAAGAAATTTGAAAAAGGAGAACAAAGGCATAAGACCAAGTCGCGGTTACATACGGTGCTTGTCGGCTCCTGTATGTATGCAAGTGGATATAAAATCATTGATATTGTACGAAGTGTACAAGAGTGATCAGAAATGTGTGGCATAGACTGAGATCGCTATGTTCATGGGCGCATTTATGAATGCCTGGGTGGCACAGGCGGGATGGGAATGAAGAATGAAGCATAAGTACTACAGTGGAAAGAAGCAACTTGGGATGTTCTCACCAGAATATCAAGCCACCCGCCGTATCCGGTCTGGCAAGGGCGAGTGTTGCATGCCTCAGCGGTCGGCTCACTCATGATTGCCGACCAGCGGAAAAAAGACAAAATTTACCGCCATGACGCCAGTGGTGAGCGGCCCTGCGTCCACCTGCGCATACACATGTACAGATGCAGATGCACGCAAGTCGGGTAGGAGGTTACCATATTACCAGGTGACATGCGTGCATGAGTGGGTGATGTGCGTACATGTGTACATGAACATACACATGTACTCAAGGATATAGTCTTCGATGCATATCTGCACATCTACATGACAATTGATGAGCCAGAAATTCACCAGCATCAAAGCATTTGGAGCGGCCGAGAAGTCAGCGAAGGATCTCACATTTTGTCGTTGTTGAGGCAAGAGTCATTTCACACGTAGATGAAGTTTAAATTGAAGATGCTCACGAGCTGAATCATCAGGCTCCTGCTATCGCCACCTCAAATGATAGTACCGGCATGTGTGCTAGAACACGCTATCAATGAAGGTAAGGTTCTCACATTTTGTCGTTGTTGAGCCAAGAGTCATTCCACACGTAGATGAAATTGATAATGCTCACGAGCTGAATCACCAGGAACACTGCTGCTCCCGCTATCGCCACCTCGCCATACACCTGAAATACCTCTGGTAAGGTGACGGGTCAGGTGAAAACCACAGAAGGACCAACTGTGAAGTGTCAGTGGAACGGAGTGAGGGATGAAGCAGTGAACATGAACAAACGAATCCAGTCCGTAACTGGACAGAGGCAAGAAGAACACAGAAGCCGGACAAGCGCAGAAGCAGGAGGAAGCACACAACAGACATACGGTATGGAGGAGAAACGAGCATACATACGGTAAGGGAGGAGGAAGGGGAGTGGAGGCGAGCATGAGAGCAAAGAAGAGGCACTGCAGCACTGCCGGGCCGAAGCTCACTCGCAGCACTGCCAGCGCGCCCACACACCCAGGGTTGTTCTGCTCGCATGACTGGACGCCTGGTAGGGAGGGAGTATGGAAAGCACGAGTGCGGGACGCAGGAGGGTGGGTGGGTGGGACGCAGGAGGGTGGGAAGCCGAAGCAGGGAGAAAGGATGACCGTGATTCGTGTGGTGTGAAAAGGCCGAGTGTAAAATGCGTCACCCGCAGCATTGCCAGGGCTCCCGCACAAGCAGGGTTGAAGGATAAGGGAAGGGACAAAGGAGGGAAGGAGGGTACGAGGCTGAGGATAGCACTAGCCGCGGTTTCTGCAATGCAATGATACAGGAACCTTGTTCCCACAGCAATACAACAAAGTGTACGGATCACACTCAATGTAGAGATTGTAGAGTGCATCGGTGGCATAGTCTCTAAGAACCCACGCTACAACAACGGAGGCCAGGAACATCCCTCCATATAAGAACGTCGCCGCGACGCGCGAGGGGCCGAAGGAGCAGCAGGAGCAGAGGCAGTGACCCAAAGCGGTACCGGCGAAAGCACCGCAACAGCCGGTGCAGAATCCGATGCACATCGCGCCTCGCCTGCTAACTGATGCTCCTGATGCTGATCGCGGGGCTGCTGATCTCTGATCGCTTGATGCTGATCGCCGCTGATCTCTGATCGCCGCTGGTGATCGCTTGATGCTAATTGCAGATCGCCGCTGATCGCTTGGTGCTGATCACCGAGCGTCGATTGCTGGTCTCTGATCGACGGATTTCGACGGCTCGGTTTGGATTATCGGCTCTCTAAGCTATGACGCTCTACCCAGCATAGAGAGCGTTCAAAGAGTCGTCATTGACTTGATAATGCATTCCTGACGCTGATCATGGTATTGACCGTTGTCAATCCGTTGGTTGAATCAGCATTTTCGCGAATGCGCAGCGTCTGAAACGCAATATCGCCGCGTTCGAAGGTAACGAGTTAGTTTGCGTGACGACTACTAACAAGTTTGTGACGAAAGAACGCTCACGTTATTCAACCTACAAAGATCATAAGCCGTGGGGCCTTTATGGCATGGAAGACGCGCCACGGGAATGGTTCAGGGGCCATGAAATTGGTAACGAGGAAAAAGTCTCATCTTGATCATGGCAGTACCGTGTCTTAACTTCAAATCTATGGAGTGAATGATGTTATGAATACTTGTATTGCATACGAAGTAAGCTGAAAAGGGTTCAACCACTTGACTGTCTGTTCGCGAAGGCATATCTCCAGAAATCGCGAAATTGTCCAAGCCGGTCAGCCTCTCCCAGCCATCGGTTGCTCTTTTACGCATGTCGCCGAGCAGGTATCCCTTCGTCGTACAAGATTCGCAAACGTTGTCAGACTTCGCGAAACCCATCATTCACCTCCGCTTCCCCCCGTTCCCCCCACATAATGAAATCCGACCTCCGCCTGCCTCATTTCGCCTGTCAGATGCAAACTCGCGCAACCTCAGAATTCGTTTCCGCGTGCGCAAACGCTACGGAGAAGAAGAGGCAAGGCAAGCCAACCTCGGGAATATTCTTTTGCGCGCGGCAGTCCCAATGCTTGCTCTGCTGCGCCATAAAGCTCGACGCCTCTGCCTCCCTCATTCCCAGATCAAGACTCCAGCTCTCGCTGCTCTCCCCCTCCTCACCTCTCCTCGGCTCTCCAGTCGCGTAGGAGCGAGCGACCGATCCGTTTCTGCGTCTCCCGCGCTCATTCCTCCGCTTCCGCGAGATTTAATTGCCAGAACCATGGTGAACGAGGACAAATGGGAGCTGAAGCCTCATCCCGTGATTCCCCGCGGGAAGCCGCTCGTGTTTATGATCCTCGACGGATGGGGAGAGAATGTCGAGGACGACTATAACGCGATCTACAAGGGCAACTGCCCGCACATCAAGGCGCTGCGCGAAAACCGCCCCAACCGCTGGCGCACGATCAAGGCGCACGGGAAGGCCGTGGGGCTGCCGAGCGATGGCGACATGGGGAACTCGGAAGTCGGGCACAACGCCATGGGCGCGGGGAAGGTCATCAACCAGGGGTGCGTGGTTGCTAGGACAGGGAGTCGGTGCTTGGGGCCTCCGGTCGTTTGACTGTCGCCCGAATCTCCAGATCCGTTGATTTTAATTGGAGATCTGGGCTCTTGCATTCTGACCGTTTTGTTCGTTCTCATCCGATACCGTTTTAAATCTTTCCTAGCTCTTTCAATCTTTCGCCGCTCGTATCTTTCGCCGCTCGTTGAATCTTTCTTTGCCGTTGAATCTTCTTCCGTTCATAAATCCTTCGCCTTTCGCCTGCGTGCATGCGTCCGTGCAGAGCTGCGCTCGTGGACGCCGCTCTCGAGACGGGCGACATGTTCAAGAGCGAGGGCTTTAACTACGTCAAGGAGGCGTGGGACAACGGCGGCACGCTCCACATGATCGGCCTACTCAGGTCAGCGCGCGATCTGTCTCGCAGGAATTTCTGTGCGACCTCTCCAGATCAACTTCCATCTGTCCGTTTCGGCGATCGTGAGCGGATCTGGCAGATTTACCGGTTTCTTGTCCTCCGATTTCCTTGTGTTTTCTCGATTCAGCGGTTTCCGTTGTTGTCTAATCCTTGTGTTCCATCTCTTCCGTTCTCGCCCGCGTGTGTCGCAGCGACGGCGGCGTGCACTCGCGCTACGACCAGGTGATCGGCACCATCCACGGCGCGTGGGAGCGCGGCGCGAAGCGCGTGCGCGTGCACGTGCTGACGGATGGCCGCGATGTGCCGGACGGGTCGTCGCTGCAGTTCGTGGCGCAGCTGGAGAAGGATCTCGAGCTGCTGCGCGCGCAGGGCTGCGACGCCAAGATCGCGTCTGGTGGTGGCCGCATGCGCGTCACCATGGACCGTTACGAGGTCAGTGGTCGTCAGCGGTGGTCAGTGGTGGTGAGTGATGGTGAATGGTGGTAAGTGGTGGTGAGTGGTGGTGAGTGGTGGTGAGGTGACTGTTCAGGTCGTGGCGCAGCAGGGGAAGGACCTCGAGCTGCTGCGCGTGCGGGGCTGCGACGCCAAGATCGCGTCTGGTGGCGGCCGCATGCGAGTCACGACGGATCGCTACGAGGTGAGTGGTGGTGAGTGGTGATGAGTGGTGGTCAGGTGAGTGATGAGTTCGCGGCGCATCTGGAGAAGGATCTTGAGCTGCTGAGCGCGCAGGGTTGCGAAGGGAAAGGATGAAGTGACTAGACTGGGAAGAATTTCAAATTTAGTTCCTAAGTGAGAGGGAACTTACGCTTTGTTGATTGGCAGTACAGCAAAGAATGTTTTGGTAGAGAGTGGTACAGACAAGACTAGCAGAGAATGTGACAATGATGACTGAGAACCTTACAGAAGAGGCTTGGGTGCCCCGCGCGCGGGTGGGACTTGTGTGAGAGGCCTCAGAACCGGAATTTCTCCCCCATCTGGCAAATTCTTCCTTTTTCTTCCCTCGCACCCCCCTCTCCTTCTCCTTTCTCCGCGCCCTATTTCCTCCCGCGCCAGGCGGACTGGAAGATCGTGGAGCGCGGGTGGCACGCGCACGTGCTGGGCGACGCGCCGTTCAAGTTCAAGTCGGCTCTCGAGGCGCTGAAGAAGATCAAGGAGGACGACCCGAGCGTGAACGACCAGTACTACCCGCCGTGGGTGATCGTGGATGACGAGGAGAAGCCCGTGGGACCCGTTGTCGATGGCGATGCCGTTGTCATCTGGAACTTCCGTGCGGATCGCGTGGTGCAGGTAAGCGAATGTTGATGAACCTAGCGTGAACGGTTCGAGCGTGACCGACCAGTACTACCCGCCGTGGGTGATTGTGGACGACGAGGGCAAGCCCGTGGGGCCCGTTGTTGACGGGGACGCTGTCGTCATCTGGAACTTCCGCGCGGATCGTGTGATCGAGGTGAGACGGTTTGCAATTTCTGAGCCTGATCGCGTTCCAGATCTCCGTTCGACTGCGTGCGGATGCCTTAGGAACCTGATGTGGTCTTTCACACTCTCACCTTCCCTCCCCTGCCCCCATCCTCCTCCCGTCCCCCACTCCCACCCCTCTCAGATCTCCAAGGCCTTTGAGTACCCCGACTTCCACCAGTTCGACCGCGTGCGCGTCCCCAAGGTGCACTTTGCGGGCATGATGCAGTACGACGGGGATCTCAAGCTGCCCGCCAAGTTCCTTGTCGCGCCGCCTGTCATCGAAAACACCTCCGGGCAGTACCTCGTGAAGAACGGCGTGCGCACCTTCGCATGCAGGTTGGTTTTGATGGGGGCGTTCAAGTACTGGTACTGCGTGCAGTGCTGTGGGGAGTGGTTCCGGGGCATAGACACTTGCAGTACCTCGTGAAGAACGACGTGCGCACCTTCGCGTGCAGGTCAGTACATGCGGGAATTAGCACAGTTCAGGGGTTGGGAAAGTGGTTTCAGAAAACAAAGTCTCAGGTAGTGTGCATCCCCTTCCTCCTCCCCTTCCTCATCCCCTCCCTCCTCCCCTTCCTCATCCCCTCCCTCATCCCCTCCCTCATCCCCTCCCTCATCCTCTCCCTCCTCCCCTTCCGCCACCGACCCATTGCCCACGCAGTGAGACACAGAAGTTTGGGCACGTGACGTTCTTCTGGAATGGCAACCGGTCGGGCAAGCTGGACGATGAGTTGGAAACTTACTACGAGGTGCCCAGCGACAAGTGCCCCTTCAACGAGAAGCCCAAGATGAAGGCCCGGGAGATCGCCGCTGCGTGCAAGGAGGCGATTCTGTCGGGGAAGTATGACTACATTCGGCTGAACCTGGCGAACGGCGACATGGTGGGGCACACAGGCGTGTTTGACGCCGTGCTGGAGGCCTGTGAGGCTGTGGACGGCAGTGTCAAGGTGAGGCAATGGATGGGAGTGAGGGACATTGGGGGCTGGAGGCATGGAGTCGATGGATGGGAGCATGAATGAAGTCAGGTGAACGAAGGGGGGAAAAGGCATGGATTGGGGGCACGGGCTGAGGGGCACACGGGTGTGTTTGACGCCATGCTGGAGGTCTGTGAGGCCGCGGATGGCAGCGTCAAGGTGAGTCTGTCGAAGTGAGGGGAATGGGGGGGAGAGGAAGGTATGGGATGTGGGACACAGGGGCTGGGGCACACAGGCATGTTTGATGCCGTGCTGGAGGCCTGTGAGGCCGTGGACGGTTGTCAAGGTGAGATCTTGGATTGGAGCATCAAGTCAGGGGCATGGGGCATGGAGAGGGGAGGAGTGTGGAGCACGGGGTGTGGGGCACACAGGCATGTTTGTCGCCGTGCTGGAGGCCTGCAAGGCCGTGGACGGCTGTCAAGATGAGACTGGGGGCCTGAGACTTGGGGCGAGAGCCATGGAGTGTGAGGAATGGAGTGTGAGGAATGGAGTGTGAGGAATGGAGTGTGAGGAATGGAGCGTGAGGAATGGAGTGTGGGGCGCATGGGTGTAGTTGATGCTGTGACTGGAGGCGTGTGAGGCTGTGGGGGCACTGGGTATGGGAGTGGGGAGGAGGTGAAGGGTGGCTGATTTCCGTGTGGCATTTGCACGCTTCCCTGCATCCCTTGCACTTCCTCATCACCTTGCTCATATCTCCACTCTTTGCCCCTGCTTGCACTCTCCCCGCACATCCTCCCCCCGTTGCCCTGCCCCCTCACAGGAGCTGCTGGAGGCGGTGGAGCAGGTGGGCGGCATCTATTGTCTGACAGCGGACCATGGGAACTGCGATGACATGGTGCAGCGCAACAGCAAGACCCACCAGCCCATCCTTGGACCGGATGGCAAGCCAGAGCCCCTCACCTCGCACACTCTCGCTCCCGTACGTGCCTGGGTCGGATTTTGTCTGATCTCAATGCAATCTCCCATCCACTTGCCGTGATTCACTCTCCCGTGCACCCACCCGAACTGATGCATGCACCCTCGCGTTATCGACCAGTTAGCACCAGCTGCTTTCCCTGCTCTAAGCATGCTTGTGTCAGTGATTTCCTGGAAGGATGGAGTTTTTTGTGCTCTTTCTCATCCTTGGTTTGTACGTGATTCCCTGTTGTGCGACCCTGCAGGTTCCTATCGCCATTGGTGGTCCCGGGCTCCCAGCAAACATCAGGTTCCGCCAGGACATGCCGAATGCAGGTCTTGCCAATGTCACGGCCACTTTTATGAACCTCCTTGGATTCGAGGCTCCTGAGGGCTATGAGCCGTCTCTGCTTGAGGTTGCCCCTTAGTCGGCTCCTGCATCTTGACCATCCATGTTATTTTTTTGCTTGTTATGTATGTCATTATACTTAGCCTGAAAAATAGAGGTTATTGTCAAGGTCAAAGGAATTATAAAAGTTACCTATCTCCAGAACTAAAAATGTCAACTCACTGTAGGCCTATGCCCCTTCAATTGTGCAATTTTTCAACCGACCTCGAGATTGCACCAGATGCGCGGCTTTCGCTCCCTGTTGACTGCCTGACGCGCAAATCTGGAATTCGGACCCAAGTGTATTGAGTGCAGAGCAGAACCATTCTCATGGCATCTGATCCTCTCAGATCTCCCATTCTCGTCTGCCTGGCGGCAATAATAGTCGCGCTGGGCTTGCTCACCGCCACTAGCGTCAGCCAGTCAACGATTTTCGGCGAAACCGTTAGTAGTGCCGGCTTTTCTGCCGTTAGAGGCGAGATGTCGCCGCACGGAGCGCCGTTGAGTGGTAGCGTTGAGAGCAGCAGTCCTGGCAGCTTGAGCAATGGCAGCGGTATTCTCATTCCTAGGTGCGACCAGCGGCAGTACGAAGCGCTGGAGCTACCTAACGGGCTCACCGTGCTGCTTATATCGGATCCCGAAACTGATAAGGTGTATCTCTCGGTATTGCGTGTATCGGAGCTCTGAATTTCCGCGAGATGAACGCGTTAGAGTCAGTCCTGTCTTGTGGTTTAGGCCTGAATCTGCGTAGCCCTACCCGTTTTCAACCGGACCCTTCTTCGGTGCGAATCCAGCTTTACGCGTCGAGCTTGCTTATCATACGCAGAAAAGATCTAGCTTCCGGTTCCGTTATAGGCTGACGCTTGCGTTTCCGTACAGACATGTTCTCTCGATAATTCTCAAGAGCAACTCTATTGTTCCTGCGTTACTCTGCAGGCTGCAGCGGCCATGGATGTGGGAGTGGGATCGCTGAGCGATCCGGACGATGCGCCTGGCCTCGCTCATTTCTTAGGTGGGTGGCATTCGCATCGCGCTCCCCAAGTGAATTTCTATTGTCGAACCCTCGCGTTTGACCCGAAAGAGAATTGCTTACTGATGCCAATCTCGTCGCCTCGAATTCAGTTGCAATTTTCACGCTGCATGGGAGACGGCTTTCCCCGTGAGGAGGATGGTGTGTTCTCTTCGACCATTCTGCGGAATTTGCTCCATTCCCACATTACATGCGTTTCCCACTGTGGCAGAGCACATGCTCTTCTATGCTAGCGAGAAGTACCCTATCGAGGACAGCTACAGTGACTTTCTTAACAAGGTAAGCTGTTAGTCCATTTTAGAATCATCCTTTCTGTGACTCATTGCTCCAAACGCCTCATAGATCACCGCCCATGACAAATCTCGAAACCAAAACCCCCCTCCCACCAACCCCTCCTCTCTCCCGCCTCCCTCACAGCACAGCAGGCGGTCGAACACGTACAAGGAATTGGAGAACACCAGTCACCAGTTCGACGTCTCAAAACCCTCTCCTCCAACTCCCCCAACCCGAACCCAACCCCCCTCTCTTTTCTCCCCCTGGTTTCCACCGCAGCACAGCGGGCGGTCGAACGCGTACACGGCAGCAGAGAACACCAACTACCAGTTTGACGTGGCTGCTGAGTTCCTGGATGAAGCGCTCGACAGGTGGGTGACCACGAGGGCCTCACAGGTTGGTGAGGAGTGTTTCACAGGTGCTGACTTGTTGCTGATGGGCATTTTGGGTTCAGATTTTGCTATGTAACGCGTACACGGTAGTGGAGGACACCAACTACCTGAATTCCCCGTGGTTGCTGAATTCCACATGGTTGCTGAATTCCTGAATGAGGCGCTTGACAGGTGCGTGATCATAAGGTGGGTGATCATAAGGTGGGTGATCATAAGGTGCGTGATCATAAGGTGCGTGATCATAAGGTGCGTGATCATAAGGTGCGTGATCATAAGGTGGCTGATCGTAAGGTGGGTATCACCCACCTGCCTGCCAGAAAGAGTTTTGTCACAACGCTGTTGTATGGAGTGTGTTTCAGTTGCGGGTTCTTCTATGCAGAGTGTTTAACAAAAGTTTGTTCAACAAAAGTTTTTTTCAGCATGCACTGAGCGTGTCATCTTCTGTTCTTAGTCTCTGTTTGCAGTCTTTCCTTGCAATATCATGTGCCGGCAGGTTCGCCCAATTCTTCATCTGCCCGCTCATGTCAGCTGATGCCACCAACCGCGAAATCAATGCGGTGCACTCAGGTACAGAGGCGTTGTTACAAGATGCATGTCTGCTGATGTTGCCATTTGAGTTGAGAGATGAGTGCAGTGTACACTCAGGTGCCAAGCTGCATTCCCCGCTCATGCCATGCCACAAGCCTCTATTGCACCCTTCGTTCTTCTATTGATTCGTTCTTCTGCCCTGTTTACCCCTCAGAGCACACCAAGAACCTGATTTCCGACCCCTGGCGGATCAACCAGGTACGCCACACACAAACACACAGTGGCAGGTGGAGTGCAGCAGTCTAACTTCCTGTGGCAGGTCAACTGCGCAACAGCTCTTAGGTTCATATGTGTTCCCATGCACATGCCCCTGTTCTTTGTTGAGTGTGATGTGATGCTCTTCCTGCCTCTCACCGGTTAACGTCCCTTGATCTTTCCCAAATCCCGTTCAACTCAACCCACTCCCTCTGGCAGCTTCAAAAGAGCTTCTGCTCGCCCCAGCACCCCTTCTACAAGTTTAACGTTGGTCAGTCTCATCTCAAGCTGCCTTATTTCCATGTGCCGCGCCCCATGCCCCATGCCCCATGCTTTACATATGTATTCGGCTGCTACCGTGCATCCATGTCTCGTGCCCCCAAATCTACCATCCTTGATTCATACATGCCATGTCACACATGCCCTGCACATCACTGAGCATGCCATGGTCGACCCTCTTGCATTCACTGATGTTTAATGGGGGTGAATCGGTGCATTTGGTATGGCATGGCACGGCATGGCTAGCTTGCCACCGTATGGCATGGCATGGCATTGTTTGTCACGGCACATGACGTCACGTCATGTCACCTCCTGGCACGAATTCGTGCGGCATGGCATGGCACGGCATGGTATGGCACGGCATGGCATGGCACGGCATGGCATGGCACGGCATGGCATGGCACAACGTCGCATGGCATGGTATGGCATGGCGTGGCACATCACGGCATGGCATGGCACGGGCACACCAGGATCGCTGGAGACGCTCAAGGAGGTGCCAGAAGCGAATGGGAGGGACATACGGCAGGAGCTGATCACCTTCTATGACAAGTACTACTCCGCCAACCTCATGCACCTCGTCGTCTATGGCAAAGGTGCGTGCGCGTTGGTAACGGGGGGGAGGGGGGGGGGGGGGGGGGGGGGGGGGGGGGTGCATGCGGTGTACGTATGGGGATTGTGTGGTGCCCGTGTAGGGCTAATAAGACTTGTGGCAGGAGGTCATAGCCTTTTATGACAAGTACTATTCTGTCTATCTAATGCACCTCGTGGTGTATGGCAAAGGTGCGTGCTGGGTTGGAAAAAAAAAAAGGGTTGTCTTCTGTGCAGTGCAGTGGAGTGCTCCGGTTGTGCCCAATGGGACAGACGGCACAAGCCAATAGCCTAGTATCGGCAGTGTTACTCCCGCAGCTGCACCTCGTGGTGTGGTGTGCTGCAAGAGCGATGTTCATCCTCCGCTCTTCCTTGTCCGCGTTCCCCTTCCCTAAGACTCCCTGTCCTTGCTGCGAGCCATGGTGGAGAGCCGCTTCGCCCTCAAAAACACTCCCTCCTTCCACGCTTGACACCCTCTGCTCGCTCCGTTACGCAATTCCCAAACCCACCCTTGGCTTCCCCGTTCAGACTCCCTCGCATCGCTGCGGTCCATGGTGGAGAGTCGCTTCGCCCTCATTCCCAACAAGGTTCTGCAGCAGCCTGAGATCCCTGCCGACCCCTGCGGTCCCGAATACACCAAGGTGTGGTGCGGTGCTTTGAGGTCACTGATTCTAAAGGGCACCTGCACTGCAAAGCTTGCCTGCTTGTCAGTCAGCTTAGCACTCCCCCCCTGTCCCCTCGCCCCCCCACCTCCATCCTCGCCCCACCTTCATCCCCCCCTTGTCATTCTACCCGAATCTCTGTCATTGGCATGTCCACCATACCGACATTCTCCCCAGTCATTCTGCCTCACCCCTGCACTTTCAAGTCCATGTTAATGCGTGTACAAGTTAGCTCGCCCCAATTCCATCCATACACTTTCGAGTCCTGCCCCTTTGTGCTGCCTCACCCACCCCTTTCAGAGGCTAGTGCGGGCTGTGCCAGTGGCGGAGGGGCACAAGCTGGAACTTATTTGGCCCACCCCAGCCGACCAGCACTTGCACCGCGCCACGCCCACGCGCTACCTGGGGCACCTCATTGGGCACGAGGGGCATGGGTCGCTCTTTGCACTGCTCAAGAAGAAAGGTGAGAGGGAAATGGGGGGGACAATGTGGAGTTTGGGAGAGATTCAATGCGGTTCTATGAGGTACAGCTCATTTCTCCCACACCAGCAGACCAGCACCTGCACCGCGCCACACCCATGCGCTACCTCGGCCACCTCATTGGGCACGAGGGGCATGGGTCGCTTTTCGCACTGCTCAAGAAGAAAGGTGAGGCTTGGGGCGGGAGGGCGGGGAAGGCACACCACTGCGGAAAAGGGGGCGAGACAGGCATTGCTATCAGCTCTGCACCATAACCCCTTGGGCCTCTTTTCTCAGCCATAATTCGCTTTCACTTGGCTGCACCCCATTCAACTCGTTCCACCCTTTCACGTGCTCAACTCATCCCACCCGTCCACCCTTCAACGCCCTCCTTTGTGTGCTCCCATCCGTCCACGCGGTGCCTGGCAGGCTGGGCCACGGCGCTGGGAGCAGGGCGCAGCCACCATTCCACTGTGCTACAACCCACTCTCCCTCTGCTCCCTCACCCCCCACCCCTCCCATCTGTCCATGTGGTGCCTGGCAGGCTGGGCCACGGCACTGGGAGCAGGGCGCAGCCACAGCAGCAAGCACTACGCCTTCTTTGCTGTCAACATTGACCTCACAGACCTGGGCCATGGTGAGTGCACCCTCCTGTGTGTTCTGCATTCTGTGCGGTGTGCTTATCCGCGCTGCAGCCCCACCAGCAAGCACGAGTTCTGAGACATCTCAAAGCACAGCAGTTAGCACTACGCCTTCTTTGCTGTCAACATTGACCTCACAGACCTGGGCCATGGTGAGTGCGTTCTTCTTTTGAGTGCTCCTTCTGAGAGCGGCCCCATGGCTCATTCAACCCCCCTGAATCCCCCATCCCATTCTCATTCCATTCCAACCATTCCCATCCTCCCCTTCACCACAGAACACGCAATGGAGGTGGCGGAGCTGGTGTTCCGCCCATGCCCCATGCCCCATGCCCCATGCCCCATGCCCCATGCCCCATATCATCCCAATCCGACCATTTTATTACCCATCCTCCCAACCACCACAGAGCATGCAATGGAGGTGGCGGAGCTGGTGTTCCGCCCATGCCCCATGCCCCATGCCCCATGCCCCATGCCCCATATCATCCCAATCCGACCATTTTATTACCCATCCTCCCAACCACCACAGAGCATGCAATGGAGGTGGCGGAGCTGGTGTTTCGCTACATCGGGCTCATCCAGAGCGGCCAGGGCATCCAGAAGTGGATCTTTGATGAGGTATTGTACTGTGCGCATGGGGATTGACAGTGTATATCAGAAGAGCTCACGCTTCTGACAGTGAGAGCTGTGAGAGAAGCTCTCAGTGGCAGTGAGATGAGTTTGAGACATCTCAAGCCTGATCGCACACCATTTCCAGAATGGTGGGTGTTGTGAGTGAGTGAAAGTGCTCTCCTCCTTCCCACCCTTGTTCCCTTATGTTCTTGCCCCCTCTCCCCTCACGCCCTACCTGTACTGGCCCCAGAATGGTGGGTGTTGTGGCCTCAGCTGTACTGCCCCCTGCCTCAGCTGGCAGCAGTGTGCGCAACCAAGTTCCACTTCCAGGACAAGCACTCCTCCCCATAACCATTGCGAGGAAGTGTCCCCCCAAATACCCTTATACCCGTTTCACTTGCTTCCTTGTCCGGCCATGTTACCTTTCAACCTTGTGGGTGTGTGTGTGTGTGTGTACCACAGCTGGCAGCGGTATGTGCCACCAAGTTCCACTTCCAGGACAAGCAGCAGCCCTTCTTCTACACGTCGGCCATTGCTGCTGGCATGCAGGTAAGCTTCATGCTTTTGCGCTTGCCTTCGCACGCTCGCTCTCCCACAGCTGGCAGCGGTGTGTGCCACCACAAGCAGCAGCTCTTCTTCTACACATCGGCCATTGCTGCTGGCATGCAGGTGAGCATCCTTCCTTCCGTCCCATAGTCGCTTTGCACATACATTCAACTAGTTTCCGCACTATTATGGACAGGCACATGTACTAGGGACGTGCATTCATTGTGTACTATTGCTTGACTAGCGTGCCTCTCCCTATACCTGGCCCTCTGCCTCTCACCCCTCCCACCCCCCCCCCCTCCCCTCCACTCAACACCCTCATGTGCAGCTGTACCCGCTGGAGGACAGGCTAGCAGGCGCCTCTCACCTTTCCCACCCTTCCCCTCTCACCTTCACCCATCAACCCCTCTCCCTCTCCCTCTCCCTCTCCCTCTCCCTCTCCCTCTCCCTCTCCCTCTCCCTCTCCCTCTCCCTCTCCCTCCTCCACCACCCGCCTCCCCATGCACACAGCTGTACCCGCGGGAGGACTGGCTGGCAGGTGCCTCTCTGCCGCGCGACTTTGACCCCAATGCTCTAGCTGACCTGGCCAAAGCGCTCACTCCCGACAACGTGCAGTGAGTGTGTGTGTGTGCGTGCGTGCGTGCGTGCGTGCATGCGTGGGTGGGTGGGTGTGTGCGCGCGCGCGCGCGCATGCGCCCACCTGCTGCTCCGTTTTTCAACCAAGGAGGGGCCCACCCACCCACAGGTCCCTTGATCCTAGTTAGTGCCCGTCGTTGCAATCCGGTGCTCCGTGTTCCAATCCTTCCCTTTCTGTAGTTCATGCTCTTCGCTTCCCACCCTTCCCTTTTTATCACACTTCCCCCATCCGCCCATTTTTCCGGCTCCCCCCCCCCCCCCCCCCCCTTCCGCCGCACTCTCAGAATCTTCTGGCTGTCGAAGAAGTTTGAGGAGGAGGCAATTCTTTAGGCGCCTCAAAACACTTCCCCCCTTCACCTTTTGTTTCATTCCCTCCCCTTCCACCCCACTCTCAGGATCTTCTGGCTGTCGAAAAAGTTTGAGGCGGAGGCAACAGAGGAGGAGCGCTGGTACAAGACAAAGCACTCCGCCCAGACCATTCCAGACGACTTGCTGCAGGTGATGGCCGGCAGCGAGTGGGGTATAGATGTTTGGTCAACAGAATGAATCATGAAGCATCGAATGCCAAAGGGGGAGCCCCTCGTGGGGAACAATGGAGGTTGGGAAGAATGGCTCTGTGAATCCGTGCTGTCTCGTGGTTCTTTTTGAGGCGCCTCAAAAGTCGAGCAACGGAGGTTGGGAAGGAGAGCAATGTAGTTTCGCGGTTCTTTCATCGCTGTTTTGCTTACTCTTTCGTTTCCCTCTCGCTCTTTATCTCCCTCCTCTTGCAGCGTTGGAGGGATGCAGTCACAGCTGCTCCTGATGCTGCTCTCTCGCCTCCTGCCACCACGCCTCCTGTGCCCACTGCTGCGGCAGCTGCTGCTGCTGCTGCTTCACCCAGTGACGGTGCAGCAGCTGCGGCAGGCGATGGTGGGAGCAGCAGCGAGCTGCATCTACCAGCACCCAACGAGTTTGTACCCACCGACCTCGATGTTCTCACACCGCCCACTGGCAAGGTGCGTGCGGTGCCTCACCCCACTGCCATCCACGCCAACCCCCCATGCTGTGTCTGAGGCACAAGCCCGACACGCTCTTCGGGCTTATAGTGTGTTGACCTAAAGGTCTCCTTCCCCTTCCTCCCCCCACATGTGATTCGTGTGCAGGTCTCCCCCCCCACAGTCATCCACAGCACCCCCATGCTGCGCCTGTGGCACAAGCCCGACACACTCTTCGGCCTGCCCAAGGCGGTGCTATTCATGCAATTCGCCTCACCAGCCCAAGGCAGGCCTCTCACAATAACACGCGCTCCACCCCTTTCCCCCCCCACTGCGATGCATTATCCAGGTGTCCCCCCCCACAGTCATCCACAGCACCCCCATGCTGCGCCTGTGGCACAAGCCCGACACACTCTTCGGCCTGCCCAAGGCGGTGCTATTCATGCAATTCGCCTCACCAGCCCAAGGCAGGCCTCTCACAATAACACGCGCTCCACCCCTTTCCCCTCCCACTGCGATGCATTATCCAGGTGTCCCCCCCCACAGTCATCCACAGCACCCCCATGCTGCGCCTGTGGCACAAGCCCGACACGCTCTTCGGCCTGCCCAAGGCGGTGCTATTCATGCAGCTCGCCTCGCCTGAAGCGTACACTTCCCCCCGCTCCGCCCTCCTCACCCGCCTCTTCGCCTCACTGCTGCAAGACGCCCTCAACGCTTACGGTACGTTCCAGCACATGTGGTGTGTCTCATTTATGAGGCACCTCTTAAATCGGCTCAAAATTCTCTCGTGCGCTCTGTCTCGTCTGCTTTTCTCGTCCTCACTCACTCCTCTCGCGTGCTCGTGTGTGTCTAATTAGCTCACCCTCCCTTCTCATCTTAGCACTCTCTCAACACATCTTCCTTCCCCTGCGCACCACCCCCTGCCATGCCATCGCTTGCAGCGTACGATGCTGAGATCGCTGGGCTCAACTACTCGATCGTGCCGAGCGTGCATGGCATTCAAATTTCAGCATGGGGGTACAGCCACAAGCTGCTAGTGCTCGTGTCTAAGATCATCGACCGCCTCGTCACCTACACTGTTGATGCCGACCGCTTCCACGTCATCAAGGTGGGCTTCCACGTCATTAAGGTTTGCTTCCACGTCATCAAGGTTTGCTTCCACGTCATCAAGGTTCCTTTCCACATCATCACATTTTTTTCTAGGATTCGATGCGAGAAGGGATCTTATCTCTCCACACTCATCGTTACCCTTTCATCCCCCTCTCCCACGTCTTGTCCCACAGGAGAAGGAGCAGCGGGAGTTTATGAACTTCCGCTACGACCAGCCGTACGCGCAGGCCCTCTACTCCGCATCACTGCTGCTCTGCTCCCGTGGTTACCGTTGCAAAGCCCCTCCATCCCTCCTCCCATCCTACAGGAGAAGGAGCAGAGGGAAATTCGAAAACTTCCGCTACGACCAGCCATACGCGCAGGCGCTTTATTCCACCTCGCTGCTGCAGCCCTGCTCCCACTCCAAACCCCTCCCTCCATCCCTCTCTCTCACTCCCCCTTCACAGGAGAAGGAGCAGCGCGAGTTTGAGAATTTCCGCTACGACCAGCCGTACGCACAGGCCCTCTACTCCACGTCACTGCTTCTAGCGCACCGCCGCTGGCACTTCTCCGACTACCTCGCTGCGCTTCCCGCCCTGCAGCCAGAACATCTTGCTGCTTTCCTCCCCTCGCTACTCTCCCACGTCTCCCTCGAGCTCTTCGCCTCAGGTACTTCTTGTTGCTCCTGCTCCCACATGTCCCCTCTCATTCACTGCTGCTGGGCGCACCGCCGCTGGCACTTCTCGGACTACCTCGCTGCTCTGCCCGCCCTGCAGCCAGAGCACCTCTCCGCCTTCCTCCCCTCGCTACTCTCCCACGTCTCCCTCGAGCTCTTCGCCTCAGGTGCTGCTCCCTCGTTCTCGTTCTCTTTTTGTCGACCCCACCTCTTTCGCCCGTCACGTCGCTGACCTGCACTCACTTTCCTGCCAGCGGCATGGCCCCCACAGCAGCTGTCGCCCTTGCCCAGGAGACAGGGTCCCGCCTGCGCTTCACCCCTCTTGCAGCAGCAGCACAGCGCCCTGAGGTGCTGGCTAACAGGTTGATCAACCCCTCCCTTCCCACTCTTCTCCCGCTCGTCCCTCCAGGCAACATCGCCCCCACAGCAGCGATAGCCTTTGCCCAGGAGACCGAGTCTCGCCTGTGCTCCAGCCCGATCGCAGCAGCAGAGCCCCCCATGCCGGCACAGCGCCCTGAGCTTCTGGCTAACAGTGTGACCAACCCCCAATCCATTCCCACCCGCCTCCCCCTCTTCCTCTTCTCCCTCTCTCTCCAGGCAACAACGCCCCACCAGCAGCAATAGCATTTGCCCAGGAGACCGAGTCCCGCCTGCGAGCCAGCCCGATTGCAGCGTCACAGCCCCCCGTGCCGGCACCGCACCCTGAGCTGCTCTCAACTCCATTCCCCTTTCCCCCTATCCCACTCTCCCTCCCTCCTTTGTCGCTCAAGGCAACATCGCCCCCACAGACGCAATCGCCTTTGCCCAGGAGACCGAGTCCCGCCTGCGATCCAGCCCGATCGCAGCAGCAGAGCCCCCCGTGCCGGCACAGTGGCCTGAGATGCGCATGGTGCGGCTGGGCGATGGCAGCGCGGCTGTGCTGGCTGGTGATAACCTCAACCCTGACGATGAGAACTCTGCTCTCGTCTTCTACCTGCAGGTGAGAGGGGGGGAGTTTCAGGGATGAGGAGGTGTTGAGAGAGGTGAGGGGAGGGGACCAGCGCCCTGAGCTGCGCATGGTGCGGCTGGGCAATGGCAGTGCTGCCTTGCTGGCAGGTGCGAATCTGAACCCCGACGACGAGAATTCGGCCCTCGTGTTCTACCTGCAGGTGAGGGCGTTCAAAGATGAGGTGTTGAGAGAGGTGATGGGTGGGGGGCGGGCAAGCAGGGGACGGGCAAGCAGGGGACGGGCAAGCAGGTGACGGGCAAGCAGGGGACGGGCAAGCAGGGGGCAGCGGCGTGAGCTGCGCGTGGTGCGGCTGGGCGATGGCACCGGGGCTGTGCTCGCTGGGGATCATTTGAACCCAGGTGATGAGAACTCTGCTCTCGTGTTCTATCTGCAGGTGAGGAGGGGGGAGAAAGGGGAGTGGAGGGCAAAGTGGGGTGTGGAGAGATGACGGGGGGGGGGGGGTCAGGGCACATTAGGAGCGGCCTGAGCGGCCTGAGCTGCGCATGGCGCGGCTTTGAGACGTCTCAAAGCAGCGGCCTGAGCTGCGCATGGCGCGGCTGGTCGATGGCTGTGCGGCTGTGCTTGCCGGCGGTAACCTGAACCCCGATGATGAGAACTCTGCCCTCGTGTTCTACCTGCAGGTGGGGGGTGTGTTGAGAGGGACAGAAGAGGAAGAGGTGAGAGGGACGGGCATGAGGATGTGATGGGGTGGAGAGGCAAGCGAATGAGGTCACGTGATAATCTGACAGTCGGGGCAGTGGACAGGTGAGGGGGAACAGAGGGTTTCCCGGGTGGACGACCATCGTCTTATTCCCCTGCACTGCACAGCGAGTCTGCCTAACTAACTGTCTCCTCTTCTTTTCCCCCATCCCTCCATTCCCACACTGCAGGTGTGTCAGGAGGTTTTTGAGAATTCTCAAAAACTGTCTCCTCTTCTTTTCTCCCATCCCTCCATTCCCGCACTGCAGGTGTGTCAGGACGGGGAGACCATGGTCCTGCCAGCAGCTCCAGAGCCCGGCAAGGGAGAAGCCGGCACGGGGGAAGCGACACAGGCGGTGGCACCAGAGGCCGAGGGAGGAAGCGCGAACGGCGGGCTGACCGTGGAGAAGCCGAGTGGGGAGGCAGGGGGGGTGAGCGTGAGAGCGCATGTGGTGGCGCAGCTGCTGGTACAGGTGCTGGAGAGGGACGTGTTTTACGAGCTGCGCACTGTGCAGCAACTGGGGTACATCGTGTTCCTCATGTCTCGGTGAGTGCTCTTTCCCATGGTACAGTGAGTGTGCTGGAACTGCTGCCAAAGCTGCTGGTACAGGTGCTGGAGAGGGATGTGTTCTACGAGCTGCGCACTGTGCAGCAGTTGGGCTACATCGTATTCCTCATGTCTTGGTGAGTGCTCTTCAATTTTCTCATGCCATGGTGCATGTGCCACACGCCATGTGCCACACGCCATGTGCCACACGCCATGTGTCGGGCCTCTTGCCCGCTCCCACTTCCAACATTCCTCTATGCCTTGTTGCTCATGCCATGGTGCTGGTACTGCTGCCATAACTGTTGGTACAGGTGCTGGAGAGGGACGTGTTTTACGAGCTGTGCATTTTCTCATGCCACACGCCATGTGTCACGCTCCTTGCCTGCTCCCACTTCCAACATTCCTCTATGCCTTGTTGCTCATGCCATGGTGCTGGTACTGCTGCCATAACTGTTGGTACAGGTGCTGGAGAGGGACGTGTTTTACGAGCTGTGCATTTTCTCATGCCACACGCCATGTGTCACGCTCCTTGCCTGCTCCCACTTCCAACATTCCTCTATGCCTTGTTGCTCATGCCATGGTGCTGGTACTGCTGCCATAACTGTTGGTACAGGTGCTGGAGAGGGACGTGTTTTACGAGCTGTGCATTTTCTCATGCCACACGCCATGTGTCACGCTCCTTGCCCGCTCCCACTTCCAACATTCCTCTATGTCTTGTTGCTCCAATGCCCCAATGCCCTCACAGGAACGAGAATGCAGTTCACGGCATCACCTTTATCATCCAATCAAACGTCAAGGCACGTTCCTTCCTCCCCTCACCCGCCCGCCGTTCATCCTTGCTGTTGCACTCTCACTCTCAATCTGCCAATTCATGCAATGCCGTGTGCTCTTTCCATCAATTTGCCTGTCTTCCATTACCACTTCATGTGCATGCCATGTGCCACATTGGTCTCACTCAGCTGTCAGTCCACATGCCATGTGAGAGTCGATGTGTCGGTCCGTATGCCAGCTCATATACCCCTCCCCGCTCCTCCCCAGGCAGTGGAGGGTCGGCTGTCCCCACCTACCCTTCTCCCTCACCTCTGCTTTTCTCCTTGCTCTTGCATTCCTCCCACCACTCTCCACCCCTCCCCACCACTCCACATAAGAGCAGTCGGCAAGCGACCTGGATGGGCGGGTGGAGGCGTTTCTGCAGGCAGCAGAGAGCAAGCTGGCCGGTATCAGTGAGGAGGAGTTCCAGGTGGGTGGCATCTCTTGTCTGCTTCTGCCTTCAACGTTGAACTTTTCATCTTGCTGTTATTGTTAATCGCACCCAAATTGACAAGTCTGGAACAGGGAGTACGAAGACGAAATGAGACGAGTAAATACATCGCCACCGCCACACCTTACCATCCCATTAGACCCATGTGGCGGCGTTGGTAGCAAAAAAGCAGGAGAGGAACACGAAATGACAGAAGTATATACATTCCCACACGTTGCATACACTTACCACCACATTGCAATGATTGCACCACAATCCACCACATCCTGCCACACTCCACCACACCCAACCCCGTCAGACCCATGTGGCAGCGCTGGTGGCGAAGAAGCAGGAGAGGAAGAAGAATCTGGTGGAGGAGGCGAATGTGATGTGGAAGGAGATAGACGATGCAATGCTGGCCTTTGACCGCATTGACCAGGAGGTAATAGAGCCTTTGACTGCGTTGACCAGGAGATATTTGAGCATTTGACAGCTTTTACCGGAGGTAGTCATGGCCTTTGACCGTGTTGACCAGGAGGTAATGATGCCATTTTTTCGCCCCTGATGCTCCTGCCCCTCATACATACCCCTGCCTCCCGAGTCTCACTCTCGCCATGTTCCATCCCTCCTCAATTCTCATCCTCTTCACCGAGTTTTCGCTCACAATGCAACCCGTCATCTGTTTCGCTCGCCGCTCTTTCCCACACTGTCCTCCTCTCCATCCCCGCTCCCTCTTACCCCCACGTGCCAGGTGGCGGAGCTCCGTTTTCTGCGCCCATCCCACGTGGCACATTTCTTTGCCACCGTGGTGAAGCAAGGCGCGCCCAATAGGAGGCTTCTGAGTGTGCAGGTAAACTTTGGGATTGGGGGACGATCAGATGCGAGTCTTGAATGTTTCTCTCCATTACTTTCGTTCTTCCGTTTTACTCTTCCTGAGTGTGCTTTCAGCGTCGTGCATGTGCTCGTGCTCGTGCTCTCGTGTCGAATGAAAGTGCACAGTGACACATCCATTTATGGTTTGTCTTGCTTCATGTGGTGTTCATGTGGTCCCGATTATCAACGCCACAACAGGTGCAGAGGCATGAGAAGGGAGCTGCACCAGAGGAAGCAGCAACAACCTGTGCAGTGGAAAGTTCCCCTGAACCTGCTGTCAATGGCTCAGCCAGGGCTGCTCCTGTCTGTGCTGTAAACCCAGTAGCTGAAGCAAGTGAGTCTGGCAGCATAAAGGAGGGGGTGGCGTCTGCATTAAGCGAGGAGAGGAGGGAGGTTATTGAGAACATATACGATTTCAAGCGCTCCCAAGCTCTATACCCTTCGCTCAAGGGAAGGGCAATCCCGCCTTCAATTGTATCATCATCGTAAGGCTAGTGTCAGCCGCGTTTTGTTTTTGTTTAATATGTTGGAGGTATTACCGCATCCGAGACATCATGAAAGAACTTATTTCTATATCAGGGGCTACATGTGTTGTCCCTGGGCTCTCTTCTGGTTTGGTTGATTGTACAGAAGTGATCCGAGTCGGGTCACTCAAACGCGTAGCACATTCTCTGAAGTGTTGCAGCGACTTCCTGATTTGATAACGACGCCATCAGGCCTCGCGAGTCATGTTACCAACTCGATACGAAGCTCGGACCGTGCCGAGTCAGCAGGACAGCGCAGCAAAGAGCACCGCACGCGCTGCTCACTTCGCGGCTGGAAATGACATCTCTTGCCTCGCTGGAGTACAGCGCATGAATCCACTTTCCACCCAGATGTCCCCAAATGCTGGGACCTGCGTCGCGACGCGATGCTTGGAACGTTCAAAGGCCGGTGGCAACCGCGGTTCGTATGGGCGTGTGATGATGGGGAACAACAGCTAGGATAATTTTGCGGGGATAGTTGAGGGAATGTTTGGCTGAAAGAGGTTCTGAGCGTGGTACACCCTGCACTGCTGGAAATATAGGGCCAGCTCTTGCACAGTGGCCGGACACCAAGATTGACTGTGACACCGAGTGGCTATACAGAATTTGAATGAAATTGTTGGATCAGGTATGGGGTGCGTTGACTCCTGAATTCAGCTTTCGGTTACTTTTGCACCCTCATTGCACCCTCTTTTGCGATCGCGTCGCACCAACCGCTCCAGCAGGAACCGAGCTGACACTGAACCAGCCTACCATCACGACCATCACATCCCTCCCCACCGTACCCTACCTCACATTTCTTCTCTTATCCCCCTCGTGCATGATTGTAACCTGCCCGACCGCGGTCAGCACAGGACTTGGCGGGTTGTCTTCGCATCTCGCGTTTCAAGGCTGCTGGGGTGACCATGTATGACTGACTGCCCGCAATGCGTTCTCATCCCTTCACTCCAATCAGCGGGGGTCATACAACAACTGGTTCTGTATGGTTCATTTTGGTGAGTCAAGGTGTATGGCGAAGAAAGTAAGAAACTGTTATTTAACGTGGCGGAACGTACTAAACCGCGTCAAACAAACCTTGAACCTCCCTCATCAATCAATCATCCATCATCCCTCCCCCTGGTGGTGCCCGCTTGCACTCTTCCCCTTGTATTCCCACATTCGTGAGACTGTACAGAAGCACACCCCGTCATCCTCAAGTTTCAGCCTCAACCCACACGACGCGACACGGCCCGCTTGACACGAAAACGGGGGAACCTAGATTCCACGCACCTACTGACGCGCGACGCGAAGCTGAGATGCCTCATGGTCGGGTCAGGTCAGGCCCGAATGGCCATCGTTGACACACTTCTCCTCATCCCCTCCCAGTTCTCTCAAGTTGACGTTGCGAGACGAAACAAATAGACACACAGAGCAGATCGACACATACCCACAAGCACTCCCTCGACTTCCCACATCGTCATCAGCTGTCGTCCCACCCAGCCAGCATAGTCGATCGGGCTTCGTGTCCATCCAACCTTTACAATCCCCATCACGCGTCTAAGTAGAGGTGTCGACGATAACAGAGCCAGTAGCGAGCGTCCCTGACAGACTTACGTCTTCAGTGCAGCGGCAGCCCAGGATAACTCTTGTTTGCTGGAGGCTGATTGATTCTTTATATACCGACAGGAGTTTTTAGAGGGTGTTTGCGCTTTTTAGGACTTTTGAAGTTCTGTCGATTAGTAGTTTTTGTGCACTCGTCGCACCTGCAGCGGCTCAAGGCTCTTGGAACCACCGAGAAGCAGTGAGGAGCAGAGAGGAGCAGAGAGGAGCAGAGAGGAGTAGAGAGGAGCAGAGAGGAGCAGAGAGGAGTACCAGAGAGGAGAAGAGGTGTGCAAGAGGAGGGACGCGTGCCACGAAAGGGGAGAGGAGAGTGAAGGCATGGAGCCGTTTTTCAGCAGCTGTCGCGAGATCCTAATAGCCGTCGATAACAGCGAAGGTGAGCACCGCCGTGGATCGTCCAACGCCTCGCTTCTCCTGGCGACCCGCCGTGTCCCGACATCAATGCACACAGACACGCATGCAGACTCGGATCCGACGTGCTGCGAGGCGATCCGTGGCCCTCATGTCGTTCGTGCCTACCCCCGGCATCGCTGATGCTCATCCTCGTGCGACGAGATCACGCTCGACGCGCTCTTTTGCTCATCCGCCGCCTCATTAATCATCCGCGCCTCTGTATCTGGGTCTATCCTGTTGTTGATCCGCGTGGCTCTTGCCCTTCCCTCTACTGCCTCTTCTCTCGTGCGCGGCGCGTGCAGGGTCGGAGCTCGCGTTCAACTGGGCGCTCCGGAATTACTGCAAGCGACATGACCACGTGCGGCTAATACACGTCGTCAGAAACTACAGCGGTCAGTTCGTACGCCCATTCTCTCCTTGCCTTCCTGTCCCTCCCCCCCCCTTTTTTTTTGAATTCATTTATTTTATTTTCTGTTCCAATGTTACTTTCCCCCGCGACACCTATTTTACAGTCATCCCCCGTCCGCCCCGTTCCCTCATCCATTTCCGCCCAGCCCACCTGTCCCATCGCTTACCCGCTCTCTCCCCTCGTTCCCCGTCGTCCCTCGCCCCCGTGCCTTGCGACGCGCCAAGCAGACGCCATCGGCACGCTCCCCAAGGAGGCGATCGCGTGTTTAGAGCAGCAGGCCATGACGTCAGCGCGCGCCATCGTTGAAAAGTACATGCGCCGATGCGCCCACGCCGATGTAAGCTGCACCCTCATCCCCAACAGTAGCTCCCAAACCCCTCCCTCTTTCCCCCTCGCGGCCTCATCTTCCCCATCCGTCGTTTCTACTGCCTCTGCGCTCACCCGCAACCCGTTTTTTTAGCCCTCTTCGTGTTGGCCATATGAGGGCCCTAATTGGAGAACAGACGGTATATCATGATCCGCGTGACGTGGCAATGCAGGTGGACTGCGATTGGCGGATAGCGTGTGGCGACGAGAGGGACGTGATCTGCCGTGAGGTGATGCGAGTGTGCGCGGACGTGCTGATCGTTGGTACCAGGAGCCTGCCAGCCGTAAAAAAGTAAGTGCTGCCTTGAAGCTCATCAACCTGTTGCTCCCTTGACGCGAGGTGATGCGTGTGTGCGCGGACGTGCTCATTGTTGGCACCAGGAGTCTCCCTGCCGTGAAGAAGTGAGTCCCACTGTCCGCATTTGTCCCTTTGTGTGACATGCGTGAAACGACTCTCATGAGGTGATATCAGTGTGCCGAAATTCTCATTGTCGCCACCAGGAGCGATACGCTCTGCAGCTTACTACACTGCTCCCTTAACATGTGAAAAGCTGCCATGCGGTGATGCCAGTGGCGCATGCTCATCAGCGGCAGTTCAAGCTGTCTGCCTCTCCCTGTCTCCTTTGCATTCACTTGTCATCTTGTATTTTCTCTCATCGCCTTCCCTGCTGTGTGTGTGCTGCTCCATCCCCAATCCCCTGCAGAGCTCTCCTCGGCTCAGTCAGTGAATACTGCGCACACCACAGGTTAGTCTCGCAGCAGCACCTCCTGCTTCTGACACCACCGAATTCTCCTCCGCTTGTGTCTTTTCTCTTCACCTTTTTATATTACATTCTCATTCTGCTGCTTGCTCCTGTACTAAATATCTTCCCTGTGCACTCTGTGTCTCCTCAACTTCACCTGTGCATTACTTCCCACCTTCCAGTGCATGCCCGGTCATCATTGTGAGGCCCAAGGAGGTCAAGTCAGAAGCCATGGCTGCACAATGATTGATGGGGAACCCCTCATATAGGGATGTTAATAGTTTGAAACTAGGTGATTGATTGTGTGCTGTTGCAGGCTGCATGTAATGTAGCCCCTTGTCTTCTTTTGTGTGTATCTAGACGACCATCAAGGTCATGAAAGAGAGGTGGATGGCAAAATGTTACATATATATCTCCTTATGGTGACTATATCCAAATGTTTTCAGAGGTATGCCTGTCTCCAAAAGTCCGTCAAAACCAATATTGTGTGCCGCCTGTAAGAATGTCCAGTATGTACACATGCTGTAAGAGCTATGCAAGCTGTACTTTTTCGATGAAGGAGCCGCACTTGCAAACACGTGATTGGCATGGAGATCTTCCAAGCCATTGACCACGTGAGCTGATCCAACGGCCAGAAGCGCATTGACATGATCCATTTCCCAGCACCTTGCGGACGTTCTTATACGTGGCAGACTTTCTCATCGACGTCATTTTCACCCAATTAAGGCACTCTGGTCCCTGAATTATGGAGCCTTTTGCCCAATCGCAGTGCTCTTTGGGCTTTCCGCGTCACACGCCGCCCTCCTTGTCGGCTGCGCCAAATCCGTTCGTTTGCGGGTTTTCTCCGCGCATGGAAAATCCATGCCTGCACTCGGCCCTCAGCGCTCCGCCGCAACAAACTTCCGCACCACACACGCATGCCCCGAGCATTCATTTTCATTTTCAAGTTTGTGTTCGGTTTGTTGCGTTCCAAAGCAGTGCCAATAGAAACCGTGCAAAACGCAACAAAACCCAACTGAACCGTAAGAATACACACATACCGAAGCAGCTGGCTGGCACGCGCTTGGCTGGCTGGCCCTCCCCTCCTTTCCTCCCCTTTCCACCGCTCCCCTCATCCCCTCTCCCCTTTTCCCGCCATCATTCCCCCACAACCGTTTCTTCCTAATGCTTTTGCTCTTCCTACAAGTTTCTTCATTCCAGCTTCTTAGCTTGATGCTAGCGCAAGCACCCACGACCTCCCGTGCTCTATCGAGCACTTCCCTTATCCACTCGGGAACCCAACCTTCCCGTACGACCCGCTTCCCCTGTGTATCGGAAGTTTCGGGGAAAGCAGCCGTCGCCATGAAGGCGTCTAGGGTTGTCCGTTTGATGTCGACTGTGGCGCCCAGCCTTCAAAGCGCCATGTCCGGCGCTACATCCGGAGCGGCTGTAGCGCCTGTAGCGGCGTCAGCAGCGGCTGCTCAGAGATCGTCTTCTATGGTGGGCGATCGTCCGCAGATCGCGCAGAATATGCGAAGTGCGTGGGTGACTGGTCATGGTCAGACGTCGCTGTGGCGTCGCATGTCGTCATCTGCGACGGTTGGCGGCGCTAATGTGTCGCACAGATTGCTCGCACGGCCTGTGCCGTCGGCGTACATCCTCACGCGAAAGGCCTCCAGCGCAGGTAACTTGCGATTCTGCACAAATCCCAGGACGATCAGACTTGTTAATTCCTATGAGACCAGGATAGGAAATCTCTTTTAACAGTCACCTTGCAATCTACAAATAAAAAACAAAGTTGATGTTTTTGCTGGCCCCCTGATCAATGCTGTGATCCTGCATGGTCATTCTTACGCCTTTTATTAACTCTGTTCCTGGACTCTGGCCTGTGCAGCGCCCGAGAATCCGTTCAAGAACATCGTCACAGATCTCCCGTCGGCCGACGGCGGCTCGTACGGGAAGTACTACAGCCTTCCTGCGCTCAACGACCCGCGCGTCGGTGAGTGCATCCGTGCTCGTAAGTTATGTTTTATCTTCTTTTTTTTTTTTTTTTGGAGCAAGTAGTGGGTAACCTCCCCCAAATTGATGACTTCGTGATCGTAAGCAGACGATTCAGACGTGTACCGCTGTCCATTGCAGACTCGATCCTCCAGGCTTGTAGCATCCGCGTCGTGCTCCCGGCTAAAAATTGGTTAAGCGCTGCTTCTCGTATAGACAGTGTGCGAACAAGACACTGTACAATAAAGCTTTAATGTTTACGTGTGCCCCACTTCTGCCGCCATCCGTCCAGATGGTGTCGCTTTTAGATTAGACCATCGTGGATAAAGGTGTACCGTTCTGTGTCGATACGATTTTTTACTGCTCTTTCTACTATCACCCCCCTTTGTTGCCCTCACGTCGCCACGCCACGTCACGCCACGTCAGATCGCCTGCCCTACTCCATTCGCATTCTGCTCGAGTCTGCACTGCGCAACTGCGACAATTTTCAGGTGCTGCCCGCTGACGTGGAGAAGATCCTCGACTGGGAGAAAACTGCCCCGCAGCAAGTGGAGATTCCTTTCAAGCCTGCCCGCGTGCTGCTGCAGGTACGGAGCGAGCGGGTGAAGCTAATCCGCGCGTGCATTTCGCTTTGATCACTCAGTCATCCCAGTTGCATCGGCGATGGTTCGCTCTCACTTGCACTTCCCATTTGATTGCATGCTGTCAGCGTAAACATCAACCCTCCTTCTTTCCCCCACACCCACCTTCCCCCCCCCCCCCCCCCCCCCCCCCCCCGCGCCTTTTTTTCTCTTTTCCTTCCAGGACTTCACGGGCGTGCCCGCCGTAGTGGATCTAGCAGCAATGCGCGACGCGATGAAGTCGCTGGGCGGCGATCCGAATGCGATCAACCCGCAGGTGCCGGTGGATCTGGTGATCGACCACTCCGTGCAGGTGGACGTCGCGGGCTCCGCCAACGCGGTGGCGCAGAACATGCAGCTCGAGTTCGACCGCAACAGCGAGCGCTTCGCGTTTCTGAAATGGGGCGCCAAGGCCTTCCAGAACATGCGCGTCGTGCCTCCTGGCTCCGGCATTGTGCATCAGGTGAGAAGTCAGGTGTTGTGCGCCAGGTGAGAAGTCAGGTGTTGTGCGCCATTGGAGTGAGGGGTCTGGTGTTCTGCGTCAAGTGAACCACCCCCCTTCAGCCCCCCTTCAGCCCCCCTTCCTCCTCTTGCGCCTTGCTCTGCGAATCCTTGTGTTCTTGCTGCGTGCACTGCCGCGTGCGCCTGGTTGTGGCAGGTGAACCTGGAGTATCTCGCACGAGTGGTGTTTCCGCACAAGGGGCTGCTGTACCCGGACAGCCTGGTGGGCACGGACTCGCACACCACCATGATCGACGGGCTTTCACATTAACCCCCCCCCTTCTGTGTCTTGCTGCGTGTGTTGCTGCATGCATTGCTCGCGTCGTCTTCTCGCTCAAGGGCCTGCTGTACCCGGACAGTCTCGTAGGCACGGACTCGCACACCACCATGATCGACGGGCTCTCAAGCGGTCAACCTCCCCCTCCCATTCCTTTTTGCAGGTCAACCTGGAGTATCTAGCCCGCGTCGTCTTTTCGCACAAGGGCCTGCTGTACCCGGAGAGTCTCGTGGGCACGGACTCGCCCACCACCATGATCGACGGGCTCTCAAACACCCGTCCCCCCCCCGCCGGTTCCCCTCTAACCCCACCCCGCCCTCCTCTCCAACAGGTGAACCTGGAGTATCTGGCTCGCGTCGTCTTCTCGCACAAGGGCGTGCTCTACCCGGACAGCCTGGTGGGCACGGACTCGCACACCACCATGATCGACGGGCTGGGCGTGGCGGGGTGGGGCGTGGGCGGCATAGAGGCAGAGGCCACCATGCTGGGGCAGGTGCGTTGACGCGGAAGGGTGGTGGCGTTGCACCAGGGGGTGGGGGGTGGTCCGTGGGGCGTGGCGGGGTGGGGCGTGGTGGGGTGGGGCGTGGCGGGGTGGGGCGTGGTGGGGTGGGGCGTGGCGGGGTGGGGCGTGGTGGGGTGGGGCGTGGCGGGGTGGGGCGCGGGCGGCATCGAGGCCGAAGCCACCATGCTGGGGCAGGTGCGTGCGGGAGTGATCGCCTCGAAGTGACATACTGTCATGGCTGATGCGGTGCTGTGCGGTGGCATGGGGCGATAGGTGATGACCTTGCATCAGGGGGTGGGGGATGGGGCGTGGGAAGCATTGAGGCCCAAGGCACTATGCTATGCTGGGGGCCTGGGGCTGGCGCGTTGGGGGCTCGAAGCTGTATTGAGCCAGTGTCAGGTGCTTTCTTCCCTCTTCCCTTCCCCTCTTCCCCCCCCCCCCCCTCTCCCCCTACCCATCCTCTTATTCCACCGCCACCCAGCCCATGTCCATGGTGCTCTTTGAGGTCGTGGGCTTTAAGCTGATCTTCCTCTCTCCCCTCCTTCCCCTCTTTTTCCCTGTCTCCCTTCTCCTCCCCTCTCCCTTATCCACCCCCACCAGCCCATGAGCATGGTGCTACCCGAGGTGGTGGGCTTTAAGCTGACAGGCAAGCTCCAGCCTGGCGTGACGGCCACGGACCTCGTGCTGACGTGTACGGCCATGCTGCGTCAGCACGGCGTGGTGGGCAAGTTCGTGGAGTTCCACGGCGACGGCATGCGTCACCTGGCGCTCGCTGATAGGGCGACCATTGCCAACATGGCGCCCGAGTATGGAGCCACCATGGGTTTCTTCCCTGTTGACGATGCCACGCTGGCATACCTCAAGACATCGGGACGTGATGATAAGACGGTGAGTGAGTGAGTGGGTAGGGAGAGTAGTAACGATGCCACTCACCGTTCAGGGAGTAGCAATGATGATGTTCTTTCCTGTGAACGATGCCACGCTGGCGTATCTCAAGACGTCTGGGCGGGATGGTAACACGGTGAGTTAGATTGATGGGAAGTGATGAGAGCATGTTGAGATGATCGAGCAGCTCGATATGCCCACCAAAAATAGATCGAGCATGGTGGGGAGTTAAATGCAAACCATTGTAGATTGGAAAACGAACAGTTTGACTTTCCATCTCAGCGATTTTTCTGTCCTTCCTCTGTCGCTTGTATCTCTATGTGCTTGCTGATGGCATGCTGGAAATGGTTGCATGGTGAAATGACTGTATGGTGAAACGGGTGTACTGTGCTGCGCTGCCTGTGCGAGCAGGTGAAGATGGTGGAGGCATACCTTAGAGCCAACAAGATGTTTGTCGATTACAACGAGGTGAGTCGTTACAGTGAGCGGATTATAAGAGGGCTTGACGTTTCACATTGCTTTTCCATGCTGCAAATAAAACACCACGAGGTTGCCATAGCCTCAACACACTGCAGCACGGCGCACCACCTCACCTCACTGACTTTGTTCCCTTCATGCCTTAACGTGCAAATGCTCTCCCTGTCCTGCCCAGCTCCATACCATTTCAATCGTCTAACCGCCCCACTCCTCCACATACTCCCTTGCTCACCCCTCTGTATCCCTCTGTGCCGCTGTGCGCCCATCTGCCCCCTCACAGCCCCAGGCGGATCGGTCCTACTCGTCGTCGCTGGAGCTGGATCTGGGCGCTGTGGAGCCCTGCATCTCCGGCCCCAAGAGGTACCGTGTCATGCCTGTGCAGGTTTTGGGGCTCTGGTTTCGGGTTTCAAGGTTCGGAGGCTGTTTTTGTGGTGCCCCATAAGCAAGCCGGAGCTGGATCTGGGCGCCGTGGAGCCCTGCATCTCCGGCCCCATGAGGTAACCCCTCATGCCTGTCCAAGGTTTGGGGCTCAGGATTCGGGGTTCAGGGTTTAAAATCTGTTTTTGACGTGCCTAAAAAAAAACTCGATCTTCCTGCCGTGGAGGCCTGCATCTCCGGCCCCAAGAGTTACCGTGTCATGCCTGGATTCGGGCCTGAGGGAACGATGCTTAGGGTTCAGGGTTTAGAGTCCGTTTTTGAGGTGCCTCAAAAACACAAACTCGATGGTTCAGGGGGTTTGGATTTGGGTTTGAGGATTTGTCAGGTGCTCACCTGACTGTGCGCCCCTGGATGTGCTGTGCACCCGCCCCTCCCTCTGTGGCCCTTCCTCCCCCCCCCCCTCCCCCCGCTCCATACTCCTACAGGCCCCATGACCGTGTGCCTCTGCGAAGCATGAAGGAGGACTGGCAGGCATGCCTCGACAACCCCGTCGGTTTTAAGGTCAGTTCCCATGACCCGTGCTCTCACCCACCTTTGAGACGTCTCAAAAGTTATGACCCGTGCTCTCACCCACCTTTGAGACGTCTCAAAAGTTATGACCCGTGCTCTCACCCACCTTTGAGACGTCTCAAAAGGTATGACCCGTGCTCTCACCCACCTTTGAGACGTCTCAAAAGTTATGACCCGTGCTCTCACCCACCTTTGAGACGTCTCAAAAGTTATGACCCGTGTTCTCACCCACCTTTGAGACGTCTCAAAAGTTATGACCCGTGCTCTTACCCACCTTTTCCCTCCCGCCCTTGAGTTCCTGCTTTATCTCCTTTTTTTCCTGCTCACATTGCTTGAGAGGGGTAGTGGTGGCTGAGAGTATGGGCACGGGCACATGGGCATACGGGCACATGGGCATACGGGCACATGGGCATACGGGCACATGGGCATACGGGCACATGGGCATACGGGCACATGGGCATACGGGCACATGGGCATACGGGCACATGGGCATACGGGCGCATGGGCATACGGGCACATGGGCATACGGGCACATGGGCATACGGGCACATGGGCATACGGGCACATGGGCATACGGGCACATGGGCATACGGGCACATGGGCATACGGGCACATGGGCATACGGGCACATGGGCATACGGGCACATGGGCATACGGGCACATGGGCATACGGGCACATGGGCATACGGGCACATGGGCATACGGGCACATGGGCATACGGGCACATGGGCATACGGGCACATGGGCATACGGGCACATGGGCATACGGGCACATGGGCATACGGGCACGGGCACTGGCACGGGCACGGGCACTGGCTGCGGCACGGGCACGGGCACGGGCATGGGCAGGGGCAGGGGGAGGGGATTACTCAGGGCCTCGGTCAGGGGCTCGGTCAGGGGCTCGGTCAGGGGCTCGGTCAGGGGCTCGGTCAAGGAGCAGCATCGCAAGGTGGTGAAGTTCTCGTTTAACGGGCATTCCTGCCATTCCTGCCTTAACCTTCAACCACCCACCTACTTTCAACTAAACCTTACCCCTTTTGTTCGCCTCGCCTCTTCACCTCTCTTTCCCCCCTGCAGGGCAAAGTGGTGAAGTTCTCGTTTTACGGACAGCCAGCGGAGTTAAGGCACGGGTCCGTGGTAATCGCGACCATTCTGTTCAACTTTCTGCCTCCCATCCCATTCCACCTCCCTTCACCCCTCCTCCAGGGCTTCGCGTTGCCCAAGGAGCAGCAGGGCAAGGTGGTGAACTTCTCGTTCAACGGACAGCCAGCGGAGCTAAGGCACGGGTCGGTGGTGATTGCAGCCATCACCTCGTGCACCAACACTAGCAACCCCTCCGTCATGCTCGGTGCTGCTCTCGTGGCAAAGAAGGCTACGGACCTGGGTCTGCAGGTGAGTCGTTGGTGTTGCGAGGTTCAAGCAGAGTCCTACAGTGGGAGGGAGTGGGGTGAGGGGGTTACGGAGGGTTGTCCCCCACGCACTCCCTCCCTCTTCCATTGTGAAGTCCGGCCTGGCGCCCGGGCCCCTCCCACAGCCTCTCTCATGCTCTGCCTGCGTCAACCCCATCTTTACCTCATTCGCTCTCTCTCGCCCCCCTCGCTCTCCCCCGGTGAAGTTGTGGGTGAAGACTAGTCTGGCTCTCTCTCATGCTCTCTCTCATGCTCTCTCTCATGCTCTCCCTTAACCACATGCCCCACCACACCCCACCGCTTCTCCCACCCCCACCCTCCCCCCCGCAGGTGAAGCCGTGGGTGAAGACCAGCCTGGCGCCCGGCTCTGGAGTGGTCACCAAGTACCTTGAGAAGAGGTGCGTGTGGTAACCAGGTGGTAACCAATGTGGAAATCAGTGTATTGACCGGTTGCAGTAAGAGCCTCTGGTGTGGTGACCAAGAACCGCGAGAGGAGGTGCGTGTGGTTACCAGTACAGTGGTAACCAGGGCAGTGTGGTAACCAGGTCAGTGTGGTAACCAGGGCAGTGTGGTAACCAGGCCAATGTGGCAAGTGGTGCAGTGTGTACCTGGTTAGTGTAATAATCAATTCAGTGTGGTAACTAAGGTGGTGATCAGTGGTGTATTATCCACTTGTAACTAAAGTGGTAACCAGAACGGCTGCACGACATGTATGTATCGGCAACTCAAATCTCACCTCTACTCCCTCACGTACCACCACCCCCCTCTCCCCATGCAGTGGTCTGCTACCGTCCCTGGAGAAGCAGGGGTTCCACGTGGTGGGGTACGGTCGCACCACGTGCATTGGCAGCTCAACTCTCGCTTTTATTCACTCCCTTTCCCGCACCTCCCACCCTCGCCCCATGCAGTGGTCTCCTCCCCTCACTGGAGAAGCAGGGGTTCCACGTGGTGGGGTACGGTTGCACCACGTGCATTGGCAACTCGGGGGAGATTGCGGAGTCTGTGGGGCAGGCCATTGCTGAGAACGGTGCGTGTGGGGCAGTCGGGAAGGGTGTGGAGCGGTGGGACGAGGTGTTGGGGGGTGGGATGGACGCGTTTTCAGGCTAGTCAGGGGAGATTGCAGAGTCTGTGGGGCAGGCCATTGCTGAGAACGGTGCGTGTGGGAGTGCTAGCCGGTTGGGGGAGGTGTGGAGGGGTGGGGCAGCTGGGAGGCGTAGGATTGGGGGGGTGAAGGGATGGGCGATACTTAGCAAGCTTCCGTTGGCTGGCGTGCGGGTGGCGACAGCGGAGTCTAGCTCATCCCCAGACGCGCGCCTGCTACCTCGCCTTGCCTCACCACGTTGCTGCCTTCCCCACTGCCCAACCCAACCATCATGTCTCCCCTACATACAACAGACCTGGTGGCGGCAGCAGTGCTATCGGGTAATCGGAACTTTGAGGGGCGAGTGCATCCGCTGACACGTGCCAAGCCAACTACCTTGTCTTAGTGATCCCATCTTTCCCCTCCCTTCTTCCCTATCACCCCCCCACACAAAACGACAGACCTGGTGGCGGCAGCAGTGCTGTCGGGTAATCGCAACTTCGAGGGGCGAGTGCATCCCCAGACGCGTGCCAACTACCTCGCCTCGCCACCCCTCGTTGTCGCATATGCCCTCGCCGGCACGGTGAGTCACATTGCATAGCCCACGCATGAAGCCATGCATGTGCATGTGCATGTGCATGTGCATGTGCATGTGCATGCACTGGCAGCACGAATGGCCCTCTCAGCCCTCTCTCTCAAGGTGCATCCCCAGTGACGCGAGCTAACTACCTCGCCTTGCCACCCCTCGTGGTCGCCTATGCTCTCGCTGGCACAGTGAGTCACATCAACCAAGCCATGCATGCTTATCAGCTTTAAGGCCTGATGCTCAACCAAATTATCATTTCAGGAGGCAAAAACCTCTCCTCCTAAATCAATAAACCCCCCTCTCCCCCCGAACCACTCCCACCAGGTGGGCATTGTCTTAGCCACCGAGCCTATTGGCACTGGCAGCAACGGGAGGGAAACCTGTTGTCCTCTGAGGCATCTGACGACCTTTCCTTGATCTCACTTCTGAATCCCCCATGCTGGTGGACATTGACCTAGCCTCAGAGCCCATCGGCACCAGCAGCGACGGCAAGCCTGTCTTGGTGCGCAACATCTGGCCCTCCTCCCTTACCTCCCTGTCCTTGGCCTGTCTTCCCATGCCTCTCTCTTCAATCCATCCCCACATACAATTCTCAGGTGGACATTGACTTCGCCACCGAGCCAATCGGCACGGGCAAAGACGGGAAGCCCGTTTTCCTGCGCGACATCTGGCCGTCGTCCGCTGAGGTGGCAGCGGTGGTTGAGAAGTCCGTGCTGCCCGAGTTCTTCCGGTCGACCTATGAGAGCATCACACGTGGCAACGACCTGTGGAACGGGCTCACCGCACCTGAAGGCGCGCTGTATGAGTGGAACCCGGCCTCCACTTACATCCACGAGCCGCCGTTCTTCAAGGGGATCTCCAAGGACCCGCCTGGGGTGGCGCCTGTGGTGGACGCGTACTGCCTGCTCAACCTGGGCGACAGCATCACCACCGACCACATCTCGCCTGCCGGTGCGTGCCTGGGTGGGGGTGGCTATGCGTGGGTGTGTCTGTGTGGGTGTCTGTGTGTGTGGGGGTGGCTATGCGTGAGTGTGTCTGTGTGGGTGTCTGTGTGTGCGGGTGGGGTTGTGTGTATCTGTGCGCCTGTGGTGGACGCGTACTGCCTGCTCAACCTGGGGGACAGCATCACCACCGATCACATCTCCCCTGCAGGTGGGTGGCTGTCTGTGGGTGTGCGGGTGTGTGTGTGTCTCAGCCGCGACATACATCCACGAGCTGGCCTTCTTCAAGGTGACTGAAAGTGTGGCACGCAAGGACTGCAACTTGCATGACAGCACGCGGGGCAACGACGCGGTGGTGGCACTTCAAACACCTATTTGCACCATGCTCCTCCCTCCCTCATCCACTCTACTTCCCCAGGAAGCATTACAAGGACATCTCCGCAGCGAGGTACCTGACAGAGAGGGGTGTGGCACGCAAGGACTGGAACTCATATGGCAGCAGGCGGGGCAACGACGCGGTGATGGCATCAACAATCATTAACTCGGTCCTGCGTCCCTGCACCAAACCCCTTCTTCCTCCCAGGAAGCATTCACAAGGACAGCGCTGTGACACGGTATCTGGCAGAGAGGGGCGTGGCGCGCAAGGACTGGAACTCATATGGCAGCATGCGGGGAGCATGCGCGTGTGTGGCGCGTGTGTGGCGCGTGTGTGCGTGGGACTTCAAACCTGATTTTGCACTGTGTTCCTGCCTTCGTGCACCAACCCCCTTCCCTTGTTCCCAGGGAGCATTCACAAGGACAGCGCTGCTGCCAGGTACCTCACCGAGAGGGGCGTGGCACGCAAGGACTGGAACTCGTATGGCAGCAGGCGGGGCAACGACGAGGTCATGGCGCGCGGCACGTTTGCCAACATCCGCATTGTGAACAAGTTCATGAAAGGGGAGGTCGGCCCGCACACTGTTCACGTGCCGAGTGGCGAGAAGATGTTCATATATGATGCTGCCATGGTGAGTAGGGGAGGGTGGTGCTGCCGTTTGGTGAGGAAATGGAGAGTGTTAGAAGAGTTGTGACCACGTTTGCAAACGCTTGCACACTGTGCACGTGCCGAGCAGAGAAAAGAGCGGGGAGAATTTTTCCATCTATGATGCTCCCCTTCCTCCCCATTCCCCTCCGCTCCCTCCCTCCCCCCAGCGCTACAAGGACGGGGGGGCACCTACGATCATCCTAGCCGGGTCGGAGTACGGCAGCGGCAGCTCGCGGGACTGGGCGGCCAAGGGGCCGTACCTGCAGAGCGTGAAGGCGGCGATTGCCAAGTCCTTCGAGCGCATCCACCGCAGCAACCCATGCTCATGCATCCCCCAATCCCCATCTCCGCTCCCTCCCCTCCTCCACTCCCCTCCCCTCCCTCCCGTTCTGCCCCGCCACTTCCGTCCCCTCCATCCCCCCCTCGCCCCAGCGCTACAAGGAAGCAGGGGCACCGACAATCGTCCTAGCCGGTTCAGAGTACGGGAGTGGGAGTTCTCGGGACTGGGCGGCCAAGGGGCCGTACCTGCAGGGCGTGAAGGCGGTGATTGCCAAGTCCTTCGAGCGCATCCACCGCAGCAACCTCGTCGGCATGGGCATCATCCCCCTCTGCTTCAAGCCCGGGCAGGATGCCGAGTCGCTCGGGCTGACCGGGTTTGAAAAGTTTTCGGTGCACCTGCCCCCGCTGAAGGAGATCAAGCCGGGGATGGATGTTGAGGTGACGACGGATAATGGCAAGAAGTTTACAACCACCCTGCGATTCGACACCCAGGTGGGTCTGCCGTACCCAGGTGGGTGGGGTCTCAAAAACCCTTCACACGTGGGCCTCTTTTTTTCCTCCAATTCAGTGCTTGTGAACATCAGTCAGTTTGCACCTTTGGGGATGGGCGTTGAAGTCACGACTGGTAACGGCAAGAAATTCACAACCACCCTGCGATTCAATACCCAGATGGGCCCTTTTTCCACTTGCTGTGCTGGTTTGTTTCTTAGCAATTTCAGAAGGTGCACATCGTATCGCATGATCGCTCCTTCTCATCCAGCGCCCCACCACAGCCCCTTGTTTGAGCCACTCTCTTTGTACTGTGCTTCTCCGCCTCCTCAGTGTCGCACCCTCTTTCTCCCAAATCTCATCCTCAGCGCTCCTCTCCTTCCCATCTTATCCCCGCTCTCCCCCCTCTTCGTCTCTTCCGCCCTTCCCCGTTTGCCATGCAGGTGGAACTGACTTACTTTGAGAATGGAGGCATTCTGCACTACGTGCTTCGAAGCCTGGCTAAGGACAGCTGAGAGGGAATGAAAAGATTAGAGCCTGCATTTTTTGGATTGGATTTGAGGGAGTATGATGACCAGTAGGTGAAGCTGTGGCTTGTGATTTTGGAGGCTCGTTGATGGGTTGGAATCAGCCTGTGTTGTTGCTGAGACAACAATTGTCCTACAACGTTCGGTTCTAAGCCGGTGGTTAGAGTGCAAGATTTGAGACGTCGACCATTTCAGTTGAACAGGATAACCTGTTTGTAAAATGAAGTTTGGAATTGATGATTAGCGCTGAAATTACGAGCTCGGTCTGTGGTCAGAACTTGCGAAATTGTAGATTGTCTCTAGACAGGTCATGTGTGCATGAGCAGCATGAGGGGAGGGGGGATTGGCTTTGTGCCTACAATTCTCAAGCTGTTGAATTTTTGTTTTAAAATAAATATCACAGGCATTCAGAGGTTCGCTCTGAAATTCCTATCAAACATTTCACTTTACAACTTCATAGCGGAACATTTGCCTAGACCTGATCTCTTCCAGCCGTCAGGGGTTTCGCCAGGCAAGTGCCGAGTCGCCACCAACACGCACCATTTGTGGGCTTCCCCACACACACCCAGCCTGTCCCCCCCACACACGCGAAAACCTCACCGAGTATGGGGAGAGTAGGCATCCAGCCCTTCTCACCACCGCTGCTAGTGGCGTGTTGGTGGCGAACAATGGGCTCGAGCCGCAACACAGGCTATCAGTGGCAGCTGGTTTCGCCAGCCAGAATGCCATTTTCGAACGTGGTGTCTGGTTACCACGTATCGTCATATTTCGAGTGTAGCAAGCATTCATAATAGCACGACCACTGTTTCGTGAAGGGCCTGATGGTCCGAAAGCGATCCTGAATCCTAATTGGCCAGACCTTCATCACACCTGACATTTCCCATCGGCCTCCCCGTCCATCATGGGAAATCACATGGAGAACCAAATCTTCTGCCACAGGCTGTAAAAGCTGCGTGAGGTGCGGAAGGGCAAATCTGGCAGTGTGACAGCATGGCGCCAGTGTCCAGGTGCTTTTTCCTCCAGCTCGCCCAACCAAAGCTGGTTTCGCTGGAAAATCTGGCGCCACTCTCGGGTTTCTCGAGTCGCAGGGAACCCATCTGCTGGGATGCGGAATTCAGCCCCACTTTCCTCGGCGACATGTGGGGAGCGAGGGTTTCCGCGTCGCATCCTACAAATATTCCCAGGTCTCAAAATTTGCATGTCACTCAAACTTCCGTACTTCGATCTGTCATCTCGACACGAGACTTTTCACTGACAAACGCAACTCTTCAATCAAATAAGAAGCTACGAAATAAGCGCCTAGAAACACAACGATTCAACTCAGCTTCTAAAGACTGCGACACACAATGGCATCGACACCAGACGAAGCAAACATCGGCATGGACTCTCCAGCCGGCGACATCGAAGCAGTAGTGGGATCATTCCTCAACCTCCCGTCCGTTCCTGCCCTCACGCAGCCCACCGAAACCAAAGCCGCGTCGGCCGAGGAAAAAACCTCCGCTGGCGACGCGAACAGCGACGAATGCGAAAGCGGCGACGATGGCGACGACGACAGCGAAGATGGTGACGACGACGCTGGCAACCAGATGGATCTGATGCTCGCGATGATGCGACTGCTGCAGAAGCAAATGCCGAAAAAGAAAAAGGCGGGGAGTAGCAAGAGCAAGCCGAGTGAATCCGCGGCGCCGCTGCTGAATGGAAAGGGGTCCGCCATGGATCAGGAGCAGCTGCTCACTGTTCTCTCTAAAGCGCTCTCGACCATGGATTCCCACGACGACGAGCCCACGTCGACCCCCAAGCAGAAGCGCGCCAAGCTGAGCGCCGCTAGCGCAAAGCCCGCCTCTGCGCGCCAAATGCCGCAGCTGGCGCGACCTAGCGCGGAAGCCCCCGCGCCCGCGCAACAGAAAGCGAATGCTGGGGGATACGGCGCGGAGGGCGGCGAGGATACGATACTGCATTGTTTCATGGATCAGCTGCCGCAGATCGACGGTCACCTGGACGCGATGATTGCGGCGGCAGATGCGGCGGTTGACCCGCAGGAAGCGCAACCGTCACCGACGGAACACGTCAGCAGCAGCGCAGGGGCGAGCGCCAGAGGCTGCTCCGCGCAGCAGAACGATGGCGCGGGATCCGGCTCCCGGTTCCCACCGCCCAACACACCGCATTTCTCGGCGCACGAGCGGCAGACGGGGTCCTGGGACGCCGTCAGCAGCAGCAGCATGGATAGCTCCGCTGCCGCCGCAGCCGCCGCTGCTGCCGCAGCGCTCGCAGTCAACTCGCGGAAGCGCAAGTCGGGGGAGGACGAGGGGGCGTGTGTAGGGGGAGAGGGGAACGGTGAGCAGGCGGCGATCAGCAGCCGATCCGCGTCAGAGGTGCGATGGAACGGGAATGGGCAGATGCAGGAGTACCAACCGCTGTCGCTGCCACAGGCAACCAGCAAAGGCCCTGTGGTGGTGAGCAGGCAGCAGCTGCAGCAGGCTGCATGCAAGCCGCCCCTTCTCTCGCTCCCTGCTGCCTGCCTCGCCGCTCCTGGTTCTGCGCCTCTCCTCCGCGCGCCCGTCTCGAATGCGTCCGCCGCTTCCGCCCCGCCTCCCCCTGCCACCCCGCTCCGCATGCTCACCGTCCCTAGTGACGTGTCTCCCACCGCAGCGCCCATGGCGCGGTCGAACGTGATGGACAGGTTCGGCAGTGTGGGGGAGGATCTGTCAGCGGAGCAACCATTGGGGTTCCCTGTGAGGTTCGGGAGCAAACGCATGGATGATGGTTTCGCTGATGGTGCTGGTAACAACACAGCTGGCAATGGCAGTCACGGTTACAATGATGGCAGCAATGGGTGCGATGATGGAGGCATGGGATACGATGATATGGGCGGAGACGACATGGACGACTGGATGCCGCGCAGCCGCGGGCGCAAGGACCGGCAGGTGGCGGGCGGGCGCATCAAGGCGCGGAGCATGGCGGAGAGGCAGAGGCGGGAGAGGATCAGCGAGGGCCTGCAGAAGCTGCGGATGGCTGTGCGCGGGCATGGGGACACGGCCACTATGCTTGACAACGCTGTCTCATACGTGCAGGCGCTGCAGAGGCGAGTGACATCGTTGGAAACCAACATGCTGCTGCACCAGGCGTCCTGTGGGGGCCTTGGTCAGGGTGGAGGCGCAATGGGCGGTGGGAATGGACCCAACTCCAATAACAGGGGCCGCCATGGTAATGGCTTCATCAACCCCTCCCAGTTTGGTTCTCTTTTTGGCTTGGACGTTTGAGTCCAATGTCCTCCTATGACAAATAAAGGGATGTCCTACGTGGCTACCTACTTGGAATAAAGCATCCCTTCCCTTGGATTGGATGGCAGGGTGTTTTGGTGTTAGTGATCTGATTTACTAACGTATGTTTATAACTTTGTTGTATGACAAGCCACGCATAATGCTACTACGGAATGTTTTATTGATAATGCTACTAATCTGGCGACACACCCCAAGTATTTTGAAGGGTTGATGCTCTTTGAAGGAGTGAACACCATATAAGAGTTTCATAGATGGGAGTTTTGGTTATTTCTGTTACGAATAGTAACATGTAATTGTTACTGAGCACTCCTCACCGCAGCAAAGAGAAGTACGCAGTATCGAAGCAAGAAAGCGAACCGTCAGACAGTTGGAGTTTGACTCGAAGTGTCAGACAGTTGGGACGCATCTGGACCGTCGGAAGCAGACGGCATCGGACAGCTGCAGGCAGGATGTTCTTGGCGGGAACAGTTACGAAACTGTACGCGCCGCACGGTTGAATGTATTTGAATAAGGGAATGTACCCCTTAGAGTACATGACTAGCTAGGTCGTTTCGTCTTCCCTGTACTCATATTTATACTCGCTGTATTTGCATGCTTAATTATCTCAAGCATTTACATTCACTCTGCTATTGAGATCACGGGCCCACCAACCAACCTTTTCCTGTCTGCGAACCTTCCCGAGTAGATCCTGGTTAGCGATCATTCTCTGATCGTAGCATGGTATGAGAGCGGCTCGGGAATCCTTCGCAACACCACTCCCGAAAATTGCGACACTCGGAAAGTGGCGACCGGCACACGCTCGCGTGTGAGAATGGCCGGAGGATCTGGTGGTCAGACTAATCTGACGGCTGAAGCACGCACCAATCCGGCTGCGACAAGCGAGGAAACGACTACGATCGGCACCGAAGTCCTCGCACAACTTCTTCAGCGACTCACCAGTCTGGAGCAAGGGCTCCAAACATTGCGGAACGGCGATGCGGGAACATCCTCGCAACCAACCCAACCGGGCCCAACTGGGAAAAACACCGTCCCACAAACCTTCTCCCTCGACACAAATGGCTCAACCCCCAAGGCTCCCCGTCCCAGTGAAGAGGCAATTCTCTCAGCTCAATCAAAGTTTCTGAGCATATCAAAAATAAAGACAAGTTCCAGCTTTGACGGCAGAGACTTTTATACCTGGAGCTTCGAATTGGAGCTCCTGCTGCAGAACGCCCAAATCTTCCACTACTTCGACGGGAGCTACGCCGAGCCTGCCGAGGACACCGACGACGCCAAGGCGAGGTATTACAACGAATCACTGATGGCGTACGGGGTGCTCCTGCGGAATATGTCCCCGGCGGAGCAGCTGAACATCCGTTCGTACAAAACGACAGCTGCTCCAGCCCTCAACGCCTGGCGACACCTGACAGGAGTCTACCAGCCCAAGGACTCTGTCTCGTCGAGCCGACTGCTCCAGGAACTCCTGGAAACCAAGATGATCTCAGGGGAGAAGGTCAACACTTACCTTAATCGCTGTCGGAGCCTTCGCGATCAGATCGTGAAGTTGGGAAGCACGATATCTGAAGAAATCTTCGTTAACATCGTGCTTCAAGGGCTCGGCCCAGAGTGGCGGCCCTGCAAGGCGCTTCTCCGACAGCAGGGGGTCATCTCGGAGGCCGCCCTTTGCGCCGCCCTTCTCGTCGAACAACGGGATATGGACCAGCAGCGACCAGCGCCACGACGAGAAAGAGAACGGATCGCCTTCTACGCCGACAACAACGAAGAGCGACGTCCGAGGCGCCTCTACTGCAAAATTTGCAGGACTTTCGGGCACCTGGCGGATCGATGCAAGTCCCGATCTCGCCCTCGCCAGACCAATCCGAGCAACTGGTCCGGCCGACAAGACGTACGAGGCGACGTGCGTCCAGCCCAGGGCTATCAGCCCCCTCCCACGCGCAACCTGAACCCCGCGGTTCAGCATCAGCAGCAGCAGCCGCCACCGACTGCCACAGTACGCAATGTCATGAGCAACATGGCCATGACAGGCGAGTCCCGTCGTCGCCGCGTGCGCTCACCATCACCTGAGCCAGCACCGCACCCCATTGGCGCGTTCTCCAACAACAACCCATTCAGTCCGCGCCATGACTTCACCGACGACGACGACCAGGACTGGAATCTCCCAGTCCCGCTGCTTGAAAGTCCCCCGCACGTGCCAGACATGCGGGTGGCGCCACTTGATTGGCTCTCGCGCGAGCAATTTCTGAAGTTCGATACCCCGCACATCGTCACGCCGCGACTGGCGCTGCTCGCACGTGACAACAACAAGCGCTACAACACCTGGTACCTGGACAGCTGCTGCGGCCAGCATATGGTGGGGTCCGAGCGTTACATATCCAACGCCATCCCCACTCCTACCGTCACTTATGTCACTGTGGCGAACAACACGCGCCTGCGCGCAAACGCGCAAGGCATCGTTGTGCTCAAAGCACGCGGAAGCCGCACGCACATCACACTCAACGATGTGCTGATCGTCCAGAACCTGCGCTTCAACCTCTTGTCCGCCGCACAGCTCATGGATTGCGGCGTAGAACTCAGCACAGATCGCGCGACGCGCGACATTCTGCTGCACTACGAATCGCGCAACTTCCCCCGCAGACAGATCGGACGAGCACACTCCGAAAATGGAGTGTACATCCTGGATTTCGACATTCCCGACTGCAGCGGCGACTCGCACGAGCTAATTGACCTCGTGCCACTGCGATTCGAACACATCCACCGCAGGGACTGGAAGCACCCTGACGGCAGGCCGTGGGTGCCGCATCATCCCCACCCACGCGAAACGGCACTTCACAACCCCGATCCAACTGGAATCTGCAGGGACTGTCACACGCCAACGACCTCGGCGAGCGCAATCGCAGGCCGCGGACTCGCCGCCATCGCGGAAGCAGAGCGCAACGCGCCCCCCGATGAAGGGATGTCGCAACTCGAACTCGAAGTCACCACACATGGCGTGTTCGGCACGCCCGAGCACCCCCTCACAGGTCCCCCTTCTCAACATCTTCGAGGGATGCTTCGTGGAACTGGTGTCGGTACCTTCGATGCGCGTGGCTTGGCACGCCCCTACACTCGCGAGGATTTTCTGCAGATCTACCCACATTGGCGCGACCCCACGGCGAAGCTCACCGTGGAACAGGAGGAAGAACTGGCGCGCCGCGAAGCAGAGGAGCTTCGCCAACAAAGCCTCATAGAGGCACGCGGAACGTTCGCTTGCGCCGCATGGGGCGCCGAAGCTGAAGAAAGCGCCACCAATGAAGGGGGGTGGGGAAGCGTCGGCGGACAAGGAACGACTGAGGCTGGCGACTGGGGCAACACAGGCGGAACCTGGGCAACCGCAACCGGCGGATGGGGCGCCGCATCTGGCGCCGACAATAGCGGCTGGGGCACTTCCCGCGAAGAACGAAGGGGGGGAGAGGACGAAGCCGTGAAGACCGAAGCAGCACCTGCAGTCGTTCCTCTCGGTCGTCCCCCGCGCCGCATTCCCCTCGCACCACCTCCTGCAGACATTCCCCCGCATCGCGACCCGTGGGACACCATTACCTGGGGCAACGAGCCGTCAACCCCGCGTCGCACTATCTACGGACCTGCCCCTGAACCACGCCAACCTACCCTGTTCCCTGGAACCATCCCTGGAACCAACATCCCGCTCTCTGAAATTCGCGACAGAGAGTTCTTGGCGTTGATGCTGACCACCGCGGCAGAAGAAGAAGCAGAAGAAGTAGCAGCAGAACCTGCTCCTGTACCTGACGAAGACCCCGAGGAAGCGCGCGCGCGCTATATGCGCACCTCCGGCTTTCGCGCTGATGATGCACTCTGGCACCAGCGCCTCGGACACCCTTCCCGCGCGACGCTCAAAAACTGCATCGACGCTGGCGTCTTCGCTCCTGGCGCACTCCTGCGCCCTGATGGCTCCGAAGTGAGTGGCGCGACACATCCGCGCAACTGCACCATCTGCCCCGAAGCTGCGCTGAGCCACCAACCGTTCCCGCTACTCGAACCTGGAACCAACCGATACCCCAAGCTGCACAAAGTGTACAGCGATTTCCTGAACGTGGGGCATTGCGGAATCGAAGACGAACTCTACACGCTTACCTTCATCGACGCAGGAACACGCTATGTATGGGTCGTGAACGTGGAGACGCGCGACAGAGCCTACGAGGTGTTCCGCCTCTGGCTAGCACATGCGGAGCGGCAATCTGGAAAGAAGCTCAAGATTTGGCAGTCCGACGGCGCAGCAGAATTCAGGAGCAACCAGATGCAGACATTCCTGACGCAAAAGGGGATCGAGCATCACATCTCCCTCCCCTACGCACACCAGCAACAGGGCGTAGCTGAGCGGACGAACCGCACGCTGATGACGAAGGTGCGCGCGCTGATGAAGCAGTCAAAGCTGCCGCCGATCTACTGGACTTACGCGATGCACCACGCCGTGCGGGTGCACAACCTGCTTTCGACCACCGCAATTACCGGCAACCTGTCCCCGCACGTCAAGTGGACTGGGACAAAGGGGGACACATCGATGCTGCGCGTCTGGGGGTGCATGGTGCAGTACCGACCGCCGACATCAACCATCGGCAAATTCACCAGTCGCGCGCGCTGGGGAATTCACCTCGGCATTAGCCACGAGCACAAGGCGTGGATCGTGCTGGACCTTCTGAGTCAGAAGACCGCCCATGCCCGCGACGTAATCTTCTACGAGCGTCTCTTCCTCGACCAATTCCGCGATGACGAACAGAGAAACGCAGATCGCGTCTACGCGAACAACGGACACAGCTACGCAACGCCCGAAGACGAAGCCGCTGCAGCACTCCTGGAGCAAGACACCAGGGCCGAGTTCGCATGGGAGGATCGGCACAGCAGCGACGACGACGACGATGATTCCTCAGGAGGAGGAATGGGCGGAACGGGCGGAAGCGGCGGAGGCACAACACCATCAGCACCACCTGAACCTGAGAGCGACGACGATGACGTGCAGGAAGTCATCCCGCAGCGTCGCCACGACAGCACCGTCTCAGGACTACAACTGCTCGGACTTCACACAGCAACCTCGAAAGCGCCGCGCGTCATCGAGCCCCGAAACCCGCGCGAAGCCCTCTCTGGACCACACAGCAAAGAATGGCGTGAGGCAATGGATGCGGAAATCAAGGCACTAGAGTCACGCGACACCTGGGTGCTCGTCGACCGCGCAGCAATCAAAGGTGCAAGAATCCTTTCAGGGAAGTGGGTCTTTCGCGTGAAGACCGCAGCTGACGGAACGATTGAGCGCTTCAAGGCACGATGGGTGGTTCGCGGCTATGACCAGAGGCATGGGATCGATTTCGACCAGACATTCGCCCCCGTCAGTCGCCACACCTCCGTCCGCATCTTACTCGCTATCGCAGCTGCAAGGCACCTGCCACTCCGCCAGATCGATGTCAAAAACGCGTTCCTATACGCGTTAGTGGACGCTGTGATTTACGTGGAGCAGCCACACACCTATGGCGAAAGTGACTCGCGGGTATGCCAGCTGCGCAAGTCACTGTACGGCATCAAGCAGGCTCCAAGACTGTGGCAGCAGTACTTGCACAACATCTTGCTTGAAATCGGGTTCAAGCAGATGCCCCACGACCTAGGGATGTACCGCCGCGACTTCCGCGGGGAATACATTCTCCTCACGGTGTACGTCGACGACCTGCTTTACACAGGCTCGAGCAACGAGCTTCTCGAGCAGTTCGAGAAGGCCTTGGCAGGGCGCGTCGACATCACGTGCAACTACGAGGTGAAGCAGTTCCTAGGCCTCAACATCTCCTACACGCTTGAAGCCATTCATCTGTCAACAGCTAAGTACGCAGAGGAGTTAGGGAAGCGGTTCAAGATTTCACCCGCACCTCTCTCGACTCCCTATCGAACCCCCGGACCGAACCACAAACCTGACAACAAAGCCCTGTCCCCTGCTGGAATTCAGACTTACCAGCAGCAGCTGGGATGCCTTCTCTTCGCCTCTGTCACCTGCAGGCCAGACCTCTCCTACATCGCAAGTCAGCTCGCCCAGCACTCATAGAAACCAACGGCTGAAAATCACCTGGACCTGCAGCGCGCTTTGCAATTTTTCGTTTCAACGCCCAAGATCGGGCTGTGCTACTCAACTGCACCAACTCCATCTTTCAACCTCATCGGCTACGTGGACGCCGATCACGCAGCAGACCCCGACAATCGACGGTCCAGGACCGGCTTCCTGTTCCGACTCGAACCAACGGGGCCAATCTCCTGGAACTCACAGAAACAGGAGCTGGTTGCCCTGTCGTCAGCCGAAGCAGAATTCATCGCAGCAACCGCAGCAGTTCGCGAAGGCCTCTACCTACAGGAACTCCTGCAGGAGGCGAAAATTCCAACTTCGCCAACCTTTCGACTTCACTGCGACAACCAGAGCGCGATTCGCATCGCGAACAAACCCGGTTTCGTCAATCGCACCAAGCACATTGCGCTGCGATATTTCTTCGTGAAGGACGAAGTGGACAAAGGCAAGGTCAACTTGACCTATTGCCCGACCGGTGACATGGCAGCAGACTTCCTGACGAAGCGACTGCCACGCCAGCAGTATCAGCACTGCTCCGAACTCAGCGGCGTGGTCAAACAGGTCAAATCGAGCTACGGCCAGGAGTGAAGGGGGGTGTTACGAATAGTAACATGTAATTGTTACTGAGCACTCCTCACCGCAGCAAAGAGAAGTACGCAGTATCGAAGCAAGAAAGCGAACCGTCAGACAGTTGGAGTTTGACTCGAAGTGTCAGACAGTTGGGACGCATCTGGACCGTCGGAAGCAGACGGCATCGGACAGCTGCAGGCAGGATGTTCTTGGCGGGAACAGTTACGAAACTGTACGCGCCGCACGGTTGAATGTATTTGAATAAGGGAATGTACCCCTTTAGAGTACATGACTAGCTAGGTCGTTTCGTCTTCCCTGTACTCATATTTATACTCGCTGTATTTGCATGCTTAATTATCTCAAGCATTTACATTCACTCTGCTATTGAGATCACGGGCCCACCAACCAACCTTTTCCTGTCTGCGAACCTTCCCGAGTAGATCCTGGTTAGCGATCATTCTCTGATCGTAGCAATTTCCTTAGCCTTTTATGTAAAATATGGAAGCATGCAGCAGACGATAAATTAGGGGCCAGGCCAGCTACGGTACTGGTTTTGCACCCTGGCAATTGTAATTTTGAAGCAACTAAAGTAGTGTAGGAGCCATGGTAAGGTAAGGCTTGCAAGAGTAGCGTGAAAGGTTTACGAGAGGGAAGGGGGTTCACCATGAAAACATAGTACACTATATAGTGCAAGGGAAGGTGGCAAAGGGGGGTATACCACCAAAAATAGAGATCTAAATGTGATATTATACTAGCTGTAGTGTATGCACATATATATTTATTTACATATATATATGAACTGCAACTCTAACAAGGGTGGTCTTTGTTTTGTATGACTATTTGTTATGTAAGCATGCATGCTTCCACATTTTTTTGTTACCCTGAGAATTTGTCATAGCCTCTGAATAAGAGGGTGGTATTCAATTTGTATCATTAGTTTTCTCGTTTACACTAAAAGCATGCAAACATCCACAGGTAACTGAAATTATTCAGTAATGTTCCTCACAGTCGCTCGACTGATGCCCCTCGTACTTCAAATTAACGCTATTGCAGAACATCCTTTACCGGAGTCATTGAATTTCAGGTTCGACAGGAGGGGCATGTTCAGGTGTTTTGCCTGGTTGTAAATTTCCAGCTTTCAGGCAAAAGTATGGCAGGCGCTGGGCGCTGGCATTGCAAGCAATGAGGATCCGATTTGCCAGCCCCAATTCGCAATGGGGTGTCAGAATCAAGGAGGGAGGCACATTTGTGGCTCTCGTTCAAAGCACCTGGGTCCTCCTGTGACCTGGGCACGAGGTCACCATGAGCTGGCTTTGATTTCTCCAGAAAAAGAACGGCCCAGCGTCCCGCAATCGTAATTGGGGGCAAAATGAACCAGCGACGACATGGTTACTGTTGATCAGTCTCGGCAGGCTACAGTGTAAACAAGATTGTCGACCACGAGGCCAACAAGGCGAATCAGGCGCGTATGATTTGATGCAGCACGTGACAGCAATTCGTAGACAGACTGATATGATGTCAGCGTCAGTTCATGCTGGACACCGAACTGGCTCGCCAAACCACCCAACCTGCGAAGATTACGTCCAAGCGAAAGCAGAGTCGTAACCAGACGCGTTCGCAACAAGCCCACTAGGGAGCCCCTGCGGGACTGCTGGGGAGACTTGCGGGAAATTTTGGGGGTTTTCGTTCGCTTTCGCAGGCAGCGGCAGGCCTGGCAGGCGAAACTCGAGGGGGCAAGGGGCCGTGCTTGGAGCATCAATGCTTGCCGCCAAGGCCCAGAGGCATCCAGCACGGCGAACGAGACCCCCACCCGCATTCTCCAGCGAGGGACATCCAGGGACATCCTTTTATGGCTTGCTTTGTGAGGACTCACTCGCTTCCTATAAATTGCGGGCCTTCCAGCTTCAATTTCGTACCTCCACCAATACTCAAGCCGCGCAATCTAGCATACACAATTGTCCTTCGAGACCTCCCACGATCACAATCGCTCTGATCAATCACCTACACACAAAACTCGCAGCTCCCGACGATGGCACTCGCAGATATTGACCAGTCGCCTTTCGAGCACCTGTTCGACCTAGACATGCCCGCGTGCGCCGACGCTAGCGACATTGACGCGGCAGTCGACTCGTTTCTCAATCTCCCCGATCCAGCCTTCTCCTGGCCCCCCTGCGACGACAAAGCCGCGGCCTCCAATCCCGAGGCTCCAGTAGCCGCGAAGTCTCGTGGTAAGCCCGCCGGGAAGAGCGGCGGGAAGAGCGGGAAGGCGAAGGCGAGAAAGGCGGCGCAGCGCGCGACTCAAAAGCAGCTGCTCGCGGCAATCATGGAGGCCCTCGCCGAATCAGACGACACCGACGAGCCGTCCTCGCCTGAATCTGAATCCCTTGCCCCCTCGCCCGCAAAGCGCGCCAAGCAGGCTCCCGGCGATGTCGCAGCATCCCGCCGGCTGCCGCAATTGGACAGTCTGAGCAACAGCAGCCCAGCAAGCAGTGGTAACCCGTCGTCCGCGCTTCTCGATTCGTTTCTCGGTCAGCTGCCGCAGGTCGACATGCACCTCGACGCGATTATCGCCTCACTTGACGGGCCGGCAGCCGACGCGGCGCAGCCGGCGGCGGGTCAGACGGGGAGCAGCAGCGCAGCCGTGGGGCAGGTGCGGGCCGCAGGTAACAACTGCGACGCGGAGAGGGTTCTTATGCGCAGCAGCAGCACCAGTAGTGTGGACAGCTCCGCCGCGGAAGCCGCCGCCGCCGCCGCCGCCGCCGCCGCTGGCAGCAGGTTCGCGGAAGCGGAAGGCCGCGGAGAGCGAGGTGGTGTCTTCCGCAGCGCCCGTTGCCCCTACCGCAGCCGTGGACGGAAGTGAGGCGGAGGTTTCCCGCCAGTTGCGCCGCGCGCTTGGCGCGGCCATCCTCCGCAGTGAACCGTGCCCCGCGCCCGCTGCTTTTGCCGCTCCCGCGCCTCCTGCGGCTGCGCTGCCAGTGCTTAGCCATGCCGCCCAGGTCGGCAGGACCCTCGCCCATCACGGTCCGCTGCAGATGCCCATTCGCCTGCCCACCGCCAATGGCGCGGCTCCCTCTGCGCCTTCCGCTGCGCATGCGCCACTAGCTATGTCCGCGCGTGAAGCAGCAGCGTGCATGCAGAATGACAATTCAGATGATGACATGGCGGGTTTTGGCGGAAGTCCCGCATGCGGGGGCGCCAATGGAGCGGCAGATGACGTGGACGACTGGATGCCTCGCAGCCGCGGGCGCAAGGACCGGCAGGTGGCGGGCGGGCGCATCAAGGCGCGGAGCATGGCGGAGAGGCAGAGGCGGGAGAGGATCAGCGAGGGGCTGCAGAAGCTGCGGATGGTGGTGCGCGGGCATGGGGACACAGCCACCATGCTTGACAATGCTGTTGCTTACGTGGACGCATTGCAGCGGAGAGTGAGCGCGTTGGAGACCACTCTGCTGCTGCACAAGGCGTCGTGCAAACACCCTGGGCAGACCGATTGCGCCTTGGCCTCACCTGGCGAATCAGCTGAGCTGTTGTAAGCACACTTTCATATGGATTTCGGATAGGATTTACACATAATGTTAGGTGACTAACGAATAAAGCTGGATACGTTTCCGTGTGTCATAGTGTGGTTGTATTTTGAATGTATATATGTACCATCTTAAAAAAAAAACATTATTCTTTCTGAACTGACTTGCAAACGTGGGTTCTGGCATGGTGCAATCATTCGACATGAGTCTGTCAAAGCGGTTCTTACGTCTACAATCCATCGAATACCTAAGCTTTCTCGTCGGAGCCGAAGGTCCTATGATGGACGGGTGTGGGGAACGTTATAAACCGGAGTCCCAAACAGGCCTCAACTGCCTCAACCTTCCTAACTTCGGTTGGGTGTGACCCAGTTGGAAGTGACCCACTTCGCAATTTGTCGGGACAAATTTCGTCACACGAATTTACTGTACTAGCGAGAGCGAGAGCAGTGACGATTTCGCACAAAGATTTGAAGCCCGTCCGAAACTGTTACGAAATATTTCGTACGTTGCATTCAAGATCTAGTTACACACGCGAGGTACTCGAGCTCTGCGATCCGCGTCCACAAATCTCGACACCACCCTGGTTCGCCCGCCACTCACATCCCTTGCCCCAAGCAACCTTCCTAACTTCGAAACTCTTGGAACCCCGGTTTTAAGACAGCTTTTCGTGTAACCTGCACACGGACGGAAGTAGTTAAATCTGAATAGGTTGCTAACACGAGAACTGGAACACACCTCCGCGCCAGATCCGAGTCTCCTAAACGTTGGTGGAACCTGCACTCACCGACATGGTTGCTAGGTCGAACCCTTTCAGAACCCAATGAGCGAGAGGTGTTTCATCTGTCATACCCTTCTGCTGGGAGGGTTGCGAATCCGATGCACCAAGATGGTTCGCACCAAAATGGTTCGCGAAAAATGAGGCGGAGAGAAGCTGTGCGTCGTCAACAAATCGCCGAAAGCTCCCCGTAACTCTTGATTCGCCTGGCCTCTTTTCCGCGTGCCCCCCGTTGTGCCCCCCCTGTCTTTGATGCGCAGAACCTGAGGATAAGGCTAAGTGTACAGTATTGCCATACTCCAGGTGACAGGTGATGGGCCATGTCGCTCATCAGGTCGATATTCTGTTGTGATAGGCTTCAGCATCACGGGCTGGAAGCGAATAGACTAGCAAATCACAATACATACTTTCTTAGCATTTGACGTTTATCATTTACGTATAGCAATAGCATCTTGCTGTGCCGCAATTGGCCACAGTTTTCTGGTCACCTTTTCTTCACTTTTACTGCGTAAGCTGCCCAGTTTCCAGTATTAGGAACTGTATCACTTGTGGAGTGTGCTGCAGTGAGTGTCTCGCACTCCCTGCTTGCCTATTGCCCCGTCATCCAACCTCCTGCCCTCCTTGCTTCAGCGAAAAGCCAATCTTGGTCGCAGCATCCATCGCGGCCAACCACACACTGCCACGCATACATCAGATCCATTCTTGCTGCGAAAGTACATCTGGAGTGTGGGATGCGCGACCGACCTTCCCTCCTGAGTCCCGACCTGAAGCAACGCAACCCTGCAATGCAATCCAAACCATGAACTGGAAATGGGGACGCATTTATGCAAGAAGTTTATTCAGCCCCTCAGGTCCCACCACCCAGCACAAAATCTCTCCTCTCTGTGCTGCCTGGAAACAAATGCGCGTCGCGCCCAGCTGTGTTTACCGTTCCGCCAATCGTTATGGCATCAGCAGCGCATCTCATACCCGACGACACTGACGAATACGTCCGCGCTCCACACGTCGCAAATGCTGCATTGCCGTTCGCCGCGAAGCTCGACAGCGAGGATGGCGCCGTCGACGACGGCGACATTCACGCCGCAATCAGCTCGTTTCTCGCTCTTCCCAACAGCTTCTGGGACTCATCGATCCCGCCTTTTCTGGCGGTAGAACCTTTGCCAACCAATGCATGCGCGGAGGCCGCGGGAGACGCGGTCAGAGGAGCGGCGGACGAAAGCGGAGGCGAGCGGCGCGACGATGCGGCTGTCAAAGGTCGAACGAATGATAGCGTGGTTTGCATTGGCAACGCGAAAGATGCGAACGCGGCGACGGTGACGCAAATTTCGGACAATATAAAGCGAGAGGCCGCGGAGCTGCTGCGACGGAACAACGCCGACTCCTCGTCGCTCAAGCGTCGCGCGCCGGAGCGCCCTCCGCCGTGCGGCAGCAGCAACGTGAAGAAGCAGAAACTGCAGCAGCAGCAGCGGCGCAAGGCGCAGCAGAACGCCAAGATCCTGTCGGCACTGCTGACGGCGCTCGCGTCACTCGACCAGTGCTCCTCCGAGGTCTCCGCGGACGACGAATCCGCGCCCAACACGCCGTCCCCCAAAAGGCGGAAGGCGGCGTGCGGAAAGACCCCCTTGGCGGCGACCGCGAACGCGCACGGCGGGAGCGTCAATGCGGCAGAGGCTCCTGAGGGGACAGAGGCGCCGCCGTCGACTGAGGCTCCGAGGGTGGTTGCGGCGACGCGGAATAGCACTGGCAGTGCGAGCCAGGCCAGCGCGGCGGCACACGGGAAGATGTCTGCGCTGGGGGGACGCGGAGCGAGGATCAAGTCGGCATCGCTGCCGGGACTCACCCAGCAAGGAGAGAAACGAGCTCTGGCCCAAGGTTTTGCGCAAGGAACGACGCGCGTGGAGGAAGAACACGACGCGTGGAGCGCCAAGGACGAGGTCCCGAATGCCCCAGGGAAGCCACAACGAGGTGGCACGGGCAGGAGCCTTCTGGACGCATTTCTTGCGGACCTGCCCGACATTGACGGGCATCTGGACACTGTTATGTCCTCACTATGCTCTGAATCTGTTGCGACTGCATGCACAGGAGGAGTGTCGAAGGACAATGCTGCTTGCGCAGGTGTGGACGGAGCTTTGGTGGATGCATTTCCGCAGCCGTCGTCCCACCTCTCTCCGCCCCTGACTCCTGTGCTCAGCCACGCTCCAGGGTTTGGGCATGTTCACGAGAAGCCTCCGCCTGTTGATGAGGTGCGCAATAACGAGGATGAAGGCGATGATGAGGACGACAGGCTCAGCACCAGCAGTATTGACAGCGAGGATGCAGCGGCTGCTGCTGCGGCGGCGACAGCTCTGGCCATGCGGACACGAACGAGAGAGGCAGAGGAGAATCATGCGCCTGAACCGACAGCAGGTGCTCTGTATCCGGACAATGTGGCTCAGATGAAGCACGGGGCAGGGCTGCGACCTCCTCCTCTGACGCTCCCTAGTACTCTAGAACCTGTTGGTTATGGTTCCCCGACATCTCTCGGCAGTCCGTTTAACCAAATAAAAGCGAGCACACCTGGCAACAGAGACTCGCCATATGCCATGCCTCTTGGAATTGGGACACCATTCCTCTCTCCGAGGTATGGTGCTGTGGGGGGGAGTGACATGGACGACTGGATGCCTCGCAGCCGCGGGCGCAAGGACCGGCAGGTGGCGGGCGGGCGCATCAAGGCGCGGAGCATGGCGGAGAGGCAGAGGCGGGAGAGGATCAGCGAGGGGCTGCAGAAGCTGCGGATGGTGGTGCGCGGGCATGGGGACACGGCCACCATGCTTGATAATGCTGTCGCGTACGTGCAAGCACTGCAGGAGCGAGTGACAACGCTCGAAACAAACATGCTGCTGCACCAGGCATCGTGCAAGATGAAGGAAGATGGATTTGGCGTTGCCAATGATCGAGAGGGATAGAACATGGAATAAAGTTGATCTCTGAGGGCTTTGGGAATAAGAGATGCAAATAAATGCTGTTTTTTTTTGTAACTTACATATATAGCTGCACGGTCTAATTGAGTGCAGAGGTTTGGGAACTTGAATACTTATCCAACTCTTATCAATTGGATAGCGCTATCTGTAGCGTTTGTTTCGACCCTCGAGATCTGTGATCAACTTCGTTCTTGCCCTGTGCCCGAGTTCCATGCTCTTCATTATGATCCTTTCATGATCCATTTATGAGCCTAGAGTGAACTCAGTCTAGAGTAAATGCCTATTACTGTACCAAGAATGTCAAGTTCGTTAGACTTTTCGTGTCAGGCTCCCTGATCACCCCAGAGCCCAGAATTGAGAGTTAATTCAATGTCAGCTCATCCCACAGTTTCCAACATCGCTCGTCCACCTGCGGCTTTTACTGCTGTTCCCAATGCCTCCGCCCGTCTCCCATCCGCTGCGGCTCCGCCATGCACTGCGCCTCCGCCATCCGCCGCGACTCCGCCACCCGCTGCGACTCCGCCACCCGCCACGACTCCGCCACCCGCCGCGACTCCGCCACCGGCCGCGACTCCGCCACCAGCCGGGAATCCACCGTCCAAGGCGACTCCCCCGGGAGCCACCGTGATCGATCTCACTCGCACGTCGTCGTCGCGTCTCGTCGCACGCGTGTCGCATCTGCACACGCTGCTGCGACGAGCTGTCGCATGGCAGTCGCAGCAGCAGCAGGCTCTGCTTCGGAAGCAAATCCAGCAGGATCCGACGGCAGCGGCAGATGCGACAGCAGCAGCAGCTGCTGCGGTGACGGCGCTATGGAAAACGCCAGGAGGTCGAGAGGCGTCAAGCACTCTGAGCAAGACGCTGCTTGACGTGTCCAGGTGAATATGGCGTGTAGGTAGGCCTCACTCGGTTAGGCGACAGATACAGGGATGCCTACTCTCCCACCCATCCTTTCGATATTCTCCTCTCATTTGTTCATACCATCTGCACCCCCCCAAGGACCTTGGACGTGGCACTGGCAACGGAGCAGCGACCGGAAGGCAAGGAGGGCGAGCTGATCAAAGCAGTGAAGATGGTGAGTCGGTGCTTTTGCACTCGCTGCCATGCACTGTGACTGTACTGGCGCCGTGCACTGTACTGGCGCCGTGGATGCTAAGCTGAGCAACATTGTCATACATACCTTCAGATGCACTGTCATACCTATGAATGAACACCACACCACACTGCAACCACTCCGTGAATGTCACTAACTGTCACAATTGCCATCATGATGGCTCATCAGCATCGCTCCCTGCCCTTCCTCCACTCCACTGCATGCCTGTCTCCTCAACAAAGTTCCATCTCTTCTGAGCGATTTTTGAGAATTCTCAAGTACCGGTACCGCTCCCTGCCCTTCCTCCACTCCACTGCAGGCCTGTCTCCTCAACAGCGTCCCATCTCTTCGCCCTGCTGTCACCGTCCTGCTCCTATCTGTCAAGGTATCCCCTCCTGCCCCCCCGTCTCTCTGCCAAGGTAGCCTTTCCCCTCTCCTCAACTCTGTCTCCTCAACTCTGTCTCCGCCCTTTTGCCCCGCTGTCACCATCCTGCTGCTCTCTGTCAAGGTAAGGTAACCCTTTCTGTCCTTCCTGTCCCTCCTGTCTCTCTGTCAAGGTAAGGTAACCCTTTCTGTCCTTCCTGTCCCTCCTGTCTCTCTGTCAAGGTAGATTTCCCTGTTCCCTCCACACTGCCCCATCTCTTCACCCCGCTGTCACCGTCTTGCTGCTCTCTGTCAACGTAACCCCCCTCTGCCTTCTGTTTCTCTGTCAATGTAAACTTTCCACCCATCATCATCATCATCATCATCATCATCATCATCATCATCATCATCATCATCATCATCATCATCATCATCATCATCATCATCATCATCATCATCATCATCATCATCATCATCATCATCATCATCATCCTCCTCCTTCTTCCATGCTCCCCCCCACCCCACTGGCTTGTCTATCCATCCACGAACGTGCCTTTGTATCGATTCAGGTAGGGTACAAACATGCAGTAAAATCTGGTTGGTTTAAAGAATTCTCAAAAGCGCTCCCCCCCCACCTCCCCCCCCCTCCCCCCCCCTCCCCCCCCCCCACCGCCTTATCTCTCCTCTCTCTCTGCCATCCCCTCTCCATCTGTGCCAGGCAGCAGTAGCGGCTGGGTGGTTTGAGAATTCTGAAAAGCGCTTTCCTCCCCCACCGCCCAATCTCTCCTCTCTCTCTACCATCCCCGCTCCATCTGTGCCAGGCAGCAGTAGCGGCTGAGTGGTTCTCAGAAGACCAGCAAGCAAGCATTCGTGGTTTCTCTGATATTGTAAGTTTTATAAGCCTCCCCCATCCATCGTATACGCCAGTAACTACGGCAACACACAGCGTATTTATACTCGCTATAGCCTACAAGCTCTAGAAGCTATTTGTGCACGTCCCATACCCTAACCTGCAGGCATTGGGAGGGGGATTTTATCTCCTTCTTTGGCACAAAAAAAGATTGTCTCACACTCCCATTCGTCCCTCTGCAGGCTCTGAAGCCTTTTTCCTCCTCTCTCGCCGCTCGCCCCGCCTCTCTCTCCGATTGGCTGGACGAATCTCCAGGTCTGCCCCATGCTGACGTGGCAGCCGAGGAGCAGAGGGCGCTTGGCAGGGAGGTAGATCCGGGGGAGGTGATGCATGACGTGGCAGGGTGGGCGGAGGAGGGCTCGAGGGAGGATGGAGAGAGAGGGGGAAGGGGAAGACAAAGGGAGGCGCCAGGGAATGTACAGGAGAGAGAACGGGGTGGTGGGGGCAGGGGACTTGAGGGGATAGGAAGAGAAGGAGAAGGTAGAGCAGGGGGGGATTTTGGTGCGGCGGAGGGTGTTGGTGGTGGGAGGGAGAGTGGGAAGGGGAGTGCAAGCACGGGTGGTGCCCTGCCGCTCTCCACCCATCTTCTGCTGGAGCTCGTTGTCAAGCGGTGCGTGTGCTGTTCCTTTATGTAACGGGCATATAAGGGGCATGTAACAAACATTAGTGGGAAGGGGAGTGCAAGCACAGGTGGTGCCCTGCCGCTCTCCACTGACCTTCTGCTCGAGCTCGTGGTCAAGTGGTGCGTACACTGAGCTTGTAGGTGCGTACACTGAGCTGGTAATATACCACCCTACTTACCTGGTAGTACCTGCCCTTCCTAGTAGCTCCGTACTACCCATACCTGTACTACCCGTACCTGTACTGCCCGTACCTGCACTGCCCGTACCTGTACTACCCGTACCTGTACTACCCGTACCTGCACTGCCCGTACCTGTACTACCCGTACCTGTACTACCCATGCCTGCATGGTACTTCCATCTAGTACCTGCAAGGCATGTGACTGTGTGTCTCCCTCGGTTTGTTTGGGAATGAAACCGGCCCTTTTATATTCTTATAGGTGCCCATGTGTGATACATGTGTGTGTGTGTGGGTGGGTGGGTGTGTGTGTGTGCGTGTGTGAGTGTGAGTGTGTGTGTGTGTGTGTGTGTGTGTGTGCATGTGTGTGTGTGCGTGCATGCGCGTTTGTCTGTTGTGTGTGTGTGCATGAGTGTGCGTATGCGTCGCGAGTGCGTGCATGTATGTGTGTGAGTGTGTTTGTATGCTATGTGTGTGCATGCATGTGAGCGCCTGTAGATTCCTCCCTACAATGAAGCTAGTTGAAGTCTGCACAGCACTCACCGTACAGGTGAGTGCCTCTGCCCACCTTAGAGAATATCTTTTCAGCATCTTCACTTTCACCCCTTCTTTCTTTTCTTTCCCCCCTTCCCCCCTCCTATCCCCATTTACCCCACCTTAACCACCCAACATATGCCTGCCTGCCCCTTTCTCCACTTCCTCATTCATATCACCCCCTCTCCCCCCCCCGCAACAACCCCGCCCATGCTCTCACTCCCACCTTCCACTTCGCCCACCTTCCTCTTCGCCCACCTTCCTCTTCGCCCCTATCTCCTCCCCTCCATTTTGAGAATTCTCAAATGCATGCCAATCTATCTCCTCCTTAACTGAGACGATTTTTGAGGCGCCTCAAAACCCCCCTGAATCCCAAATGCACGCCAATCTATCTCCTCCCCTCCATTTTGAGAATTCTCAAATGCATGCCAATCTCCTCCTGAACTGAGACGATTTTTGAGGCGCCTCAAAAACCCCCTGAATCCCAAACGCATGCTGTTCTCCTCCCCTCCATCCCCACCCTCCATGATCCCCCCACGTCAGCCAGGCTTCCATGTTCTCACTCACGACTTCCTCGTCTCGCACCATCCCAAGCCGCAGCAGAAACTGGTCAGATTCAATGAACCTTTCCGCTCCAAGCAATGCACTAGTGAATGATTATCGTGTCTGTCAAGTAACGTGCTCACCCATCCGCCTCCATCCCACAAAGTGACTTTTGAGTCAACTCCAAAGTCACCTTGCAGTAATGCATTAGTGTATCCGCCCATCCGCCTCCATCCCACCGATCTCACCAATGCCACCCGTCCATGCATCCACCCATCCTCCCATGCCACCCACCCCAAACATACCTCCCATCCCTTCCGAATCTCTCCCATCCCTCCCATCCCAACCATCCATGGCACCCGCCCACCCTCCCATCTCCCATCCCACCCGTCCATCAGCGCTTCTTCTCCATCCGAGCAGACTTTGTCAACTCGGCTGCCACCAATTAGCACCCATCGCGCCAGTTTAACCATGCACCCATTCACACACTCACGCTTTCCATAGTGCATTGCATCCTTCAAAAAAAAAAAAAAAACACTCACGCTTTCCATCCCAACCCCCCCTTCACACCCTCCCATCCCGTCAGCGCTTCTTCTCCATTAGAGCAGACTTTGTCAACTCTTCTGCCACCCTCGTCTCGCCGCCTCAAGCCAGGTCAGTGGACCAATTCCACGTGAGCAACCTATGCCATAGGTCCACTGAGCAGCCTATGCCATACCATGTGTATCCATTCCGGCACATGGTTTATTCAACTATTCTGCTGCTGTGCTGTTCCTGCACACAGTCGGTGCCTCATCCTACCTTATCACTCTTGTCCACTCTTGCTGTGTGGTGATGTGATGGATGATGGTGTGATCCATGCACGTATGCACAATGGTGTGACTCCCGTTTACATAATGGGCTTTTCTTACTGGATTTTGGCGTACTGTATGCATGGTTGCATGGGTGATGGTACGGCATGTCATGCATGGTTGCATGGGTGATGGCACGGCATGTTATCACGAGCAGCATCATGTTAAACGCCAAGGAGGTGCCCAACAGAACAGCCATAGACCAGGTAATGTGCAGACAGCCGGAATTGAACCCTCGACCACACCTGCAGCACCACCCAGCAGTTTCTCAAGAGCCACGATTACTTGTGACTTTGTTCTTCTGTACTCACCTGTCATCTTTGCCTTCTTTTCCCCTCTCCGCCATCTCCCCCTCTCCGCCATCTCCCCTTCTCTCACATCCCTATGATCCGGAGGCTTGTTGCTCTGCTGTCTCCTTTCTACCTTGCTGCCTTTCGTTTTCACTGGCACGGACAGGACCGTTCTCCTTTCCGGTCCCACCTACTGCCGTCCCACCTACTCCCATCCGACTACCCCATTTTCACCCTTTTCCATCCCACGCACTCGCATCTTACCAGACCACTCCCATCCCAACTTCTGCTGCCTGACCCACTGCCATCATGACCTACTGCCATCATGACCTACTGCCATCATGACCTACTGCCATCATGACCTACTGCCATCATGACCTACTGCCATCATGACCTACTGCCATCATGACCTACTGCCATCATGACCTACTGCCATCATGACCTACTGCCATCATGACCTACTGCCATCATGACCTACTGCCATCATGACCTACTGCCATCATGACCTACTGCCATCATGACCTACTGCCATCATGACCTACTGCCATCATGACCTACTGCCATCATGACCTACTGCCATCATGACCTACTGCCATCATGACCTACTGCCATCATGACCTACTGCCATCATGACCTACTGCCATCATGACCTACTGCCATCATGACCTACTGCCATCATGACCTACTGCCATCATGACCTACTGCCATCATGACCTACTGCCATCATGACCTACTGCCATCATGACCTACTGCCATCATGACCTACTGCCATCATGACCTACTGCCATCATGACCTACTGCCATCATGACCTACTGCCATCATGACCTACTGCCATCATGACCTACTGCCATCATGACCTACTGCCATCATGACCTACTGCCATCATGACCTACTGCCATCATGACCTACTGCCATCATGACCTACTGCCATCATGACCTACTGCCATCATGACCTACTGCCATCATGACCTACTGCCATCATGACCTACTGCCATCATGACCTACTGCCATCATGACCTACTGCCATCATGACCTACTGCCATCATGACCTACTGCCATCATGACCTACTGCCATCATGACCTACTGCCATCATGACCTACTGCCATCATGACCTACTGCCATCATGACCTACTGCCATCATGACCTACTGCCTGCTCTCTCTGCAACCTTCCTTTGCAGGACCGTTCCCCATTGGTACCATCTGACGTCATCAAGCTTCTGAGGCTCGGGGTGAACATCTTAAACCTCATGGGCCGCCTCTCGGGTAAGCAGGGCTTGTGATGCTTGGTTGCACTGCACTCATGCCCCTTTCGAGCCCTGGTTTTTGCTGAGCAGGATTCTGTATTATTGCTTGCAACAACACGTACATCCCATGCTCGCCATTCTCGCTCATTCCCACTGTTTCCTCCGCTCACTATTCCCCCTCCCTGTCACTCCCTCCCATATCATTCCTTCCCGCCCCCCTCTCTCCTCCTTTCCCACCCAGTGCCCTACATTTTTGTGGTGGCTGTGATGGCACCCGCCCCCCTGCCTCCACCCTCCTTGCTCAAGCCTCACCCATCACAACTGAAACCAAATCCTCCCCGCCCCACTCAACCGCCCCATACCGCTCAATCCACTGCAACCAGCCTCGCACAAGCTGCCACTGCCAGCACCCTTACTACCCTCTCGTCCACAGACCCCTCTGGAGAGATCTCAAACGGTTTGACAGCCGAGCGGCAGGGAAGTGGTGGGAGCGAGCGAGGAGAGCAGCACGGGCAGCAGCAAGGGCAGCAGCAAGGGCAGCAGCAGGAGGAGGAGGAGGAGGAGGAGTTGCTGGAGGGACCAGTTCGAGTGTCACTCTTGTGTCCAATCAGGTAATGCCACGTGTACCATCCGGTAATCGTCAAGTGGTGTGCTGATTGGTACACAGAGGCTCGATATTGGGTAGATCACATGCCAACTTTCATTGCCTAATTCTTCACGTCCCAACCTTTCTCATCCCAACCTCTGTTGCCTTGGATCTACCGCCTCCCCTCGTTGCATCCTGCAGACCTTGGGTAGATCACATGCCACCTGACCTTGCCCAACTTATCCCATCCCAACCACTCCACTCCCATCCCAACCTCTGTTGCCTTGCTTGACCTACCGCCTCCCCTCGTTGCAACCTGCAGACCTTGGGTAGATCACATGCCACCTGACCTTGCCCAACTTATCCCATCCCAACCACTCCACTCCCATCCCAACCTCTGTTGCCTTGCTTGACCTACCGCCTCCCCTCGTTGCAACCTGCAGCTGGTCCCGAATGAAAGTGCCTGTGCGGGATCGAGCGTGCTCCCACCCTCAGGTGAGATTCCTGCCCTGTGCTATCCGCTGGACTTGCAGCTTGCGAGTCGACTCGAAGCTAAGCTCTCTTCCTTGTGGCAATTGTGACACTGATGTAATGTGATCACGCACAGGACATGCACAGGACACGCACAGGACATGCACAGGACACGCACAGGACACGCACAGGACACGCACAGGACACGCACAGGACACGCACAGGACACGCACAGGACACGCACAGGACACGCACAGGACACGCACAGGACACGCACAGGACATGCACAGGACACGCACAGGACACGCACAGGACACGCACAGGACACGCACAGGACACGCACAGGACACGCACAGGACACGCACAGGACACGCACAGGACACGCACAGGACACGCACAGGACACGCACAGGACACGCACAGGACACGCACAGGACACGCACAGGACATGCACAGGACACGCACAGGACATGCACAGGACACGCACAGGACATGCACAGGACACGCACAGGACATGCACAGGACACGCACAGGACACGCACAGGACACGCACAGGACACGCACAGGACACGCACAGGACACGCACAGGACACGCACAGGACACGCACAGGACACGCACAGGACACGCACAGGACACGCACAGGACACGCACAGGACACGCACAGGACACGCACAGGACACGCACAGGACACGCACAGGACATGCACAGGACATGCACAGGACACGCACAGGACACGCACAGGACACGCACAGGACATGCACAGGACACGCACAGGACATGCACAGGACACGCACAGGACATGCACAGGACACGCACAGGACATGCACAGGACACGCACAGGACATGCACAGGACACGCACAGGACATGCACAGGACACGCACAGGACACGCACAGGACACGCACAGGACACGCACAGGACATGTAATGTGCGCAGGGGCTTGTGTAGCATTATTCAATTTGATATTTCATCCCCTCTCCCGGTCCTGTCTCTGTCTCCTGCTTATTCTCCGTCCAGCAGTTGTGAACAATATCGCCTTTTTATGCCTTTTTCCCCCATCCCCTTTATACAGTGCTGCGACTACAGCAGTGTGATGGCAATCAACGAGCGCAAGCCCATGTGGAAGTGCCCCACGTGCGGTGCTGACATCAGCGCCACGTCACTCTGTATCGACAATCGTATGGTGCAGGTAATCCTCTCCTCGCATTTGCATAACACGTGGCATTTTGAGTCGACTCAAAAATCGACTTATCACACATGCAGGTAATCTTCTCCTCGCATAACACGTGGCTTTAAGTGTCAGCACATGTGTGGGCATCAACTCATGCCATGCTATAGAACACCACAGGTAGCACCAACCACTCTAATATGCTCCTCTCCCCACATGGCTCCTGGCAGCTCCCATCACAACCTGCACCCATCACAACCTGCACCCATCACAGCCTCCACGCCCCTCCACAAGCAACCGTTCATGCACTGTCGAATATCTTTCCTCCCTCTCTCTCCCCCCAACCAGGTTCTATCAGAGACAACAGCCAGCACCGATCAAACCGATGTGCTGCTCTTTCCGGATGGTTCCTGGCAGCTTCTACCCCAGGGTGCAGGCTTCTCACCCTCCCCGGCCTCCCCTCCCTCCAAGCGACGCCGGCTCGATGCTGCTGCACCTGCTGCCCTGCTCCTACACACCACTGCTGCTGCTACAGTGGCGTTAGGTGCTGCTATAGCGCCTTCACGTGCTGCCACAGCCCCCTCGCCTGCTGTGATAGTGCCATCAGCCGCTGCAGCAGCACCTTCTGCTACAGTCCCTACGGCTGCCGTAGCCCTTCAAGCTGCTGCTACAGTGTCAATGGCTGCAGCAGCACGAGAAGTGGAGCGAGCACGGGCTGTGGAGGGCCGAGGGGAAGGGGTTATCGACCTGACAGATGCTGCTGATGATGCCCTTGTTGAGGGTGCCTGTGCGGCTGGTGGTGATGTGAAGCCGTGGGCGGGTATGGGTATGGGACAAGGTCAGGCACCTGGTGTGGGAGAGACAGCAGGCAGGGCAGCTCACCGTGTTCCCCCACTCCCACACCAAATGCAGCCTCTTGCGCCTGGACCTGCTGCTGCTGTCATTCATGCTGCCATTGCTGCCTCTCCTGCTTCTGCCTGTGCTGCCTCTCCTGCTCCTCCTCTTATTGCCGCTCCTGCTCTTCCTCCTGCCGCCCCTGCGTCAACCCTTGGCCCTGCACATGGCAACCCAATCGCCCCTTCCCCATCATCTGCTCTACCTGTTCCATGTGTCTCACATGCTCCGCCTCGTGTGAGCATCCCCACTGCCATTCATTCACAACGGATCCCTGCACACCCTTCAGCTGCCACACCCCCTGCTGCTGCCACCGCACTTCCTGCTGTTACCACCCCCCCTGCTGCTGCTGCTGCCGCTGCTGCTGCACCTGCCCAGCCTGCTGCCGCACCAGCTGCCGGGCCTGCATCTGTGCGCTTGCAGCAATCACGCACACATGCACCTTTTGAGTCGACTCAAAACATCCCTGACTCCTCAGCTAACAGGCCTGCATCTTTGCGCGTGCAGCAAGTGCGCACCCATGCACCTTCCCATCAGGCCCGTCCTCCTGTGCCCAGCCATCCCCTGGCCTCTCCTGTTGCTGCCAGTGGTACAGCCTCTCTTGCTACAGCAATTCCTGCTACAGCCGCTCCTGCTTCAGCCACTCATGCCACAACCACTCCTGCTACAGCCAATCCCACTTCAGCCACTTCTGGTGCGCCCACACCTGTTTCAGCCACTCCTGCCACAGCCATTCCTGCTTCTGCCACTCCTGCCACAGCCATTCCTGCTTCTGCCACTCCTGCCACAGCCATTCCTGCTTCTGCCACTCCTGCTTCAGCCACTCCTGGTGCGCCCACACCTGCTGTGGGGCCTATCCAGCCATTGTCACGCCAGCTGTCAGCACGCCATTTGTCGATCAGAGGCAGCGCTGAGCTGGCATCTCTGGGCAGGTCGCTTGCTGCTGTGGCAGCCTCAGCACTGGGGGGTGAGCGAGTAGGGAATGAGGGTTCAGGGGAGTGTGAGAGAGAGGGGAGTAGAATTGGTGATGTGAGTGAGACAGCAGAACAGGAGGGGACACAAGCTAACCTGCAAAGGTCTACAAGGGGTGGTGGTGGTGTACAAGGCTCAGATGTTGGTGAAGTGACACCACAACCAGACTCTGATTTGTTTGATGATCTATTTGGTACTGAACAAGGCTTCTATTTCTGATTCTTTCAGAACTACTGGTTAATATTAGGCGTGTATGTAATGACGGGGAGTGATCTCTTAACGCGTTAGAAGCACTGAGGGCGGGCTTATACGTAGCCAATCACACTTCAGGGTTTTGTCTCGAAGAATCGTTGAGATCCGTTCGTTCCGTGGAGCTGCCACAACAGCATAAACGTTGGATTGCCTCTCGTCGCGTCGCTAGCATGTCATCGGCGTTTGCGGCCACGCCGCTCCCCGCGCCTGCTGACATGGCCTGTGGGGCATTCAACTTTTCCGACCGCGTGTGACTTTCAACCCCGAGTTTGTCACGCAAGCCTGGCACGGATTGTGGTGCACGGCTTTGCAGGGGCAGCGTGGCTCCTCCATTTTCACCTGCCCTAAAGTCTCGCGGTTCGCCACAAGGCAGGAGTTTTTGCTGGTTTCTGACTGGCAGAAGAGCAGGTTCGAGAACCGAGCGAGACACTGCTTTCCCCCAGTTGTCGAAGGCTGCGGAATAGGCATGGCACTCCGCAACTTGCCCGCGCCAGTCCCCTGAGTTCCCTCCCCCTCTCCTCCCCCGCCAGCGTCACGTCAGGTACAGGTCACGTCAAATGCACCCGCCACCACTTTCTCCCCGACCTGGACCAGAACGAAACCAAGGGCTCGCGGTTGCGTTGCGCGCGCCCCCCATTTTCGGCAATATCTACAAGCGAATCGGGACGGATCTCTGGACATGGTTCAACCACTCCGCGTCGCTGGCGGGACAATAATGCTGTTCCGCTGGGATTTCCGCATGCCGCGTCAGCCCCTCCGCCAATTACCGTGCCCAGCCACGACAACCCCCCTCAAGGAACGGAACGGAACAGAAGCCAGTGCAGGAAGGAAGAAGCCCCCGAAAGGGGGAAGGGGGGGAGGGAGGAAAGAGGGAGGGAGCAGGAGCTGTGCCGTGTTTGCGGTGGAAAGGAAAGGATGCAGAAACCCAGGGCGAAGGACGGGACGGGAGAAAGATGTAGGGACGAGAGGATGAGCAATACTAACCTAGATTATTATTGGTAGGGCTGCTCTTGAAATTTTGTCTACCAGTGCACATACGTAATGGCAAGCATTCATGAGCTCTTTAGCAGATAGTCGGATGGTGTTAGAGCTTCAAGGTTCCTGAAATTGTGTAGCTAAGGATCAGTTTCCAGTAGTATTCGCAAATGGCTTCAGTTTCGCCCTCAGAATTGCACCTTGCAGTGCTCTCAGGCGACTTGAAGCAGACACGGAAACTCCTTCGCGATGGATGGGACTCGGCAGGACGCGACGGTTTCGGTCGCACGCCGCTCCAATGGGCCGTGATTCTCGGTCACGAAGACATCACGAAGGCTTTAATTGTCAACACACCGCTACGTTTCCTCCACTCCTCAGACCGCCACGGCCGCAACGTGCTGCACTACGCCGCCGCGCAAGGCCGAGCAGAGCTCCTTCGCGTGCTGATTCAGCGCGGCGGAAACGTCAATTCTCGGGATTGCCTCCAGATGACCCCTCTGCACTTTGCCGCTGCAGCCGTCGATTCAGTTGTAGCGGAGATTTTGCTGGAAAAAGGCGCAGATTCTTCCGCCTTGGACGCGAGTGGATTAACTCCATTGGACTACGCCGTTAGATATGGGAGCTTGGCTTGTGAGGAGTTGCTTCGAAGCACTACAAAGTGTAGTAAGGATTCCGCCGAGGGAGCAGAGGCGAAGAGAACCGCATCTACGGAGTGTAGCGCGCGATACCCCATGGCCACTCTGGACACGAATGTCCCGCTATCCTCGACAACTCGTCCAAGAAAGGCTTCAGAACCACCACACAATCCGACAGACACGGTGTCTTCGTCTTCGTGTCGCTCCGCCTCCTCAATTCCCTCCTACACCCCCTCCACGAATAAAGCCGCGCCGGCAGCATCGGCGTTGGAGTCGCTGCTTGACGCCTGGAAGTCGTCGTGCGAAAGGTCTCGCCTTTGCGAGTCGCAGGCGACTGCTGCGAGTATAGCAGGCGATCTCTCGTCGCCGTCAAGATTAATAAACGTCAGCACGCCAGAGGCCGCCTCTGCATCCGTGCGTGATCTGTGCACGACGGCCGATCCGCGCTCACCTGCCATGGAGTGGACGCCTTGCGGCATTGTCGGCTCGTGTAACGGGTCGTGCAGTCAGCTGACCGGGCCGTGCGGCTTGGCCGGACAGGTGGGCTGGCACGCAGCGGGAAAAGTCAGCCGCGCGGTTTGCTGCTAAGCGCAATTCACGCACCGAATAAGTTATCACGACGCAGTAAAGGGAATAATCGTGGCGACGCATAAGTGGACGGCCAGATTGTTGATATAGTTACTGTACGTCCACTGATAGTACGCCTTGTGGTCGTTGCCAATCGCCTGTTCTTGTTTGAGTTCTGCTGAAGACCTCTACGGCCTTACACTCCTTCGTTACAGTACTGCTGTTGAAACTATACGGCCCTAAGCTGTTCTTTCGTTTTAGCACAGTCATGGGACTGGTATTTTAGTCATGAGCCGTAGCTATGACCTCTGAATGTGGGCACTGGGTATAGAGGCAGCGGGTGAGAATCACCATGATTGAAGCTGTTCTTTGTGTAGAGTATTATTCCTCCCTCTTTTCCTGCACACCTTCCATTCCTCTTGGTTCCTTCTCTCATTATCCAGATTTTGGTGTCCAGCCAGCCAGTAATGTCACATTTTCAATAGCAATGCAAAAGCCATGAATGCTGGTACTAGTCAGAATGTATTGTAGAAGCACAAAATGGACTCATTTAGCATTGACATATGCATTCCAAGTATGCAATGCTCCGTGCATTCCTTGATTCTGCCAATCTACTTACAGGTTTATTTATTTAGCTAAACCATACCCATATTTTTCCTTAGCTCTCCACCGGTCTGGATCCAGTGGTGTTACGTGCTCGCAGGGCTGACGTTTCATATTACTAGCAGGGACAACTTTAGAATACGAGCCCGTCTGAACGTCAGACGAAAAAAATGATGATGTCTGGCTTTTCAGACGAAATACTCTTAAGGGTCTGAAGTTTCAGACGATCTGTTTGTCCCTTCTATAAGGGAAGCGAGATGCCCAATAAGCCAGTGAATGCACTTGAACCTAGACGGCTGTATACTTCATCCAACGGTCCGAATTCCAAATTCTACATCGACGGCTTAGATTGCGCCATCTGTTCACTTCACGTCAGAGGAGAAAAATTCGCTATGTGCACATACAGACGAAATCTTAAAATCGTTTATGAAAAATCAGACGAAAAAAAATTCATATTACTTTCAGATGAAAAAAATCACACTGTCTAGGCCATCAGATGAAAATATAAAAGTAGGTCTGAAACTCAGACAATCAGACAAGAATTTTCTGATAAAGAAGACCCTGATTATTAGGCCTTCCTGATTCGGGGGAAAAAAATTCCCCTCTATTATGAGTGCACATTTTTCAGAATAATTGCTCAAGGTTGAAAAAAAATCAACTCTGATTGTTCAGGGTCGAGAATTGAACGTCAGAGTAGTAATGCGCCCTTTGTTACCGGAGAAAAAAGTCTCGCTCTGCAACAGGCCGTGCTCTTTGTTTCGGGCACACCTTGCGCGCGCTAATTTTCACCAATTTACTTTTTAGAAAAAAAAAAAAAGAGTATTTATCCACACGTTTTAGCTAGGGCTCTTGCTAGTATCTAGGCCCGTTTGAAATAACTAATATAAAAAATCGTTTCGACTGGCGTTCAGACGGGCTATTTTTTTTTTTCGTCTGAATCTTGAGACGGATGTTGAGGGCGTGCCTGAACTTTCAGACGAATTTGTCAGAATATATTTTATACATATTTCCGTACAACTGCATGTAGTTCTAGCTGTAGTGTAGTTATATGCAGGGCCTCAGATTTGTTTTGGCTTAGGCTGGAAAATCAGAATTGGTACAAAACATTTTGCTGAAAATCAGACAAATTAGCCATTTTGTGCAAGTTTACACTACAAAGCTAATAAAATTTCCTGTTTCTCTTCAACAAATTGCTGGAAAATCAGCCTCATTTCTAAAGAAGGTCTGAAATCTCAGCCTTTTTTACCTAAATCAGCCTATATTGGGCATTTCGCTTCCCTTATATCCGCGCCTGCTCGTAAGCCCGCTGCCGCGCCTGCTCGTTGGGCCCGCCGCAGGCCCTCCCTTCGCGCCGCTGCGCCTGCTCGTTAGCCCACCGCCGCGCCTGCTCGTTAGGCCCGTCGCGGGCCCTCCCTTTGCGCCGTCGCGCCTGCTTGTTAGCCCGCCACCGCGCCTGCTCGTTAGGCCCGTCGCGGGCCCTCTCTTTGCGCCCGTCGCGCCTGCTCGTTAGCCCGCCGCCGCGCCTGCTCGTTAGGCCCGTCGCGGGCCCTCTCTTTGCGCCCGTCGCGCCTGCGTTTTGCGCCCGCCGCGGGCCTGCACTCGCCGCCCGCCGTCACTACCCCTACCTGCCCGCCGCGCCTGCCCTTTGAGCCTACCGCACGCTTGCGTTCTTGCGCTTACCACGTCTTCCCTTTGCGCCTGCCATTGCGCCCTACCGGTCTCGTCGCTTCTGCTTTCGCTATGGCGACTCCTAGGGTCCTTCGCTTTGACGCCGAGGGTAGGCCCCTCGAGTTCTCTGTCTGGCTCCAGCGTGCGCAGCGTCTCCTAGAGAGTCAGGTTCAGGCAGATGAGTCCCTGTGGGCGCACACATCCGGTGACCTCCCCGCGCCCCCTGCTCCTGCTACCCTAGGACCTGACGCGACCACTGCGGACAGAGAGCGTGCTGCGCGTCAGCGTGCTGACCTGACTGCCTGGCGATCGAGCGACGCCGCGGCCTGCATCGCCCTCAGCAGCCTCCAACCCGAGTCCGAGGAGACCCATTTTGCACAGGTTCGCACGGCTTAGGAGTTTCTGACTGCGATTAAGGCACGCTATGCTACTCCTTCCACTGTCTCTCTTGGCCCCCTGTTCCTCCCTTTCCCGAACAACAACTTCAACGATGATCGCGTTGGTCGACTTCGCCACAACAACCTGGACGATGATCGCACACTTCCGCAGAACCTCGTCGACCAGGTAACTCGTTGCGTGCTTGTCGACTGCCCAGGTTGACACCAACCGCAGTTGTTAACGAGGTCGATGCCCCGCGCAAACTTCCCACAAAGTTCGCAGGCAGGCTACACCTCTCTCGCATCCGACTGCATGGCGGGGCTAATTACCGACAACATGAGCAGCATGGCGTGCCCATGATGACCCTGTATGAATTTTCGAGCTTCATGAGGCTCGCACACACGCATGTGCGGAGATATACTCTACAACGGTAGTGAGCTAGACTACGGGGTTGGCACGAACTACTAGGAGTGATCGTAGCTTTGCTTGGTTCCTTAGCACTTGCACATTCACGGGAGAAATTGGCAAGAGTTTCCACTAGCAAAGATTGAGAATACAGAAAAAAAATGATTACAACAAGCAATGACAGAATGACTACATCAGGCACCTAGCAACTCTGCAGCTAGCCTGGTCGACCGCCAGCACTGCATGGTCGACCGCCTGCCAGCGTTGCGTAGAGGAGCCGCGCCAGCACTGCAGAAGGGCGACCTGCCAACATTGCAGGTCGACGACGTGCCAACGCTGCAGCAGTGCGGCTGTCCAGCGTTGCTCCGTAGAAGACAGCAGTGCGCACGCTCACAGGTGCGCGCAGACGATTGGCCCGACTTGCTTCGTTGTGCATCCGTCGGCTATTGTCTGCGACTGACGAGCCACATCGACTTCGGGATACCAGCCCGCAGTCGCCTTCGCCATCGCGACCTCGACGACGTTCGCGTGCCTCCGCAGAACTCGTCGAGCAGGTTACCCGGTCGACCTGGACACCACCAGGTGCTTCCGGTCGACCACCACTGCCTCTGGTCGACCACCAGGTGCCTCTGGTCGACCACAACTCCCTCCGAGCGACCCCCTGGTCGACGGACCCCTTCCGTCGACCAGAACTGCTCCGTCGACCTCCCGGTCGAACTGCAGTTCGACGGGATGCTCCGCAGACCTCCCCGTCGAACTGTAGGTCGACGGGATGCTCCGAAGACCACCCCGTCGAGCTGCAGGTCGACGGACCGATCCATCGACCTCCCGGATGGCCCACCCGTCGCCCAGGCCAGTCAGTTGCAGCTGTCGAGCTCCCTGGTCGACAGCAACACCACAGCGGTCCCCTGCAGCTCGACGTCGCTTGTCGAGCAGCTCTCCCACTGTGAACGGTCGGCTGCTACTCCCGTACATCCGACCAAGTCGTCGGCGTTGCCCAAGCGAGGGCGGGGCCAACACTCCATTCCCGTTAACAGCATGCGCCTGGTGGTGGGCCCGGTGGGGTGAGAAAAGCGTGGAGGCCAGCAAAGCAGCGAGCTTGAACCCTCCCATCCCCTCTCTCCCATCCCCCCTCCCCCATACCCTCTTTCCCCTAAGGAGCAGTAGTCGATGTAACCCGAGCCCTTGTAGGCATCATGGTGGGGGTGAGGGTGCTCGAGCTGGACGAAGCCCGCACCCGCCTAGTGGTGTCGGAGAAGCGAACACTAGCAACGCGGGGGCTGCCGCGTGTGCAGCAAGGGCGCGTGTACCCGGGCGTGGTCTCCTCGCTCACTGACGAGGCAAGAGAAAAAGTGAAGGATGCTCAACCCCTTTCTTCCTTCCCTCTTCCCCCCTCCCCATCTTATACTTTTCTTTCGTTGTATCACTTCATTATCACAAGAGCCTTCTCAAGGGCCTTTAGAGCGTGTGTCTTTTTCCGGACCAACGGTCCGGACCACATGGGAATGTTTTCGCCCATGCTCGCATGTACTCCAATACGATGACAAGCTCCGACGGTCCGGACCGTCAGCGGGATACCCTATTGGCATGCCGTCCGGACCACATGGTTCGGGCAAAAGACACACGCCCTTAGCTGTGAGTTGTGAACACTAGGTTTTTTTTTTGCAGTAAGTTGGATGTGAATCACCATCGTTAAAGTTATGTTTTGTTTATTGTGTTGTTCCTCCCTCTCCACACCTTCCATTCCAACTTGTTTCACCCCTCATTACTTGTGCATCACGTTAGTATAAAATACTACCAATAGATTCCTTTACTGTTGTCAAGATGTGTATGAGCAAGCATTGGAATCGACAAATGTTGGAGATGCTAAGGTTGTATACTAATGCAGGCTTTACACTGATGCTAAGTCTTAAAGCTCAAGGCCCAAATTGCGCATGATTAGTAATCTTGCGCAAGGGTTTGGGCTGGTGGTTTGGGAGGTGAACAGAAAGTCGAGAAAGTGGGGTTCGCTTTTTTCGTCAAGCTCTCGCAAAACTTGCTGAGTCAGCAAACTCTGGGCCAAACATTCTGTTTGGGTCCGATAGTCCCAAATTGAGAAATACTGAAACATGAAGTTTGCGCGGTGACTTTGGTCTCGACCAATCAGATTCATTCGTACCTAGTGTAACCCGAAATTCGCCAGCTCACAGCACCCAAACAGCCGCTCAGCAAGATTAGTAATCTTGCCCAGCGCGGCCCGCAATTTGGGCCTTGAGCTTTAAGGCGCCCTGCACGCGCCTGGTTTTGCGTGTAGCAGCCCTATGCGGAGTAGCGAGACTTCGCATACCGCATGCATACTGGTGTTGCGGTATTCGCCGAGTACAATCCAAAAGTGCACTTCGGTATGCACTGTTCAACACTGAACCGAATTGGAGGGAAGTGACGACATTGCACAAACGAGTATGTGCAACTGTCTGTTGCGAGCACCTGCGCAACTACTCCTGGGCAGGTAGAAAATGCACCTGACGGTATTTTCACCTGATGGCATTTTCACCTGGCGGTGCCAACCTGGAACCGCATACTAGAGTAGGTGCTTGCACGTTCTCCTTGAACAACGTTCTTCATGAACAACGTTCTCGTAGAACGTTCTCGCACATGTCACTATGATTTTTATAAGGTTCATGTTGTATCTGTTGTAAGATATCAATTAATCAATACTTTCCTTTCGTTACTGGATACCAAGCCTATTGTTGCATACCAGGCATATTGTTCTCCGAATGCCAATATCCTGTTTCTAGCAAGTCCGTATACGCAAACCTCGCACTTCACTCTCTGATCGTGCAACTCTGCGCCTAGGCTCTCCCACAATCGCCTATTCTCCGCACTAAGAGCGCGTCACGTTTCGATGAACTGGTACAGTTTTCGTTTTGTTCTTGTTCTAGTTTTTGTTTTTGTTTTTGTTTGTTTGTTTGTTTGTTTTTTGTTGTTGTTGGTTTCTTTTTTTTTTTTTTTTCCGTTTTTTCCATATGAGTTACCCGTTTTTGTCAAGTAAGATGGGACTTCCGAAGGATGAGGTCGCGGGGTCAAACCCCAGTGCGGGCGAGTTCTGCGAGCCCCCTAGAACGGGGTTTCGCACTGCTCATCTTGGAGTGGATATATCCTTACCTCAATACCCAGCGAGGCGTGTAAACAAGTGGGTAGGCGGATTACGATCGACAGCCGGGGGTAACCCAAAGGGGGCTCCCCCCCCTCCTGTACCTTTATCTTTACCTTACCAGTAACACATATACAAACAGTGATTTGCGAGAATTGACGCACAACTGTTAAAAAATGTGTACAATTTCGAAATTGACAGCTCAACGTGTGATGCATATAATGCCAGCCATCGGAAATACATCTCGCGGCTCGTGAACCATATCAAGTGGAAGAACAAGCTTTTTCTTAGCCTGTAACCCTGGATTTTTCTTAGCAAACGCCTGTAACCCTGACTAATTCGCCCCGCAAACGTACTGTACTATGTTGAGTGCGTCAGGTCACGTGTAGCAAGGGCTTCGCTAGACATGCTCAATGTATATTACGCTTTCAGGTACTGTCATCTGTGCGGGGAGTCACCCTACAACGGGAGTGGACTACGAAGGAGGGCACGGGGTTGTGTGGGTGATCGTACCATTCTAGTAGAGTTCTTACTACTTGCTATGTTCATGGAAAATTTTGGCAAAAGTTCCACTAAAGGAAATTGAAAGGAACACAGAGAATTCAGAATTAGAGTACAAGATGAGCATGCAAGTCGATATGACTAGAATGTTATTGAAACCCCTAGCAAGCATTTTGCAAGGCAAATTGCCAGCACTGCATCAGAGCGATTCGCCAACGCTGAAACAGGGCGGCCTGCCATCGTATTAGAAGGGCGACGTGCCAGCGCTGCAACAGGGCGGCCTGCCAGCGCAGCACTCGCAGGTGAATATCTGTGCATGTGTGCGCACCTACCAAGTAGGTGCAGGTTGACGGTTTCACCGTCAGGCACATTGGGCAGGTGCCAGGTAGAAAACGTTCCGACGTTTTCTCCAGATGTCTACCGTCGAGCACGTGATTCCGTTCCGCAGGTTGAATTTCGCTAAGAACCATTTAAGCGAATTTCGCATGCCTTCGCGGAGTTCCGCAGTCGCGCGAATTCGGCCGACCAGTTCGCCGAGACGAGACTTGCCGAACAGCACCATTCGATCAGAGAACGCAGCTCCTCGGAAAACAACCCGTCCGTCAGCGATCGCGCGACTCATGAGCAGATCAGAGGACGAGCCCGTCGAACGCCATACCGTCGACCAGAGCTCGTCGATGGGCTGGCGGACCAGAGGACAGTTTTCTCGAAAACCACCCATCGTTTCAAAGGGCACGCTGATCGTCTAAACTTGAGAGCCAATTCGACGACCGCTTTCGTCGAATTCACCATGACGTAGCAGAAAACGCCTCCGCCCAAGCGAGGGCGGGGCTTTCACTTCGATAATCTGAGCTCAACACTAGTATGACCAAACTATGAAAAAATGGCCGTTCATCTAAACGTGACGCGCCCTAAGGTATGTTGCTTGGTTTGATCGATGGCATACCCGCTAGAGGTTATCAGGGCGATTAGTCCAGCTTCCAACATACGGGCAGGAAACTAGAAAGCATATTCCTTGCCAGCAGCTGTTGCACACACCGCAAGCGTGCCAGGAAGACGACAAAAGTGAAGGATTTCAAATCCGATCTTTTTCTTTGGCGCGTGGGAAGTGATCCCATTTGTACCTAGCCGAAACGCTGAAAACCACAAACCATCGCCCTTGACTGACCTTTGAAACAGACACCCTTCTGACATTTCTGTCCTGTCACCCTAGCCAGCCAATAAAGCGCCAACAATTATCTCGAGATAGAGCCAAAGAAGTCCTGAACCCAATCCGTTCGTCCGCCGCACTCTTTCACCAAAAAGCAGATGCCTGCCGTTGTCGTCATCGCCAGAATTTCCGTCAACGTCTCGCCCGGACCCGCCCAGCGGGCACACCCTTCGGCAGGTTCGAGGGAACACGGATTGCTGCAGCTGTTTTGAGATGCTCCGCCCCTGCGGTCGTTCAAAATTCCTGTCTCTCTTCTCTGGGACGACCGCTGCTGCTGCTTCTGCTTCTGCTGCTTCTGCAGCACCTCATGAGAAAAAATCATAAGCTGGATTGAGATAGGAAAAAAGAGCTTATGATTTCTTCACTTGGCCAGAGATTGCTAGACATGTCCTCCTCGTTGAGCTTCTTCCACGCAAAGCTTTCTACATTTACGGCCTCGCAGGAACGTACTGCTGGGATTGAACTTAGCGTGTCGCGTCGCACGTGCTGCAAAGCGTGTGTTGATATACGTAAACAGCGACTCGGCATGCTTCGTCCTCGTGTTCACCTTTCTTCAGGAATCTCGCGTCAGCTTGTTGTTCGTTCGTAACCTTTTCCAATTATGACCATGTGCTCTGACTCGCTCGATTGTCTCCTTAGCTTCGGTTCAGACATGTTCTCTTCGCCAACCGAGCAATTTTCCCCGCTCGTCGCCTCTCTTCTTGACGAAGTAATAATCGCGGTGCTTCTTACCGCGGATGGCGGATTCCGCGTGGCGCTGTGCAGCTCCGCGTTAGTGCATTTCTTAGGTCTTAACTCATCCGAGGACGTATTAAGGAGGCCAATCACGGAGCTTGTTCACGCGGATGACGCGGAGGCACTCGAGGTAGGTCTATTTGGCCTCCTGCTATCTGTAAGTGCGCTAGTAGTTTGCGTCGGAAAGAGCTGTGTCCGTCCCCCCCCCCTTTTTTTTTTTTTTGGTTAAATTTCCGTTACGTTTCCAGTGCAACAAAATCGTGTATTTTCTCCCCTCGCTCCCCGCTCTCCGCATCGTACGAAATCCCGTCGCTGCAGGCGCTCCTTGCTAATTACGTCAGCTCCAAACCCCAAGGGCCCTGCGACAAACGACTGGACGTGCGACTGTTGCCAAGCGTTGACGAAAGCGACGCGTCAAGCCGGCGACGAATCTCGGGAACCGCTGACGGCTGCAGATGGTTCGAAGTCGCAGTATCCCTCGCTAACCCTTTAACTAGCCTAGATTCTAACCGTCAAACCATAGACAACAGACACGTGTCGCACGATCGACGCTGTATAGAGCACTGTCAGGATGGACGGGACCAAGAGGTCTCAAATCAAGGGTTTCCAAATGCAGGAGCGAACCGCGATCCGCTGCTTCTATGCGTGTTCTACGACGTGTCGGCGCGGCGCGGGAGCGCGGAGTACATAGTTCGTCAGCTGCAGGAGTGCGTGCAGCTCGCTAAGAGCGCGCCGCCTCTTCGGAAGGGCGCTGAGGCGGACCAAGGGGATGGCGCGCCGGGAGGCGCGACGCGGGAAGGCACAGGAGAAGGTTCGGGGGAAGGCGCGTTAGCGGAGCTGGGAGAGAATTTCAAGGGAGCGGATGCAAAAAGCGAGTCTGGAAGTGTAAGAGACAGGGCAGTCGCAGCAGGGGGAGAAACAGGAGGAGCAGCAGGGCACACCGGTGGAATCGAGACGGCAGCAAGCTGCGAGAGTGGAAGAGGCGGGGGAACAGAGGTCCCTGTGGGGGAGGGGGAAGGTGGTGGCGCAGCGGCGGAAGGAACGCGCAGGGGGGAGGAGGGTGATGGAAAAGGGGGAGAGACAGATGGACGCGGGGGAAGACAGGGGAGAGAGGGGAGTGAGGAGGGAGGCGAAGACATGAAAGAGGACAAAGGGAAAGGGGAGGTAGGCGGGTGGAAGGATGATGACGCGGCGACGAGTGGAGTGGTGAGGGAGATGTCAGCTCTGATCGACCAGGTCAAAACGCTGTTGGTTCACAGCCGCAAGAACTCCCGATTCCAGGCCATCTTCGAAATGTCCCTGGTGAGCTTCTGCTGGCGAGCTTTCACTTGAGTACGTCTCAGGGGATTTAGGGATTTCAAGCGGCCAACGTCAGCTGCTGGGCGAAGTCGATCCACGTCTCTGGCCATCAGCTGACTGGGGGCTCAAGGCAATGTCAATTCTCAAACCCGAAACCCGAACCCTCCCCCATTCCGGCAACCGTTACCCCGTTTCCCTCCACCGGGACCTGATGTTCACGGTATCACAGGAGTTCAAGCTGGTGGGCTGAAATGAGGCGCTTTTGTTCTACACGAAGTACCACCTTCCTTAACCCGATTTCAAACCCATCACATTTCTGGATGTGATTTCACGTCACATTCTGAATTTCAAACCCAAATCCGTTCCCTCCACTCCCACCAGGACCCGGTGTTCACAGTATCGCAGGAGTTCAAGCTGGTGGACTGCAACGAGGCGGCGGTGCGATACATGAAGTACCGCGACCGAGAGGAGATGCTGCAGCGCTTTGACCTCATGAAGCTCTCGCCCGAGTTCCAGCCCGACGGCCGGCGGTCCGTGGACGTGCAGATGGAGAACCATGCGCGCATGCTGCGAGGCGAGGTGGTCATCTTTGAGTGGCAGACGCTGGCCTCCGATGGAGAGCCCTTCATGGTGCTTGTAACTGTCAGGGTGAGTGTGTGTGAGTGAGTGCATGTGTGTGTTGCCCGAGTTCCAGACCGGACGGCCGGCGCTCCATGGACGAGCAGATGGAGAACCATGTGCGCATGCTGCGAGGCGAGGTGGTCATCTTTGAGTGGCAGACGCTGGCCTCCGATGGCGAGCCCTTTATGGTGCCCTTTATGGTGCCGTTTATGGTGCCCTTTATTGCATGTGTGTGTTGCCCGAGCCCTTCATGACATGTTCTTCTTCTTTCCTTTTCCGTCTCCTTTTTTTTCCTCTCAGTTGTGTTTTTTATTCTATAACAAGAATTAGATTAACTTCTTTTTTTTTGTGACTGCAATTTTTGTTACCTATCTTGTAAACGTCTCTACCTTCTTCCACTGTTACAAACACCCTCACAGGAGATAGTGATTGATGGGGAGAAGCACCTGCTGTCCATCTGGCACGACCTGTCGGAGATGAAGCGCAAGGAGGAGGAGCTGAAGGCGGCCAAGGAGGCGGCAGAAGCGGCAAACGAAGCCAAGAACCGGTTCCTGGCGAACATGAGCCATGAGCTGCGCACCCCCATGAATGGCGTCATCGGCGTCGCCGAGCTGCTCCTCCGCACGCCCCTCACAGACGAGCAGCGCATGTACCTGGACGTCATCTGCTCCTCGGGAAACGCCCTCATGCATATCATATCCGATGTGCTCGATATTACAAAAATCGAGACGCATTCTCTGGTGGTGGATGCATACCCGTTTGATCTGCACTCGACGATAGAGCAGGCGTTGAGTGCGATTCGCGTGGCGGCAAACAGCAAGGGACTGGGGTTGCATGTGAGTGTGTGCGAGCAGCTGCCGGTGATGGTGATTGGGGATCAGTTCCGCGTGCGACAGATACTGCTCAACCTGCTCTCCAACGCCATCAAGTTCACTGACAGGTCGGTGGCGTGTGGTTGATGGGTGTGGTGCACGGTTTGAGGGAGTGTGGATAGGTGTGAGTGTGCGCCAGATCCTCCTCAACCTGCTTTTTAATGCCATAGAGTTCACTGACAGGTGTGCTGCAGGGAAAAGTGTTGGCAAGAGGCTGTGTGGCTGTGTGTGCTCGTGCGAGTGCAGCAGTGGGTCATTAAGCCTCTCCGCGAGTCACTGAGTACGTTTTTTTGTTGACTAATTGACTAATAAATCTCCTCCGCAGGTCTCTGACTCTCTGCGCGTCATTGAGTGCATCGCATGATTATCATCTATTCTCTCCTTTATGCCCTGCCCATCTCATCCCTCCCGCTCTCTGGCAGGGGCGAGGTGAGGGTGACAGTCTCTCTCTGTGACCCGCCGCCGTCACAAGGTAAGCGCAACAACACTGCTGAAAATACCTCTTCAAAGGTTTTGTTTAAGCTATTTCTTCCTTTTGCTACCACAAACTCTGCTTTATGCTCCTGCGCACCTTGCTCTCTTGTCCTTTTCCCACCAGACAAGAGCGCGAGCCAAGGGGTGTCGCAGCAGGGGCAGCTGGGCAAGCGCATTCTAGACGACGCGCATGGCCATGGGGGTGGGGTGCAAGGGCATGAGAGCGGCGCCGAGGCACCAATGGATAGGCTTGAAAGGGAGGAGCGTGGGGAAGGGGAGCAGGCGCCTTCAGACCAAACTGGTACGTCTCTTTCGCCACCTCCTGTCAGCGTCCCTCCCCTTCTCCCACCTTGTGTCATTGTCTCTCCTTCATCCCCCACCTCGTGTTTGTGTTTGCTGCTGCTGGTGGTTATTCTGCTTATGCAGCTGCTGCTGCTGCTGGTTTTGATGCTGATGCTGTCGTGCGCACCCATGCCTTTGCTGTCCAGGTGACTTTTGTGTCTATTCAAAAGTCACATGCTGCTGCTGCTGCTGCTGCTGCTGCTGCTGCTGCAGCAGGTGCTGGTTCTGATGCTGATGCTGTCATGTGCACCCATGCCTGTTCTGTCATGATGTTTCAGTGTTAGTGGAAGGCCGCGCTTCCACCCATGCTATTGTTGATGCTGATACTGCTGCTGCTGCTGATTCTCCGGGGTTCAGTGCTGCCTGTGCAGCTGCTGGTGCTACTGTTGGCAGTGCTGGTGCTGGTGCTGGTAGCTCGGTGGAGTTGCCTCAGGAAGCCGTCACGAGTGGTGGAGAGATAGGAGACAACGTGGTTGGGGCAGGCTCGATCACTTCATGTGCAGAAGAAGCGGACACGATAGAAGCAGCTGCAATTGAAGCAGCTGCAGTAGATGCAGACACAATAGAAGCAGACCTGATAGAAGCAGGTGCGTTAGAAACAGCGGCAGAGGAGAAGGTGTGGGTGCGGATAGATGTGTCAGACACGGGCGTGGGCATCTCATCAGAGGCAAGGGCGCGGCTGTTCACAGCGTTCCGGCAGGTGGACGACTCGTCGTGCCGCAAGCACGGCGGCACGGGCCTGGGTCTCTCCATCTGTCGCTCGCTCGCGGCGCTCATGGGGGGGTGCATCTCCGTCGCCTCCTCCCCCCGCCACGGCTCCACCTTCTCCCTCCACCTGCCCTTCATCCGCTCCCGCACGTGGGACGTGCATGTGAGGAGGGAGGAGAGGGGAGGTGCCATGTGGTGTGGGGCGTGGGAGGAAGGGCTGGGGCGGGATACGCAGGGGGTGGGAGATGGGGAGTTAGGGCGTGGGCAAGTGCAGAAGACGGGTGGAAGGAATGGGGTTACTGCAGCGTCAGTGGCAGCAGCAGAGGCAGCAGCAGCCGCTGCTGCAGCTGTAGCAGGAATCAGTGAAACGGAAGCAGGAGGAGCAGTGCCGTGGCCACAACAGAGTGAGGTTGCAGGGGGAGGGATGGGGGAAGGGAGGGGGAGCGGGGTGAGGGAGGGAGGGGTAGGAAGGGAGCGAGAGGAAGGGGATGAATTGGATGAGGCCTTAAGGCATTTCCGAACCACCCCCTCACCGCTCCACCAAGCCTCAGCCTCGCCTCTTCACCAAGCCTCTGCCCTGCCTCATCACAGAGCCTCTCCCTCGCCTCGTCGCCAAACCTCCCCCTTGCCTCCGCCTGTGGTTCGGTACCCAAGCCCCCTATCTTGCCTGCCTCCCTTCTGGCACGTGCAACAGCAGCAGCAAGTGGAGGAGGAGATGGGGCAACAGCAGGAGCAGCAGCAGCAGCAGCAGCAGCAGCGGCAGCGGCAGTTGGAGAAGGAAAGTGGGCAACCGGGGGGAATGCAGGGAGAGGAAGAGCGGATGGGCGGAGAACGGGGGCAGTTGGGTAGTGGGGAAGGTTTTGCAAGTGCAAGAGACGGCCTTCGGATTCTGGAAGATAGGGGAGAAGGCACAGCGACTGAGGAAGGGAGGGGGAGGTGGTGGGGTGGAGAAGGGGACAAGGGGCGGGGATATGCCCCTGGGGAAATCTTGGGGAGTTCAGAGGGAGGGATCGTTGACAGGAGGACTGAGAGGGGAGGGCGTGAAGTGGAAGAGGATGAGAAGAGGGTTGAAGGAGCTTTGGAGGTGGGAGCAGGGATGGACATGAGAGGAGAGGGAAGTGCGAGGGATATGGAAACACGGGGCAATAGGGTGGGAGGAGGGTCCGCGATGGAATGGGGATGTAGTTTGGATGCGCCAACAGTGTTAGCGGCTGGAGAAGCATCTTCAGGAGAAGTAGTAGCAGCAGCATCAGGGGGAGCAGCAGAAGGAGTGGCAGGAGCAGGAGCACCAGCAGCAGCAGGCGAGGTGGTGGCAGTGACCGCAGGGAGAAGAAGAGGTGGAGTGCGGTTGAAGAGACCAAGGGAAGGGCGGAATTCGGAGAAGGTACAAGAGGAAGGAGAATCAAAGGAGGGGAGAGAAAGGATGCATGAAGAGGAGGATGAGGAGGCTGGTGAGGATGAGAGCACCAGCAGTGATGAGGAGGGTGAGGAGCGGGATGAGGAGAACCCAAGGTTCGCGTCGAATCCTAGACTAGGCAGGGAACGGGCGTGTGGAGTCAAGGGGAGTGTGAAAGTCCTGTTGTCCCAAGGCGCAACACAGGGAAAAGGGGGGATGAACGGAGCGGCATTGAGGGGCGGCAGGAAGGCAGGGGAGTCAGAGGCAGCAGGGGGGGCAGGGGAAGGCAGAGGGGGGCGGGAGGAAGGGGGGTTTGCGGGGCTGCGGTGCCTGGTGGTGGAGGACAACGCGGTGAACCGCATGGTGGTGGTGCGCTTGCTTAGGAGCCTCCAGGTGGCGTGCGACGTGGCTGAGGATGGGCTCAGGGCCGTGCAGGCGTGTGCGCGGTGCTGCTACGACATCATATTCATGGTGCGTGCCTTGCTGCTTTCCAGTCATGGAGAGTCGTGTCAGGTCTCCTCCTTTGCTTAGTTTAGTTAGTTAGTTAGTTAGTTAGTTTGTTTGTTTTGTTTGTTTTTTGGTTTTTTTTGTTTTTGTTTTTGTTTTTGTTTTTTTTTTTTGGTTCTCTCAGAGGAATACAGAAGACTTGTGTTTGTTGCAACCTGCTGATCTCCCTTGTCGTTGGCAGGATTGTCACATGCCAGTCATGGACGGGTTTGAAGCCACGGAAAGAATACGCGAGCTGCAAACAGAAGCAGAAAATGGTGGTGGTGGTCGTGGTGGTGGTGGTGGTGGTGATGGGGAGAGATCAATGCCTGATGCAGTGGATGCAAACCACCAGCAGCAGCATCAGCACCAGGAGCAGCAACACCATCAAGAGGAGCAGCAGCATCAGGAGGAGCACGAGAACCAGGAAGCAGCAAGAGAACCGAAAGGGAAATTGGGCATGTGTTTGGAAAGGGAGCAGGAATTAAAGCAGGAGAAACCGCAGCATCGGAGGAAGAGGTCGGTCATATATGCGTTGACAGCAAGCGTGTTGAAGCATGAGAGGGACAAGTGTGTGAGTGTAGGGATGGATGGCTTCCTTGCCAAGCCGATAAGGCTCAAAGACCTCCAGCAGGTGCTTGGTCAGTTGATGCTAGAAATCAACGAGAAGAAAGCTGAAGGCTCATCGTATGAGAAGGCAGGCCCTCAATCTAATGATGCCTAAATCCTTGTTTTGCTACTTCAAGCGATTGCATATGCGTAGCAGATGAGCTTTTACACGCCAGAGGCGATACAAGCTGATATCGGCACAGTTCCATTGCATCGCAAGAGTGGGGGCACGCGCACACGTCAGCCGTCGACAACCCCCATCCAGTGGTGGAAATGTTGCTGGCAGGGCTATTGCTAGGATTTTTGCTAGCTCTGTGAAAAAGACCCTGTAAATTACGAGCCAGTGGGAAAAAAGCCTTCACAAATCCGGGTTCGAGCCAGAAAAGGCCTGAAAGCCTACCTTACCAGAATCTCGCGGGATGGGGCTATGATCGTAAAACTCACAGTGGGTGAGAGACTCACTGTGAGTTTTACGAAGGCTGGGAAGGTTGGCCATTAAAAAGCGACGCTAGAGGGGGGAGAGAGACTTTCTGTATACTTAGAAATTTTTATACGTGGAGGAGTGCTAATAGCCACCTCAACGTAGTACCGGAAGTCAAACACCAGGAGGCCAAACCAGGAGCGAATGCTAAGGAAAATTCACTGAAAGTGGCCTATGCGTTGTACACGGGGAGAGGGAGGGGATGCGAGGCAGGTCGGGGACGATAAGTGTTCTAAAACTATCCGGGTCCCCTTGAAAACATCCCTGAGTATTCCGAGTGGGCTCAAAAAATCACCCTTCAGTTTTACGGGCTGGTCCGAAAATTACCTTGTGAAAATCAGGGTTGCTGTAGAAAAAACCTTATAATTTCAGTCAAAACAGGGTAATTGCCCTGATAACTTAGGCCCTGGTTGCTGGTTTGTTAGCTAGGTAGGTGTGTAACGTACGCGATCGATTGGATTGTGCAAATCTAGAGAATCTGATTCTAGGATAGATTGCATCTTAACTGTACACATTTCTGTGGTTTCGAGCTCGCGCGTGGCCAGCCATTTCACAGCATTTCCATTGTCGGTGGTTCTTGTCCGTGTCTTTCCCGTCCCAGGATTCCCATTCCCATCGTTGCCAGCACTTCGTCAATCACGCCAGCACCTCCACCGTTGCTTTGCTTTTATTATATTTTTCCAATTTCATTTCACTCTAAATTGTGTGCACCTTTATTCTGCGTCTGTTTACTAGATTTGTCTTCTTCAGAAGTGAGGCTAGCATTTTACGTATATTATTTGTATTTTACTTATTCGTTTTTTCATTGAACAAGGTCACACAGATCAGCGTGACAGTACACGATCTGATCCCAACAGATGGTCTTGCGTGGTTTGACGGAATACGCGGACAATGCTACATCCTGGAAATTGCTCTGCGGCAAGGATGTCATTCCCCTCCCCACAACTGTGTCGTCCTTGAGGCCAAGGATTACCCTTACCTTCATGAACATAAACATCACTCGTAGGATGTCATGATGAGATTTGCAGCGCTGTGACCCTCTCTTCCATCCAGTGCTTGCTTTCTGTTTGAAAAACTCCTACGGTTGTTTGAGCTACCCTCGATCTATGGGTTTCCTAAAACGTTTTTCGAGACCCAAAAGACGCGACAGGCATGGTGCCCTTTCCTCTCGCGTGCCTGTTTCGCCACGTCACATTTGCGAGTCACGTGATTGCATCCTTCCGATACGTCCCCACCTCCCCGCTCTCACCTCCCCTTCATCTCCTCGTCTTGTGCGTAGTTCTTATTCGACACCGCACCTCGCCACATCACATCACATCCAACCAGTGTCTACCGCACCATAGGCATCAGAAACATATGGCAGACCTACCCAAATTTTGTTAGCTAGGTTCATGGCTTATCAACTGCTGCTTCACACATGGTTCCTCGTTTTTCAGGGTCTCTTGCAGCAACCTTTCTGTTGAAAGGGGGATTGTTGTGTGCAGAGCAGACTATGGCCAAACGCGATTAGGCTGTTGGTGTTCTCCGAAAGCCTTCGATTCTGTTCTAGATCAGGCTTGTTGGAACTTTTGGAAGGAAATGTATCATTAGGCTTGTGAAACTTGCTTGCGTCATTGGCGGGAAGCTTCTGTGACAAACCATGCGCTTTCGTTTCCAGGTTCTGGAACTTACGTCGACTAGCTTACGCGGCGCTTTTCATTAGCTCAGCAATGCAGGTGCAAAGTTACACAATTAGTCCAACATAGGTCGAGCGAATTCTCATAGTATTTTTTAATCCGCTAGGCTCCTAAATAGCTATCATATGCATCGACGGATCCGTCGTTGCTTTCGACCAGAAGTCAAAGTAGTGATAACACACCCTGCTAGCACACCTCGCACAGCACGCCTCGCGTAGAGCATCAGAAGAAGAAAATGCATTCGAACGCGCCTCCCCACCTCTGCCATTTTCTCGGTCCGATGCTTCTAGATGTTATTCCTGCGGCTCTGTTCACCTGCGAAGATGGTTTCCGCATCGCGCACTGCAGGTACATCAGTCCTGTTCGTTTTCGTTCAAGAATCTCTCGCTGGTCCCGTGTCGCTTTCCTTGTTTCATATCCTCTCCGCTAAAGTCGTTTGAAACCCCCTGGGTCCGATGCGTGTGCAGCCATGCGTTGATGAGAATTCTCGGAGTGAAGCCCGAAGTTATTGTAGGGAAGCGGATAGCCGATCTTCTACACGCAGAAGATGCAAGAGCCGTTGAGGTCCGCCCATCCCTCCCTCTCTCGCTCTCCCTCACACCCTTCCTCTCCTCTCTGTCTGATTTTCGCTCTCTCTGATTACCGATGCCAGCATGATCGCACACGTAATCCCTCCCCCACACAATCTTACGATTGATTCCATGTGATTCCAGGCACGACCGTGAGTCGCTCTTGGGTCCTTAACCTCCTAACCCTCCATATTGCTTTCTATATCCTAACCGTCGCCTGTCCAGCCAACCATGACCGAATTCGCTCGAGCCTGTTCACCCTCTAAGCGGAAGCGTCTCGACGTGCGACTACGAATCAACGACGAGCGACACTGCGACGAGACCGTCGCGAGTGCGAACGCTAAAAGCTCGCAGGCTTCGCGATGGGCATGGTTTGAGATGTCGCTCGTGACGAGAGTCGTCGCCGGCGATGCGTTTCGCAGAGCAGGCGACTGTCGCAGCAAGGAAGGCGATGCTCGCGACAGAGCAGGTCTGCGAACGGAACACGCAGAACGGCCGGCTGCATCCACGGCTGCAGAGGTCCCCGACGGCAGCGGCGGTAGCGGCGAAGGAGCGACGGCACGACCGCAGGCGCAGGCGTGCATTCTCGCGACGTTCCACGAGATCTCCGCGCGGCGAGCGAGCATGGTGAGACTTAGCACCGCGCGCGTGGCTTCTTGTCCGCTCGCTGCCCGCTCGTTGTCTCACCCGCTTCCCTCACTCTTCATCTTCGCTGTCTCCACCGTCACGCCTCCTCCCACTCTCGCCTTCCCTGCCCTCTCACGCGCCCCCCCATCGCCCTCCCTTCCCCCCGCGCCCTGCTGGTGCGCGAGCTGCGGCGCATGTTTCGGGTTCCCCTATCACCCTCCCTGCCCTCTCACGCGCTCCCTTATCGCCCCCCGCCTCCCCCCGGTCTGCGCAGGACGTGCTGGTGCGCGAGCTGCGGCGGACGGCCGACATGGCCGTGCGCGTCGCGGGCGGAGGAGACGGCGACGCGCCGCACAGCCCTCACGGCGACGACCGACAGACGCGGCGACAGCCCTCTGACGCCGCGCACAGCCCCGGTCGCAGCGACGACCCGCGGATCCCTTACGGTCTCGATGATGGCTCGCAGAGGGAGAGCGCTGTTGTGGCACGTCGACTACCTCATTCCGACGGCGTGGGCGGATCTCACGCGGACGGGACACCCGCGTTGAGAGACGATGGGTTGAGGGCAAGAGGAGGGCCTGACGACAGGGAGACTGGGGCCGCGAAAGATCAGGGGAGCGGCGAGCAGGAGAGGAGAGGGGAGGAGGGAAGTGGGAGCGAGGGTAGACAGGGGGAAAAGACAGGGATGGAGGCGAGAGGGGAAGAGAGTAGAGGGGACGAGACGAGAGGGGAGGAGGCGAGGTTGGAGGGCGAGGCGAGGGATCCAGTGGCGAAGGCGATGGAGGTGGTGGGGAGGGTGAAGGAGCTGGTGCAGGCCAGCCAGAAGAACTCCGTCTTCCGCACCATCTTCGAAATGTCCCTCGTCAGTGCCCTCCCTGCCTTCCCTCCCTGCTGCTTGCTCCTCTGTTGACTCCTTTTCTCGATTCTTCCGTTCACTCTTTCGTTGGCGGCTCTTCCCTCACGCCTCTCTGCACCCAGCACTGTACCATCACTCCTTTTTTTTATAACTCTTCTTCGCACACAGGCTTCCCATCTCCTCGTCGCCCCACCTCTCCCTCTTCCTGTCACCCCGTTTCAACTTCTCCCCACCGCCCCATCTCCCGATCACCCGGCTCCACCCTACCAGGATCCCATGTTCATAGTGTCCCGCGAGTTCCGCATAATGGACTGCAACGACGCCGCCGTGCGCCACATGCGCTTCGCCTCCAAGGCCGAGGCTATCGCGCGCTTCGACGCCGTCAACGGCGCGCCCGAGTTCCAAGCTGATGGCCGCCGTTCCGCTGACGTGGCAGCCGTCAACGTGCCGCGCATGCTGCGCGGCGAGACGGTCGTCATGGAGTGGCGCCACCTGGCGGCTGACGGGACGCCGTTTGACGTGCTGTTGAATGTGCGAGAGATCGTGGTAGATGGGCAGCGATGCATGCTGTCGGTGTGGCACGACCTGTCGGAGATGAAGCGCAAGGAGGAGGAGCTGAAGGCGGCCAAGGAGGCGGCAGAAGCGGCAAACGAAGCCAAGAACCGGTTCCTGGCGAACATGAGCCATGAGCTGCGCACCCCCATGAATGGCGTCATCGGCGTCGCCGAGCTGCTCCTCCGCACCCCCCTCACAGACGAGCAGCGCATGTACCTGGACGTCATCTGCTCCTCGGGAAACGTCCTCACTCACGTCATCTCAGACGTGCTCGATATCACCAAGATTGAATCGCACTCTCTCGCACTCGAATCCTACCCGTTCGATCTCCGGGAAACAGTGGTGGATTCGCTCGATGCGGTGAGATCTGCTGCGAGCAGGAAGGGCCTGCAGGTGACGAGCAGCGTGTGTGAGCAGCTTCCCGAGGCTGTGATAGGGGACCAGTTCCGCGTGCGGCAGATTGTTCTCAACTTGCTGTCGAATGCCATCAAGTTCACTGATGCTGGCACTGTGGGGATTGCGGTTACCACCAGTGCGGAGCGGCCGGTGCTGCAGCAAGGGAAGATGGAAGGGGGCTGTGCTGGTTGGGTGTGCGGGGGTGGATGGGAGCGAGAGGAGGTGCGGGAGGTGGAGACAAATGATGGTGGGGTTCTAGGCAAGAGGGCGAGGGGGGAGGAATCAGAGGGTGCAGAGGAAGCTAAAGAGTCCCCAGCAGCCTCTTTGAGCTTTGCAAAGCGGCTTCGCAGGGATCAGTTGGGAAGGGAGGCGGGCAGTGAGCAGCAGCAGCAGCAGCAGGAGGAGGAGGAGGAGGAGGAGGACGGTTGTGAAGGCAGCAGGAGAAGGCAGTGCGGCGTCAGCAGCAGCGCCAGTGTGGGTACGAATAGACGTGAGCGACACGGGCGTGGGCATCTCATCAGAGGCGATGGCGCGGCTGTTCACGCCATTCCGGCAGGTGGACGACTCGTCGTGCCGCAAGCACGGCGGCACGGGCCTGGGTCTCTCCATCTGTCGCTCGCTCGCGGCGCTCATGGGGGGGTGCATCTCCGTCGCCTCCTCCCCCCGCCACGGCTCCACCTTCTCCGTGTGCCTGCCGCTGCAACCCACCAGGCAGTGCCCCTCTCGCCCTCTCCATGTCTCAAACCGATTGCCGTCAACATCAGCTGCTGCTGCTGCTGCCGCCGCCGCCGCTGCTGCCGCTGCCGCCGCTGCTGCTGCTGCTGCCGCTGCAGCTTCAACTAGCAAGGCAGCAGCAGCAGCAGCAGACGCGAGTGCAAAGAATGGCGGCTCCCCTCTCGCTGCGCGGCCATTTGAAAGCTACCTGAATTCGGAGCTGGGCCCCGTGGTGGCTGATCTTGACTCGTGCGGCTTGAGTGACGCCAAACTTACCCAGCTGGAGGGCCGAGGGCGGGGGTTGCGGGGACAGGAGGAACCAGCAGCAGCTGCAGGAGCAGGAGCAGGAGCAGGAGCAGGAGCAGGAGCAGGAGCAGGGGCAGGAGCAGGGGCAGGAGCAGGAGCAGGAGCAGGAGCAGGGGCAGGAGCAGGAGCAGCAGGAGCAGGGTCAGTGAATGAGGTGGGGGAGGTGAAGGCAGGGGGCTCACGGGATGAGGCTTCTTCCAGGAAATTGCCCGCGAGTAAATGTTCCTCCGCTGCTGTGGGGAGTCCCAAAGCGAGCGGGGATCTAAGGAGTGGAGGCAAGCGTGTGGCGCGTGTTGCTGGTGGTGTTGGTGCTGCTGCTGCTACTGCTGCTGGTAGTGGCGGGGATGGAGGGCCGTTCGCGGGGCTGCGGTGCCTGGTGGTGGAGGACAACGCGGTGAATCGCATGGTGGTGGTGCAGCTGCTGAGGAACCTGCGAGTCTCGTGTGACGTGGCAGAGAATGGGCACAAGGCCGTGGAGGCCTGCCGCTCCACCAACTATCACGTCATCTTCATGGTATGTCCGTGCTCTTTTATGGTGCTATTCTTGATCATTCATCCACCAAGTGCCTCACCATGTTCGTGATCAGCACACACTCTGGTTTTGTTGCTGTTAGTTAGTTAGTTTGTGTTTTTTTTGCTTGTTTCCGTTTGTTTGTTTGTTTGTTTGTTTTTGTTCAAGGAATTACAAGGCAGTCACTCCTCCCCACAGCTCACTCACTGCCTCCTCTCCCTCTATCTCCCATCTCACCTGCAGGACTGCCACATGCCAGTTATGGACGGGTTTGAGGCCACCACTCGCATTCGTAGCCTTCAGGGTTTTGAATCGCCTTCGAACGCACAGCCTGGTTTCTGTGCTTCTGGTGTGAGAAAAGGGCAGCAGCAGCAGTGTACAACAGATTGCCATCAGCAGGCGCTGCAGCGGTCTGTTATTTATGCATTGACCGCGAGCGTGTTGAAGCATGAGAGGGACAAGTGTGCACTTGTGGGGATGGATGGGTTTTTGGCGAAGCCGATACGCATGAGAGACCTGCAGCAGGTGTTGAGCCAAGTGCTGGCTAAGCCTCAGGTTAAAACATGCAGTTCTGCTTGCCACCATGGGCAAGCAGTAATGGTACACATGAATCAGCCCATGTAGATTAACATCTAATTTTATTTATTCACTTGGAAGTCTACCGCCTAGTCCTGTTCTAGAGATCAAGGTAGGTTCCACATCTCGATGCAAAGTGCAGATTGGATACAGTTTTAAAGACTAGAGATGAAGTTTCCTACTTGGCTTCGTTGTCGTTTGAGCTGCTGGGTAGCTTTCTTCGTACACTAGTGGCCAGTGGTGCAGGAAAGGGGACATCGAGTTTGGATTGCGTACAGCACTGTGGGAAGGACGGACAAGCCTGGGCTGGGCGAGCGACGCTGCGCCACGCGTAAGTGGGGGCATCGGCGGAACAAAAGGGCGGAGGAGAAGCAATGCTGGCAAGCACAATTGCCAGCGCAGCACACTTGGGGGAAGGCTGCCAATGATGCCCCTCTTCCCCCCCGCATCCTACCCCACGCTCCCTGACAAATACGTTCGACCCGCTCCCGAACAAAACCATTCGCCTGCCACCGCCACCAGTCAGCTTCTTGTCATCAGTGCAATGTGTTCGAGAACCGAGAGTCCTGTTCGGTTAGCTGCTTCGCGATTTACAGGGATGAAATAAATTCTCCAGGTCCGGGCATGCTTTTTCGTTCAGGACTGGTATGACGTGGTTTAATACGGTGAACCACGTTTGAGACTGGTTCCCTTAATTTACCGTTCTATACCGTTGCGTACCAGAATGCACCTTTCATATTCGATTGTAAAGCAAATATGGTACTGCTGGCATTTGCACACTCACACAAGCATTTCCATTTTGAGTCACCAAGCATGTCAGTTTTCCTCAGGCAACAACCAGGCTAGCAGACTAGGACACTTCGTGCGTGTCGCACGCCTAGCTGACGTCTCCGATGGTAACGTTACCACGTTCACACGACATTAACTACGTATTTCGCGAATCATGTCGCTAGGAGCTGTAGCCGGCTTCGCAACTGACGCCAGCAAGCACAGCGTTCCGAGCGAAGCGCGTCTCAATCTGCGACCCGAATGTTGTCGACTCGCACTCGCCGAATCCTCTACTCCAGCAGTTTTGCTCCTTAATCTCGTCCTTGCAGCAGTCCCTGCCGCCCTTATTTCTCCCGCGAGAGACTTTCGCATCGTGCAATGCAGGTACATGCGAAAGACGACCTACGTAGACTCATATCTCGCAATCCGTGTCGCGCACAGCGCGAAAAACGTTTTCTTCCGTCCAACGGCCTGAGAGGCCCTGCGTGAAAAGTTTCAGTTATGGCTACATTCCTCTCTCGACGCTCTCATCGCTCACCCGCTCTACTTGCTGACTCGCGACGGAAGTCCTCACGCCTCCCATCGCGAAAGTGTGCGCTTTAAAAAGTAACTGGCGCGCAAACTCTCCCGACCTTTCTCGTCCCAACATGCTACCTTTCCCCCGTCTTCCTTCTTCCCTCCTCCTCACGCTCCCCCCCTCCCTACCGTCCCCCCTCTTCCCCACTTTCCTCCCTCCCCCTTCGTGTTGACGCGTCTTCGCCGCGTGTGCGCAGCGCCGCTCTCCTTCGCGCTGTTGCCGGCGATGCGAATTTGCCAGTGACGGCCGACCGGCAGACGCGGCAAGAGTCTACCGGGTGGCCGTCAGTGGCCGTCAAGTTGCCGCAGCAGGCGGAGGCGAGGGAAAGTGAGGAGGACGGGAGGATTGCGCAAGGGAAGCTTCTAGGAAGGTCGCTGCTGGAGCTGATTCACCAGGATGACGTCAGGAAAGTCAAGGTATGGCGGCTGAGGCGACTCCAAAGTCACCCCATAGCATCAAGAGCGTAGCATTAAGACCGTAGCTCTAAGAACGTGAAGGTATGACAGCTGGGTCAACCCAGAAGTCACCTCATTACATCAGGAGCGTTAAGTGTTGACAGGAAAATGTAGGTATGAGCGGAGAGTGAAGGTGTATGTGGCAGCAGGGCAGGCGTGTACTCGCCGCCGCTTGAAAACGAGACTCTCTATGTGTGCTGCTTTGCGTTCTTGCAGCACGCGCTCTCACACCCAACAGCAGCAGGAGCAGGAGCAGAAAGAGCAGGCGGAGCAGGAGCAGCAGGAGACGGATCAGGAGCAGCAGCACTCAGAGCTGCACGGCCTGTGGACGTGCGGTTGATGCAGGCTGCAGGAGGGATAGGTGACGTACCAGCAGCAGCAGCAGAACATGTAGCAGATACACGGAGCGGAACCGGCAACAGATGCAGCAGCAGCGGTGGTTTCAGGTGGTATGAGATGCGCGTGTGGCGCGTTGATGGCGCCGCTGCTGCGCTGCTTCATCCCGCAGAGGCGATGGGCGGGCTGGGGGAGGAAGGGAGGGGGCGAGGGGGGGAGGACGGCGCAAGGTGTGCGGAAGGAGCGGAGAGGGGGAGGGGAAGAGTAGCAGAAGGCATGAATGGGTCGGCTCCGAGCTGTGATGCATGCGCTTGCACTCATGGATTGATGGCACATCATGATGCATGCGCTTGCACTCATGGATTGATGGCGCATCATGATGCATGCGCAAGTGCATCTGGTGGCAGCTGGCTGCTCTGTCTCTTCCACCATATCTCCACGAGAAAAACCTTTGAGGTACGCCCCACCGCTCTCCACCGCTCTGTTTCTCTCCTGGCTGACCGCTTTCCTGAACTCTGTCGCAGCTCCCCAACGTCACATGCCTACTTGCGTCTCTCTTCACCGCTCTCCACCACTCTCTGCCACTCTGCACCAACCACTCTGCACCACTCTGCACCCCTCATCACCCCACTCCACCCCGCCAGGCGCAGCTGCTGCAGAACGCCACAGCGTGTGCGGAGCTGGCAACCAATCTGGCGCAGGAGAAGCCCCCCGACCTCTCGTCCCTTGTCAGCACAAAAACCACCCCTTCGCACCCTTTGCACCCCTTGTTACCCCCTACCCCCTCCACTTCACCTCCTCCAGGCGCAGCTGCTGCAGCATGCAACAGCGTGTGCGGAGCTAGCAACGAACCTGGCGCAGGTGAAGCCCCCCGACCCCGTCTCCTGGGGAGATGCTGTCGAGCGCCACTACGGCACCCGCCCCCCTCCCTCTCCCCATGCGCCCCCGCCCCATGCGCCCCCTGCACATGCGCCCCCGCACCATGCGCCCCCTGCACATGCGCCCCCTGCACATGCGCCCCCGCCCCATGCGCCCCCTGCTGCTGCCCCTGCTTCTGCTGCCCCTGGTGCTGGTGCTGAACCGTCCCATCTGCCTCCTCCTCCTGCTGCTGCTGCTGCCGTGCCCCATGACGCTACTTCCACTGCCGCTGCCGCTCACAATCCTGCTGCCAGCGCTCTCCTTCACCCCAGCCAACCCCCCAACCCCAGCCACCCCAGCCAGCGTAGCTCCTCCAGGCTCCCCCCAGAGCACCTCACATGCGCCCATCATCACCCCAGCGCCCACAGCACCGCCCCCATCGCCCCTACGCCCCCCAGCGCCCCCACGCCCCCCGCTCCCCCGCCTCTGAAGCCTTCCCACCAGCAGCGGCGCAGGCGGAGGGGGAGGCGGCGCACACAGGCTGTGGGGCGGCGGGCGGACGGTTATCCCGACCACTTCTGGCCCTCCTATCCCCCTGACGACACTCCCCCCCCGCCCATGCCTGGCTTGGGCGCGGGTGGGGGGATAGAGGGAGAGGACGGGGAGGGGTGGGAGGAGGGGGAGGAAGGGGAGGACGGGGAGGAGGGGGAGGAAGGGGAGGACGGGGAGGAGGGGGAGGAAGGGGAGGACGGGGAGGAGGGGAGGAAGGGGAGGACGGGGAGGAGGGGGAGGAAGGGGAGGACGGGGAGGAGGGGGGAGAAGGGGGAGGACGGGGAGGAGGGGGAGGAAGGGGAGGACGGGGGAGGGGGAGGAAGGGGAGGACGGGGAGGAGGGGGAGGAAGGGGAGACGGGGAGGAGGGGGAGGAAGGGGAGGACGGGGAGGAGGGGGAGGA